GGTTGGTTTCCTCCCCCAGGAATATAGGTTTGTTTCGTAGTAGCGAAGTGTAAAGGATCCATTACATCTTTTCGACGAAACTAAGCGGGCAGAAAGTCCAGACAGTTCTAAGTGCTTGCCTTTATCGAGCCCCTAAAAAAGATATGCACCCAATGGGTTTACGAGTCTGTAGTGCTCTTTGCTTTTACACTGAGTCTCAAATGTCCTCTTTCAATCATTCCAGAAAACAGTTCATCGATATCGTGTGTTTTGGCAATCGAGTATTCAAATTCCGGTTCAACAAGTTTTCTTTCTGAATTCCCGTCCCGTTCCCTAAATTTTTTTATTAACTACATTTTGTCAATGAGCCAAATCACGTTTCCAAGGTAAAAAAAAAGACAAAAGACAAAAAAAAGAAAAAAACATTTTAACCCTTCAAATCCCAGCTGAAAGGGGCATTAACAATCCTCTCTGCTTTTTAAACTTTTTACCTTAAGTACAATCAAACTAATTTTACTTTTTATCTCAGATCAACATTGCCAGCGATCTAGCGGAAAACATTGTAGGATTGGTACACACTGGAATCGTAGAGAGAGGGTTGTTTCATGAGGCAGCTCTTCAGGTCTTCACTCCTCTGATGTTCCTATGGAAAAAGTGAGTCATTGGCATATATGTAACACACTCAATTTGTATTAAACTCTTTTAAATTCTTATTTTTCCCATATTTGTATTCATTGGTCATAATTTAGATATAGGAAATTGACGTGACGCAGTGCAATACAGCTATCTAATGCAAAATCATTGGAATAGAACTTTCAGGGCAGTTTTTCGTAAAATAATCTTTCAAAATTTACAACGCCATGATGTAAGTATCCACAATGATTATCATCCAACTGTGCCAGATAGAGTACAAATAACGCGCGAATCGAGGACAGGTATCCTGCGATATTGTTCAGTTTGTTATTTTGTGTTGTAAATAAAAAACGTGTCCAACCGGTCGGCTGTGCGCGCTACGCTTTTCTAACTGCTTCGCTTTTCCCACTTCCCCACCCTGCGTGCTCGTCAAAATGCGGCACAACTCGTTAAAACACTCACCGATACTACACACCACAACGTCTGATAAGATATATCTATCACATGAGCTGGCGGATGCTTCCTTTGACAGAAGTTCGTTTCCAGCCAGCTTTTACATTAGTCGCGTTTCAAATAAGGAATCATGGTGAAATAGATTTTTCTGTTCATTCGTTCCTTCGACATATACGCTAAATATTTGTTGCACGCTTTCAGTTATAAGATAATTAAATATCATAAACTGTTGTAAACAAAAAACTAATATAGTTAGATCAAGCGCAAGTCTGAAGGTTAAAAAATTTTCGTTACACTTGTGATGAAGTATTTTGTTAGCTCAGTACGATTAAGTTATTCGTTTACATTTAACTTGTAGATACGAATTCAAAGTCCAAATTTATTTAGGTTTAAGCCGTCGCCATGAGTTCCCAACTTATGACAGTCTTGTGTAACTATCACAAGTGGAAGTGCTTCAGTTGTTTACCTTCCTCAATTGGACCCGCGTGAACTACTTACGCAGCGAGACTCATGTAAAAGTGTTTGGGTTAGAGTTCTAACAAAAAATGTTTAACCTTCCAAGGTCAATTGGCCAGTAATGCTTACCGCTGATGAATATTAATCTCGTACCCAGATCCTACCGTGTAACTGACATGACCGTGGAAAGTCTGGGTACGAGACTAGATGAATATATGAACATGTATTTTAGAATTCACTTCAGTTGAGAGTCAGTGTAAAATATGTAATCAGTGAGAAGAAGAAGAGTGAGAATCAGTGTGTGAGAATCAAAGAAAGAGAAACGGAACAGAGTAAGAGTCAGACAGTCAGAGTTAATCAGATTGAAGTGAGTTTGTTGTAAGTAAGATTTTCTTAGAGAAAAGATATTAAAGATGACTGAGAGAAGACATAAATATGAAAACGATCTTCGCAGTAATAAACTCTACTTAAGCAGCAGTGAAAATATTATATATATATATATATGTACGTACGTACGTACGTATGTATGTACGTATGTATATTTAAATGGGATTTGAACCCATGACCTATGCGATACCGGTGAGGGTAATGGCCTTATTCTCACCACTGCTTAAAGTCGTGTTCATTACTGCGAAGGTGACTTTCATGTTCATATTTTAACCCGAAGTTCACATATATGATCTTCATACATTCACAGTCGTTTATTCATCCCTTCACGGGTTTATTACGAGCCAACATCATGACAGTTGGCTTGTTAGCTCAGTTGGTATAGTACTGCACCGGGGCAGTACTTATTTCGGGCCTTATTTCCACTACTTCTTAAGTCGCGTTAATTACTGCCAAGATCGTTTTCTTATTCATTTCTTAACCCGCAGTTCACATATTTGATTTCAAATATTCATAGTCATTTGAGTGAAGACAGGTTGAGAGTCTTTAGTTCCTTTGATAAAAGTGTATTGCGGTATGTGGCTCGCTTACGTGTCATTGTGACCCAATATACTCTGTGGAGGATTTACTAACACACTATTCTATTGCTTTAGATATTCAGCAGAACTAATCTCCAAACAGACAGACGAACCAACGTGTTCCACCCCAGTAAAGAGATCCGCCTCAAGAAAACGAGTCATGTCGATAATTGGTGGAATGCCGTACAGAAAAATTTACGCAGTAAACGGTAGTCACAAATTATTACTTGGTTTTGGGTGCTAGGAAATAAATGACTACTGAAAACTTTCTTCTTAAATGGTACATGATATACATCATATGTGACATGTGGATATTAAGACGCGAAAAGGTTCTTACAAATAAATTATTATCAAAGAATCCGTAGAGCCTGAAGCTAAAATGGCGGATCCATTTTCAAGATGCACGAAGCCCCTGTTTTAAAAGGAGGGTAATTGCAAAGCTTTTGATGTGAAAATCATACTCTATTCTCCACAGACTTGACCCATCTTCGCAAACAGGTATTTTGCACTTACCCTTATTCTGAAAACGAGGGTTTTAGAACTCGGAAAAGGCGTATTGAATAGAAACATTCCATTGATCAACCCAGGCCTCAGCGACTAGTATCAGTCATTGCTTTTTCAACCGCGCGTCTGTCTGGAAAGTGATGGGCGCGATTTAATAACGTCGACGTCACAGCTTAGAGAAAAACCCTCGATTAAAAAACCTAAGAACGTCTGAGAACTAGTGCCCAAGCCTTCCTAATGCATTCTGTATCTTTTATAGAGGACTCTGAGCTACACTGGTCATTCTCACTGAACCACGGTCTCCGCCTCATCATGCCTCTTAGGCTCATGATGGCAAAGCGCGTTACCAATCAAATGGGCGGACGGTCTGATCATGTGTCGAAAGTCTCGATCCAGGGACCTACACCATGACTAAACACAAGAATGTATTGGAATCTAACTGAAATAAACAGGTTCCCGTATGTTTTTCATGCGTTGCATGGTTTCTGTGTAAAATTATTGAGTGGACTTTGTTTCCATGTACGTTAGCATGCGTTCCGGTCTTACCTGCCTTATATAAGCTACGCTGACGAAACGTGAGCAGAACGGAAGTAACGCGTAAGTCTGGGTCGAAAGAGCGCGAACAAATATCTTCTATTCGCTCCCATGCCCACGCGAAGATCCCACTCTGCTCGTGCAGGCCATACTGGTTTTGATTTTAGTTTAAAACAGCGTTGGTTTTCGGAAGCGTCAAGCTGCATCTCTAATATTAAGTTTTAGTACAGCAAAAGTAGAGGAAAATCTACATAGTAGTCATAGATACAGAGCGTGAAGCAGATGAACTAAAACCGAGCTAATCGGCCTCAAATCAGCCCGGAAAGCTCACGCGTTTTAAAGGAAAAACTTCTCAAGAGAGGTAAGTCTGTTTTTATTTAAAACTAGTTCTGATCTTTAAGTTGAGAACGCAACTGTAAATTGTCATACAAATCCTTATGATATTATCATTGCATAGTGTAACATGATACACTTTTAAAATGTCTGCTCCTAAAGGAAACAGTAAGTTTCGTTTTCCAACTGTTTCCCGAGAGGCCATTTATTAAAAGTGCTTTGTTTTACGTCCACAAAGGACGAACGTAGAAAAAAAGCGAAAAATGAGCGTCTTAAACACCTCAACATATAACGAACGGGTTATACGAACTAATTCCTAATTGGGCAAAACGTTGGCTGGTGCCAATTAATGAAAGTAAGACTAAGATTGTCTTTTCGGCAAAGATTTATGTCAGTTTGTTGTCTCTTACCTTTTCACGCTCAAGGTTGAATTGGATAGACGGGTCCACCGAATTCAAATGCGACAGATTTACGTCCTTAAGGTAAATGGCTATACCAAAACTTTTCTTCGTAACTGCCAGGAACCAGTTACAACTAGTGACGCTGCTGATGAGAAGGAACCAGCGACTAGTTTTGCTGTTATTCCTTACATTCCTTTTGGCCGCGAGGTTCTTCCTCATGCCGCGAGTCTTTTTCTTTGGCCGCGAGGTTATTTCTTTTGCCGCGAAGTTATTTCTTTTGCCGTGACAGTTGTGGGCCACAGTAAATAATGCTTTTCGCGCTCGCTGATTGGCTAGTTTGGAAATGAATACCAAGTACGTATTTACCTCCGAACGGCCGAAGGGACAAAAATTGCACGTCAACATGATTTGAAAATAATCGCCACCTTTGAATAAATGCGTCCGTTAAAAAAAAAAAAAGTATCGTAAACGCCAAAAATTAAATCAATGTCGTGACGTTTATTCTATAAATTCATTATGCATCTTCGTGTAATTACATAAATGACCAAAAAGACTTAACCATATAAACTACGGTGTTTTACAAGGATCTCCAGCCCTGAGAAAAGCCGTAACTGTACGAAATGTAAAATTCCGATCATTTCTTTACGAATGTTTAATATCGCCAATCAGCTTCTGACACGTCACCCGCCTTTCTCGCCGCGCCGTTCTAATGAATGAAGTGCAAACCATTCACCATTTTCGATCCAAGTCGAGATTTTCTCGAATTATGGCTACCAACAACACTGAAAGATTCCGAGCGCTCACAGAACGTGACGTTGGAAATTTTGTAAAAGCGAAAGATGACCAGGACACGCAAAAAAAGGTGGTAAGTTGCTAAAGAAACTGTGGTGCTGCGTCGGTGGGAGAGTATAACAAGTTAATTTGGTATCATCAACTGAGTCGATAACGCAAATCGGCCACCGTAAAGAGTTTCAAAGCTGACGTTTCGAGCGTTTGCCCTTCGTCATTCGCTCTGCCAAAAGGCTGACCCTGGACGCTCGAACTGCCGTCGGCTTGGAAACTCTTAAAGGTGGTCAAAAGGTCACTTTCGATATATTGAGATTCTAACATGGCTCTGAGGCTAAGGAGAATAAAACAAAAGGAACTAATTATTCATCCCTCAACCTCGTTGTGATTTCTTTTGTTTTACTCCCCAAGCCTCCCGGAGCCTAGTTTGAATTTTCATATATCGAAAATGGCCGTCTTGTTTACGTTATCAACTCACCAAATTACCACGAAACTGACGATAAGATAAACTGAAAGTGACTTAGTTTTGGCGATGGCATTTCTCGCAGCTGAGAACAAAAATCGACAGCCGGAATATTTGCCACTAGAAGATTTGAATGTCGGTACGGAAGTAAGTTTGAACAAAGTCTGTTTATTTAATAAACAAATTACTGGTACTTACTTTCACGGGTATTTGATTTTTCGTTTTTTCCAATTGTATAAAGAACGCGAAATTAAGTTTTAACACGTAAATTTTAATAGTCCCTATAGAAAAAGTCAAATCACAGAAAAAAAAATTATCGGCAAGTAATAACAACAACACGTACAGGATGTGTAACGAAAATACGCGAAGTATTAACTGGTCTTACTGGTAAGTTCTATATTGTATTTTCTGTGGTAAAATTGAATCGCCAGATTCGTACAAATTCCTTTTCTTTCGTGCAGTCGTCAAAAGTTAAGCCATTTTGAGAAAAAAAATGAAGTTGAGAACCTTGAATCGCGAGATTTCATGTCTTTTTTTATTTTTTTCGCCATTGTAATTGCGGAAAAAGAACCCCGCAAGATACCAGTTGCTTGTAGATATGGAATTTTTCTTTGAGTGAACAACATCAAATGCTATTGCCTAATCTTAAACACGTTTTGCTCGACAGGTGAATCCTGAAAAATACATCAGCACTTAGAATGTTAAAGAACATACGTGCTTTAAAGCCTGTGTTTCTTCCCGTTTGTATGGTATTCATTCTGTTCTATCACATCGATAAAAACTATTTTCCACAAAGAGATCATTTCAGTTGTAAGAAGAGCCCCAATCAAACCGATCGGTGGCTAATCGTTTTCTGGTCAACCATTTTCGGAAAACAGCCAGGTATTGAGCTTAAATGGAATAAAAGTGACTGCCCTGTGGCCTGTCAGGTCACATCTGACCATTCTCGAGCTTGTGATGCAGACGGCTTTGTAGTCCATGCCAGGGATTCGCACATGATACCTCCAACGGAATCTGTTCCATGGATCCTTTACACACAAGAAAATCCGATATACACTTCCGTAATGAACGACGCCAAGTTTATGTCCAGATTTAAACTGTTAGTAAGTTACCGTTTAGATTACGATTTTCCTTGGCCATCCTTTCATATGCCAAACGCAACTCCACCTCTTAGGTTTAAGGAAAAGACTAAACTAATAATGGCTGCATTCTCGAACTGTGAGCCAGTGCGAACTGAATACATGAGGCAATTGATGAAGTTTGTGCACGTCGATTCTTATGGAGATTGTCTCAGGAACAAACATGGTCTTGTGGAACGCTATGGATCTAGAAACGGATCAAACTTCTTAGAACTGAAAACTGAATTAGCCAAGCAGTACAAGTTTACTCTGGTATTTTTTAACCAGGACTGTGATTATTTTGTCGATGCACAACTGAATCATGCTTTGAATGCAGGTTCAATTCCCGTTGTGATGAGTACAGATAAACTTGACGAGTTCCTGCCCGGCAATCTACGACATTCCGTCATTAAAGTCCGTGATTTCAGGACTCCGAAAGATCTTTCTGATTATCTGAAGTACCTCAGCAGAAATGAGACTGAGTATAACAAGTATTTGTCATGGAAATTGGAGGGAATAGAAAATATCACTGGAACCGCTATTGAAAACGTTTGGAAGCCAAAGTATCCGCTTTATTGCCAGATCTGTGTGGCACTTTCACAAGGACGAATACACGAGAAGGGACTGGAGCCAATACCTTGTAAGGCAAGGGCTTACGAAGATTGGGGAATAACACCTAGCAGCCGCACAACCCTCGTCATGAAAAATGTAATTTTACTTTACCTATTATCATTATTAACACCAATCCTGATATAATTTGTTAAGGGTGGTTAAGAAGAGCGAAAGGCATGTAACCAAAATGTTAATTTGCTGGAGAAAACTCTCATACCTTGATATCATGATTTGAAAGTAATCGTCTCTGATCTTTCACAGAAACAGACTACATCGGTTACTTTTGTCATCGTGATAAAACTCGTAGATTGGATTTAGTATAGGTAATTTCATAAGGCCGAGTAACATAAGATTTCTTATCATGTTTTAGAAGTTACGGAAATTACCAATTTCTGCAACTTAAGAAAACACAAATGATATCAATCCTTAACCTTAATTATGGGGAAACATGCTTGTCTATGATAAAAATGACAAAGTTATCTTTTACTAAGAAGTTAAAAAACGCATGCTGTTACTTTATTTCGTGGGTAGCCATTTCAGTGTTCGGTTAGTGTCAATGAACTGTAAAACGCGCGAATCAGCTGATTTAAATTCTAATTTTGGACAACAACGCCAAAGCAATGAAACCAGCCCCGCTAAAAAACATTCGCCATTCATAAGATTATAGTACTTTTGTTTAATACTTAAAATTTAATTTCTTATTTTTCAAGTTATTTTGCCCGGAGCAAGCACCAGAATTAATAAAGAAACACCTTCTATCTCAGCCAATCAGCATTTAGTTATTTGCCCTTTGTGGCATAACCGCAGAAAAAAGCCTCTGTGACTCTGTGTGCTTGTTTTTTGTCTCACATACATCTTCAGTAACCTGCTTGAGTTATGTGATCTGTCTACAAAACCATTTTGAAAAGACTGACCTAAAAAAATATTTGTGGTTTCCCGCAGGTCATCAGTTATCGACTAGGGGCGTTATATGGACAATAGTCAACGGCACGACGATAGGAAAAAAATCAAACATTGTCAGGGGGGCAGGGGATAACGTGTTTATCTACCTTTAATGCATAAATTAATTGTCTACCTGATTATCATGGAACGTGTGAGTGAATTTTAGGCCCATACCTAAATCTGTAAAATGTTCGTGAGACTGTTACGTCACTATAAGCGGCTAGGTTATTAAGAAATCAAAATGGCGGCGTCAAGCACTTTGAAGACGTCATTTTCGAACAGTTAGATTCTTAAGAATTTGAAAACGCAGCATCACGCATACTTTCATCGGCAGATCTAAAGATTGTGTGGTTTCTGAAACAGTACTTCTCCACGACAAGAAAACTCATCACCTGTGACCCCTAACCTTAACCAAAATGATACACTTATCCAGTGACATGTGGGTTGGGTCCTTGGCAAAAGTAAAACAACCATGTGGAATTCAAACGTCACGGAATGCGAACCAGAGATATCAAAACAGTTCCTCTTTATTTTAATTCATAAGCTATTTCGATTCATCTTCTCACTATGCTCTTAGAATGTGCTTCTGACTTCAAACCATTTTACACGGGCACGAAAAACCCTCGTCATAAACGATGACAGAAAGATTTTCGAACTGACGTTTGTTCAAAGACGGGAACGATTCAGGAATATATCATGATGGAGACAAAAAGCACGTCAATTTCGGTTTAATCAGCCGCTATCAAGTTCACAGAATCAAGTTACATAGAAGTCTTCGTTACTTATCTAAGTTTTTTCATACACAACACTAAACACAGAACTTTAACTACTAAAATTACGATCAACAAGTCAAACCCAAAGCCTTTAGCAAAGGTTACAGGCCCACGATTTAATTATCAATATTTTTTCTTTAAGCTGCCACGTCACTGTTTGCACATCTTGAAAGATTTAGGCTACATAATCAATCCCTTTCAATATTGCTAATTCTTTACCAGCTCTTTTCCAGATTGGTTAATTTTTTCAATCAAACTGCTTTTCTCTCTTACCAAAACAATTTTCTGTGGCTTCCTTTGCCATTGACACTGATTTTCAAGGTTGCAGCGAACGACATGCAAAATTTCGTGACCTCGCGCTTTCTAAGTTACATCTTAGGAGCTAAGAGTATTAAAAATGCGGGTAGTATTCTGCTAACGTGAAAGCGTAGATACGTATCACGTTAAGTAAGAGTTTGCCATTGCCGAGTGGGAATCAACTCGAGACGACTCTATCCGATCCACCCCGGCTTGTTACGAGGTGAGAAGATCCAGCCTGACTCGGCATACTTGACCTAATACGATTCAACCTAACAATTTTCTGAGAGCTCAACACAAAGAACCTACAACAATTATAATCTAGTTAAAATATTTCACAACGACTGTCAACTTTCAAGACTTTAAATGCAAAGACATACTGGTATCTTTACAATAACTATTCAATGATAACCGCGAACAAACTATATCAATAAATATTACACACATCCTAAACAATTTAACAAGCCTTCGTCTGGCCTTCCAACAACTTCTTTTTATCGCAAACCCCTTTTAATTTGCTTTCTGCCAATAAGTTAGAGAGAAATAACATTAACTTCCTTTTCGCCTTAAAAATCCTTAATAAGACCTGGCTCTTTTATCTTAAACATAAATCCTATCTTTTCCTACTAAATGTTCTAGAATTGACTCGATTTCTCTTCGTGTACGCACGTAACAACTAGATATAATTAGAATATTAACAAGTCACCACTAATCATCTGCCGTAATTAGCTAATTAGCATAGACTCATCTCAGGCTAACATCAAAAATTCGAGATAATCTAATATACTGCTCGGCCTAAAGACAAATATATAAGGAAAGAGTAAACTTCACTCTTCTAATCTTCCGCAGCATTTCAACACTTTCTAACACAGTGGACACAAATAAAACAGAAATTTCCTGTTTAAGCCTACAATTACAAACTAGAACAATCAAATAATTTCTAAAGAAATTTGAAAAATAATCTCAATGAATTCTCTTCGTAAAATCCTCCCATCCCTGTAGTACTTAAAATCATCACACCTCACTACAATTACAACTAGAATCGAGGAAAAAAACTATTAAGACGTGCAAGTCACTGTTACGGTCGTTATCAACTACGAAACCGTACGTAAAATAATCAATTTGTATATATTGTAGGTGAATTTCCACATTTTGTTGAGCTAGCTAACCCTTTCAGATATCATGATTTAAATAAATTAACAAAAGTTGAAAAAAAAACATAACAATCATAGCCTATCTCACATAACACTGGTCAACAACAACAACAACAACAACAAAACACGTCAGGAGTATACAGTGCATGAGTAATTTCAAATGAATGGGCGCTAGTGGAGTTTTCATCCACAAGATTTCCATGCCATAATTTGGTGTGACCACACAATAAATGCTTTGAGATTCTACTTAAAGTAAATAAATACATGCAAATGTAAGAAATAAAATCAGTCTTTTAACATGGTTTCCTCTGAATCTTCCTCACTCCCGGGCAAAAAGAAGTTAAACCACTTCTGCACGTTGTAAGTGAAACGTCCTAACAAGAGAAACAAAGTTATTAGCAACGAGAACAAAATGCTTAATACACTCTTGTTAAATTCTGTGAGTTGAACTCATAAATCAAACTAACTAATATATCAAATTGAGAGAATTATTGATCAGTTCATTTTCACTACAACCCTTGCGACAGTAACCTTAGGTTGAATTTTCCCTCCTCACGTCAATTTCGTCTTCATTTCTTTCCAAAATAATTGAACTGAATTAACAAGCAACTGACTTGAAATAAGAGGGGTAAGTTTCTAAAGAAACTGCGGTGCTACGTCGGTGGGAGAGCGTTAGCCTTTCGTCAAAGCGATGAAGGTTGAATTTTCCCTCCTTACGTCAATCTGGTCTTCATTTCTTTCCAAATCAGGGGGGCAAGTTTCTAAAGACACTGCGGTGCTACGTCGGTGGGAGAGCGTTAACCTTTCGTCGGAGCGATGACGAAACGCTAACGCTCGAAACGTCAGCTTTTGAACTCTTTACGGTGGCCAACTTATGTTATTAACTCAGTAGATAAAATTAAATTACCCTAAGTCAACTTGTGCATTATTAAATATAACTTTGGGCAGGAACACACTTATTTCCAACTGAGCTGATTGTCACGTCTTTCGCAGCAAACAATGCATATGGTCGGTTGAGATTAGTTCACTAATGTAATGAAAATTGCAATTTCGTCAGTCGACTAATGTCTCAAAATACATTTTGAACTCTGGACACTAACCACAGCATCCGTCGCATGCATCCTTTGTTTTGCTCCAATAACAACAGAAGAAATAGACAGGTATGCCGAGAGCGATGAAGATCAGGGCCATGGCAGACTCCTTAGGTTCCTGCCAGAATGGAGTGATCAGCAGATAAAGGGCTGCCAGGTCAGCAACGATAGGCACAATCAGCCAGACCTGTTCCAAAGAAAAGTGTGAGGTTTGGCAGATAAAAGGCTAAGGCAGGTATGGTCAATACAGGGTTCATTTGTAAAAAAGAAAAAAAAAATCACCTTTGTTGAGTGCAGCTAAATATTACTATTTTGCATTGTTTATGAGGCAAAAAAAATTGCCCTTTATTCTTTAGCACCTCAAGAGACAAGAATTAAATTTTCCTTACAATATCACCCCTGAATCAAACACCAATGTCACAGGAATCAAGGAGATAATCACTGGCTAGAGAAGCCCTTTATTGTTAAACAAATTCTCCTTGTCAGAACCTTAAGAAATCCATAGAGAACAGTATGGAGAATATGCATACTAATGATAGGTGTAAAGGGTTAACTGGAATGAAGCCTTGAAACAATGATTTATGAGGATTTAGACCAAAGTAAAATAATACATGCCGAGGCCAAAGAAAGCTCATGATGGAGAAAATGACCACAGATTCTGAATGAAAACTTTTTTCGTCTAAAAGGTACATGTATTACTTCCAAGTCCATGCTTTGCGAGACCATTCAAAACTGTCAGAACCAAGTAAAAAATGGCTACTATTTCAAACATCAATACCATCTAAACTAATCAAAGTACCTTGTATGGTCTCTTAGCATCTGGACGTTTCCACCTAAGGTACATCAGAGCTGTGATGACTGCAAAGTATGAGAGCCATGCAGCAAAGCTGAAGTAGTTGACGAGTGTGCTGAATTCACTGGAGTCAGGAATCAACATGATCATGGCAATGACATGCTACAATTCAATAAAAAGAAAATACAAATTAAATGGAGGTTTTAACATATTTTGGGGTGATACTATTAGCTTTACACAAGGGGGTGCTTTTTCCAGCCAAGGACATTAGTGTTAAGGTGAGTAAATGGGTATCAAAACTGATTGGTTCTATCACCTTTAGAAAGAGTGGATAGTTTAGTTGCTCAATTTTTGAGCCTGTGGTTTTTCTATTTTGTGCCCTTTTTAACAACATCTAACTCATCATAAAATACTTACAGCAACTCTTCTTCTGGAGAAGTGCAATAAAGGAAACACACCTCTCAGTTGGGAGTCCCTTTTACTCACAACTATGGCCGAAATGTCATGCAAACTTTGTTGGGGCAACACCTCTCAATTCTAAGGTGCATGCATGTTTATAAAACTTACCAAGAAAATGATGGAAGGCATAGGAGTATGACAAGTCTTGTGAACCATGGCAAGTATTTTAGGCATGTGACCATTGCGAGCTGACACAAACACCAACCTATGGACACAGCAGGCAATCAGTGAGCAAAATGTACTACATGATGGCGATTAATTAATTATAAGGTTCAAATTTTGCATTAATTAAATTCTGCCCTTCTCCCCCTGCCAGCAACCTCCCCAGCATTTGAACTTTTGAAGTGTTCAAATGCTGGATTAACATTTTTTTTTTATCAATTCCTTGCACAGGGCAATAGGCTGCATATAGGTGTTACTGTTTGCTTGAGTGAAATTTTTTTACAGTAGCATTGACTTCTAGCATACACTTGCAAAAACTGAAAAAAATGGCCATTTGACTCACCTTGCACCACTGAAAGCCAGTCCATTCACACAACCAAAGGTGGAGCATGCAACAAAGATTGGAATCAACCAAGCAACAGGTCCCATCTTCTCCTCTCCAACAACCTGCACATTGAACCAACATGTTATTTAACCCAATCTAACATTCTGTAAATGGCTACAATCCTTCCTTCAAGGCCTTATGCCCTACAAACCTAAACCTTTGCAGTTGTCCACCCGCCTGAGTCTAATAAAAACTAGGTGTTGGCTCAAAACCAGTCACAAGCGAGTTACATTATATTGTAGTTTCTCTTGAAGAAATTTTGGAAAGATGAAAAAAAGCAATAATTCAACTTTTGTTGATCAACCAAGAAAGATATGGACAAGTGCATTTTTATGAAACAAATAACTTTTTTCTTACCGTGACAACTGTCTTGTTTTTACCTCCAACCCAACAAAACTGCTACATGCATTTGTTCAAAATGAACAACAAGTCTCTTGGACATTATTGTGTGTAATACTCACCATAGCCACAGCTCCTGAGTTTAAAATGCCATGTCCTCCAACAACAGCAATGTAGGCAATGTTAGTCAAAAGGTAAACAATGGTTACTAGAGGGATTCCAATCATGAGAGCCCTTGGTAAATCCCTGAAGATCACAAAAATAATATTGTTGATGAATGAAACCACTTCAGAGATTCCTTTTATACCATCCTCCTAGAAAAGTCAATGATTCACTCCCTCTTAGAGTAAAGCTTATTGTGTGACAATCATGTAGTAATCAAACTCAAGAAAAAAATATTACATATATTCCTTTCCATTTGTACAAAACAAATCCACTGAATAATGCCATGTATAATGCCATTAAGTAACTCTTCAATACAGGCCAGGAGGAAAATACAAACAAACCATTGAGACTCAGTAAAGGGTGACCATGACCTCTTAATACAAGTGACCACTTGATAGAGGCAAAAATTACAGTGACTAAGGGAGGAAAATTTTGGACTTTGAAAACTGACCACTTCATACAGGGTAATCATTAGTATGGTGCTGCCTACTACAGGTTCAACTGTATTCTATTTCAATAAATATACAGGAAGATGCAATGGCTTAAAGGTTAGTGTACCGAACTCTGAGTCAAGAGGTCTGGGTTCAAGACCCGACCAAGTCATTGTGTTGTGTTCGTGACCAAGACTCTTCACATGCACAGTGCCTCTCTCCACCCAGGAGTATAGATAGGTACTGGTAAACAGTCTGAAGAACCTGATCAAATGCAGGGCGGTACCCTCTGATGGACAAACAACCCTACCCAGGGTAATCCTAGTTACTTCATGCCATGAAAACCTGGGCAAGCTGCTTGGCTTGACTGCTCACTTTACCTTGATACTGTACATGTAACTTAAGCAAGATTAGCTGCAAAAAAAGAATGGCTTTCTTTACCTAGCTGGGTTCTTCATCTCTTCAGTGACAAAATTTAAGCTATTCCTGCAGAATAGAGGAAATTGAAACCAATCAACCAACAAGTTCAACAAAAACATGACAATCAGTTAAGAGTATTTCCATGGTAAAAATGCTCACACAAAGAAAGTTCCACAGAAAAACATACCATCCATCATAAGCCCAGAGGCCTGAATAGAAAGCCAATCCAATATTTGCCAAGTTTGAAGTAGTTCCATCAAAAGATCCCTTAAAGTTTTGAAGATTACCTATAGAGAAATCATGTCATCAGTTCCTGTGTGGTCCTCAATCTCATACAAAGAATATAAAACAGAAAAAAAAAATTTCAACTCAAGTTGCTTGGAATAAAATCAAGAAGCTAAACTGTTTGTAGTTAAGGTGACTAAGAGTGACTAGCATCTAATTTTGTTTTCTCTCTACAATAACACCTGAAAAAAAACATTACAGTCATGAGAATCAAGGAAATGATCACCAACTAAAGAAGCTCTTGATTGTTCAACAAATTCTCCTTGTCAGCACCTTGCAAATTTTGTAAAGAACAGTAAAGAGAATATGCATACTGATGTTAGGGTGTTAAAAGGTTTGATACAAAATTATTCTTACCTGATCCAACCTCAATGAGACCAATCACGATCAGAATTGCAAGAGCAATAAGTTTTCCAAAAGTGAAGGAATCCTGAATGCGTGTGGCCCATTTAACACTTGCACAATTTATAAACATAGTCAGAGCTAAAACAAAGATAATGAGGAAGATTAGAGTTTTTTCTTTGTAAATGCTGATGTTTATCTAGGAACAATGATATTGCCATAACAAGTTGGCCTCTCAGGCTGCGCAAAAAATCTTAAAATTGTTTTGATGCAATTAACTTTTTTCGTACTTGCATAGGCACTATTTCAGCTTGAAATGATGCTTGTAGCTCTGTTTATGATTTTTTATTGAACTTATACACTTTTTCAAAAGAGAAAAGGGTTTGATAAGAATATCATATGAACTTCAAGAGAAAAACAAATCAGAGCAACTACATCTAGCAAATTAAGGTCTTTCAAAATAACTGGATCCGTCTATAAACAGCAAGGAATATTGCAGTTTTTGCCCTAAATTTCATTCAGCTCTTCAATTAATACAATTTCTTTAATGATGAAAACTATAACAAAATTCTTGAATGTGATTGGTTATCACCAGCTCAAGTTGAGCACCAAAAGGACAGTGTACACATCATGCTTGTAATTGGACAGTGTAATAGGACAGTTAAAGAGACAGTTAACATTTCATGCCTAAGTGGACACAAGTGTTGTTTTTCTTTTTTATATGAAAATTTATAACCAATGTCTAGCTTTTTTCTCAAATTATGTCATAGTTTTGATTTATTGGTAACAGGACCTTGTGTTGTTCAATTCTGTCTGTAGCAATACTTGTGATTGACAAATCTGACTCCCGCTTTGCAGTTGTATGATTTTGTTAACCACTCATATGAATACAGACCAAATTGGACTCCACATGGTCCTATTGCCATGATCAAAAGAATTCTTCCTGCTGCTGGAGCGAAAGAACAGTAGCTTCATATTACTGAATAATTTTCCTTATGCATCACTGCTCTCATTCAGATGTTGATAGTTTTAGACACTAGTCTTGTGCGTGTAGTAAAAACTTAAAACAAAGGCATTATCTGACAGCTTTTATGCGTTTTGGTTTGTTATAGTATTGTTCTATTCATTGAAAAATACATCTGACCACAATTTCATCTCTGACGTGAGAGGAAAATTAAAATGTCTTGATATTTGGCAGAAACAATAGCCATGACCACTCAACCTTTAAAAAATTACCTTTAAGCACTGCACTTCAAAATCATCTCAATTATATTACCCCTTCTTCTCTCAATACAAGCGTTGACCCACCTAATAAAAATTCTACTGGAGGTCGGCTATTATCCACCCACATAAAAGAACATTTAATACCCCCTGACAAAACGTTTTCAAATGCAAATTAGGCAGATGAGGCCACGTTTCGAAGCTGATGCAATAACACGCTAAAAAAATTTAGCTCTTCGGTGTAAACAAAAAACCACGAGGCACATTAAAGAAACATATAAGACCATGATGGACGATATGGTCCTAGTGCAGTAAAGCCCAGGATTACGAAAAGTAACTAATTTTAAACTCCAGAAGATTTCGATTAGAAATGATGTCTAATGTATGCACATCGCAATCGCACTAGCACAATAAGAAAAACTTACATTAAAGAGCAGAGGTTACGTTTTATCGCAATTAACTAACGATCAACGTTTTTTTTTTAAGGTAGCCCTGAGGACATGATACTCACCCAAACATGTTGCTGCTAAGATCTTTCTGACAGGAATCGGACTGATTTCGCAGTCGGGGAAGAAGGGCTGACTAACATAACGTGCAAAGGTTAGGGCCACGACACTGAGTGAAGATGGGCGAATGATCAAAGCGAGCGTCCAACTATAAAGAAATGCTGGTAGAGGACCAAAGGCTTCGTAGAGATAAGAATACTCAGCACCGGATTTAGGGATCATGGTACCCATTTCACAGTAGCAGAGGGAGCCAAGGAGAGCGAGAATACCACATCCTGCCCAGACGACCAAACTCATTCCGACTGATTCAGTCCATTTGAGGACACCTTTGGGTGAGATGAAAATTCCGGAGCCGATAATCACACCAACAACAAGAGCAATGCCATTTAGAAGGGTGACTTCCTTTTTAAGGCCAACTTGTCCATTGACTTCAACAGCTGGGAGAGCATCTCCGTTCGTTTCTTTGTCATGATCGCTGGTTAGCGGCTGAGCAGCGGCCGCTTCATCTTCCTTCGATGCCATTTGTACGACTTAACTTGTGAGCTTATAAAGAGACTGAGCTTTTACACGGCTGTGCTTTGTTAGATTCCTAAGGAATGATAATAAAACCTTACATCAGCTGGGTCAATCTATGAATCCTGAAAAGAATCGGGTTTCCACGTGTCTTGCTCGAAAACGAAAAATTTCATTCAAAAAGGCAGTTTGATCGAAATTAGGACAGAAGTATATAAAGAATTGAAACAAATGAGAACTCTTAGATTCCTGTTCGTTCATTGCATCAGAACAGCTAGCACTGGAACTTACCAGACAAGAAATTTGATATCAGAACCTCCTAAATCCTCCTTCCTAGACAAAAACACCGCCAAACAAACTTTTAGCTACCTCTTGGCGGGAAACAATTTTATGATCACTAGGAGGTTAAATATTCATTAATGGCAGAAAATGCTTATCTGTGATTGGTCTAAACGTCGACCTTTGTGGTGCCCTTTGAACACTTTTGGCGAATGTAAATAGATACATATGGTTGCCACGTGAACAACCTGTCTTCCTGAGTGTAAAATCTATGAAATTTTTCCCACATGTTTCTGAAAAAAAGGGAAAATTTAAACTCTGACTTGATAGATGTGAAATTCTCACATGATGTCGGATGTTTGGTGGAACAGAGAGTTTTCTTCATCTCCAGATATAATTTCAATCGAAAGTGCCGAAATTTTTACTTTTCAACACTTAAAAAAACTCACGGTCTTTGCAACCCAAACATTGCATCATGTTTCCGAAGAAACGAGACATGATAGCAAAAATCCGTAAGGGGGGCGATAAACAACCTCTCAACTCCGAAACATAATTTTCAAAAGCCGGGACGAAGTTCTAGACACTACAAAATGTCTCTTGTATTGTTTAACTAGTTGTAGAGGGTCTATGCTCTCTAAATATCGAAGACAACTTGTGAAAAAAACTCTTGAAAACAAATGACAAGACGTTAGCCAGGTGTTACAGAAATGTTTAGGATTTTTGGATGGGAATCACGCGATAAATGAACAGCCGATGTACTCAAGTATCTTGAGAAGAATTAGTGATAATTTATTTCGGAAAAAAATTCTTTTTCGTTCGATATGGCTCAGTTCATGTTCTCGATTTTTTACGGTTGGCCGTCTTCATGGTTTTCACGGTTGGCCGTGTTTGTCATCAAAGTATATGGAAAAAGTAGTTTGAGTCTCTAAGTAAACTAAATAATCATTAAGCATAAGAACTAAAAGGGAAAATAGATTGTATAAAGGTAGTGAACAGTGCACACCGATCAGATCCTATAAAAAAATGAAATTCATCTTACAGTCCACCTATAACATGACGGCACGAATTTCTCCTGCCCGTGTGATGGAGGGCACAGAGGGTCGATGTTATGTTGACCACACCTATACTCAAGGGTGGTCAGTTGACTTTGGAGGCGCAGTTCACTTTGACCGCACCCATGAGATTTCGCCTTGTCATGAGCATCACGAGGTTAGGTCAAAACGTACCACACCTAAATTACTGGGAGTGACTATTCACCTGTAACTTCACAGCTTGGTTTTTACACCAGCAGAGAATGGATTTTTACTGGTTGAATTTCCCTTCTTGTGTCAAATGATGTCTGTTTAATTTATTATTTTTGGCCTGGTTGTACTCTTTTTGGGAACGAAAACGAACCTATTACCGTCGGTTCAAATGGGCTCCTGGTTTGCGATTTTGGACTAAAAACTCCGTGGCGACCACAGATAAACTTACAAACTAAAATAAGATAAGTGCTGAAATATTAAGATATTCTTTGGGAAACCAAATAACCAAAAAAGACGCGGATCAGTCTGCGATGCGAAGAAACCATTTTGGTAAAGAGGAAAGGAAAAGAACAGATTAAAATCTGCCTCGCTGCCATGATGAGGCTTCGGTGCTCAGTTTCTAGTAGCATCTTAATTACTGGGTCTGGGAGGCCTCACTCGAACCTAAACATTACCATTAAAATGCTACAGAAGTAAAACGCTTTGGGAGGCGAGAAGAATTTAAAATTTTGTTAAGGCGGGAGGTTACATCCCGATCACCGAGCTGAACTTGCCACTCATGCGGGAAATTTCGGCCCGTTTCTCTCCAGTTCCATGTTGAACAAGCCACGACTATCAATGTTCGTCTTGTAAGCGAGGTTAAGTTTCCAGACGAAAAATTTACCAGCCCGGTTGTTGGAATTTCGGTCATGACAACTATGACCTTAGTAATCAGGCCACGAAGGACTTGAAAAAATTAAGGACGGAGCAAAATTTTGAGAATTAAACCATACGAGTTGATGAGGCGAGTAAAATAATGTCCTGAATTAGGGTTATTGCAAGAAATAAAATTAAGCACTATTCGGGAGGCTGTACTTACAAGCGCACTGGCTGAAAATGCTGTGGAACTTTTGTAAAGTAGAGATCAAACGACGAGGAAGAAACTTCAGTGGCTGCCTGTTAGCGCACCTTTGTTTGTAATGATGCTCACATGTACCAATGAACCGACCTCGATGTCACATGAAAATGGCCTGAGGAGGATTTTTCGGCAGGGGGGGAGGGCACATTGTTATGAATAACGATTATTATTGATAAAGAGAAGATATCAAATGTGCCTCATAAACCCGAAAAGTTTCGAGGCCGAAACGTTTTCGATTTTGTTTCGAGTTTCGGAGAGCATGCGAAATAAAAGCCGTGGCGGATCTAAAACCACAAACCTAAGGGTGTGGTGAAAGCAAGCACCCAAGGTAGAACCATATCATCAGAGAAAGAGATAAAAAGGACAAAAGTTTTATTTAGACTACAGAATTTCTTCTTTCAGGAGTTTTTCGGTGAAAAAAAATTAAACTAATGTCACAGCTTTTGGACATGACAACATCATGGAAGGAAAACTTGCTGACTAAAACTTGTCAGATAACAAATTCCTTGTTTCTATTCAGCGGGAAAATTTACTTATGTTTAGATACTAGGTGTGAAAAAGAGCGATGGTTGGTCAAATATTAACATGGATTGCTTTAACAAGCTAAACTTGCAATGATCACAAGGGCTTCGGTTTAAAAACTTTAAAAATGTATCTCCGTCACGCCTTTCACCTGTAATGGTTAACGACATAGCGCTGCGTGTGTGTATGTGGTAAAATTTGTGGTTTCCAACAGTTTTACAGATTAATTGTGTCCTGAAATCGAGGACGAATTGCAATGAACTGAGATAATATCTGAAGTGTAGCAATTGGTTATAACTACACTGCTAACACCCTTGCGGAATTTAATCACGGGAAGGTGCTGAGTAGAGAGGTCACCGCAATGAAATAACATTCAAAAAAGGAGTTGCCTCCGCTAAACTCTTTTAATTAAAACTACAATGAAACATTCAGTTTCTCAAAAACTTTGCATTCACAGCAAAATTTTGATATCTTGAAATCCTCATAGAGTCCTTACTCGTAGAGCTATGCGACAAAAAACAAAAAAATGTTTTATACTAATTTGCCTAAAGAACAGTAAACCAAGCGAAGTATGCATGGCTAGCTGGACGTGCTCCTGAAAATGTTTATCTCGTCATAAAAACCGCAGTGGATTGTATTTATTTGCTTCTTGCATTTTCGTTTCGTTTTTTTTTTTTTTTTAAACAGAATCTATCGAGATAAACTAGGTAGAGACACTCGTAATGCAGCAGATAATGCTGTTGTTGCTGTTGTTTTTAACGATGTATACATCGTTCGGAAATATTTGTAGATAAATAATAAAAACTTCTGATTATTTCGCAGGTTATTTTTTAAGATCAGATATCAGATTTTGACGTTTGTGTTGCTTATCTCTGTTAAAGTGAAATCTACTGATTCACCAGTAACTTCAAAGTCAGTTTCTCTTTGTGGATGCTAATATTTTCATTTCGTCTATTCTCTTTAAACATCACGATTTTTCGGCGTCGATTGTTCAACTTTATGCACTCTAAACCAAAGAAATTACCCTTTGTCCATAAAAGCACTTTTACGTAAGGCGTTGAAGGTAAAGAGAAAGGAGGAAACAAATTTAATTTACCGCCCTAGTTGATTGCACTGGGTGTCAAAATGCCACAATTTAAACCGTCCACAATGAAGTGAACTTATTGCTCATTCAAGTAACTCTGGTTTCATTGGATGGTTTCCTTATAATGCATCCGCAGAATATTTAAATGTAAACGGCATCTGACACAAGGACTTTAGTCCCTTACTTATTCAAATCTGATTCCGGAAACCGCCTTCCCCTTTTTTTTTTCTTTTTTTTTTTTTGCTATGAGGTTCCAAATGAATTATGTCTTTGTATTTAAATGGACCACACGCGGAGAATAAAATGCAAGGATCAAAACGAAGCCATTTGATTTGGAGTTTAATTCATTTAAATTTTTAATTTCACTGTTTCTTGGTGAGAGCAAATTTTCCTGTAATATTCCGGCCATGATCATGAAGCTGCAGCTGCAAGCAACAAAAGAATCCCTGATGTGCTTCAGCCGAAAAACAAGAATCTATTTCAGTTTCGATCTTCTCTAACGCAAAGCTGAAAGGCAACGATATCACACTCTAGCAAAAAAAAACCCAATTTCACTGATCGAATTTTAAACCACAAGAGGTTAAAAAAATATTTTAGTTTTTTCTAAACAAAACGTGGTAGTACGATCGGAAAGATGAAAAAAATTATCACATTATTTCAATATTGAGTGATATAAATTGAGATAATTCTAAAATCCCAGCCATTTTCCCGCTCCTCGAAAAAAGGATGTAAGAACTTGCAACGGTAATAGAGAAAAAATGATTATCACATACCAAGCAACCTTTCCCCAAGATAAATGCTACCACAATATTTAATTTTTGACTAGACTAGACAACAAAAGAATAATATTGTTGTCTACTTCACCTAAAAAAGAAAACGGTTACTTACCCAAGGTAGAACCATATCAAACTCTTTCCCCAGCGCGATGAACATTTGTTTTTCTCGGTTCCAGGTGTACGCGACCATGCACATGCTCTCCGTTGCGAATTTTCAAAATGGCGGACAGGCTAAATAGGGAAATAAAAAAAGCAAAGTGATTTTGCAACAAATACTTATCATAAACCCCCGTTAGAAAGGCGAATCCACGATAGAAAGATACAAAACTGTATGATATTGAGATCAGGGAGGTTGACAAAATCAACAAGAGAGGTTGAAAATTCATTACGTTCGCCGTTTAGCACATGCTTCGATGAATGGACACCCTTCAGGGCCAATAGAGGATCTGGATATTTTTCGTTTGTTCGCAGCGAAAAGCTGTTCATTCCCTCGGAAAATTCTCTAGAGGATAGAAAAGAATCGTTCCATGGCCAACTTGCTCGTGAAATAAAGAAAAAGCTTTGGTCTGGACAGCGAGAGGACCCTGATATAAACATAGGCCTTAATGTTGACCAAGATGTTCTCATGGAAGGTCTAGGGAGCGTTTTGCCCGGCGTTCTTCAAAGAGGAAAGATGGTTTACCAATTGGAGTCAAATAGGGTGCTTGATTCATATCTGGGGCTGAAGTGGGATGAAAGAATTTTAAATGTAGGTGAAGATTTTGCCTATGTAATTCCAGGAACTATTAAGTATTGGCTGGGACAAAGAAGTCCAATCATTGAATACAAGCTCATCATTGTAGGTGTTCTTAAACCCTTTCATAACCTGCTGCCTCCAGGGACTGAATCCTGTTTTTCTTCAGAAACAGTTGTTTAAGGGCATCAACCCCTTTGTGAATTGTGGATCTGAAGAAATCTTTAGAAGCTCTATTATTGTATTTTTCCAAGCCTTGCTGTGTGTAATATGCTATGTTCTGATAAAGTGACAGGAACTCAGGAACATTATAACATAGTGCATGCATGTAGGGAGTGACATCTTTTGCTTGGTAAACTTTGAGAAAGTGCTCAAACCATGATTTGATATTTCTTTGCAGTTCAAGAATAACCTCTTCAGATGTAAAATCTAGCCTCAAATCACCAATTATGTCCATAAATTTAGCCCAGATCACTTGTATGTCTTTGTTTTGACTGCAAAGAGGGACAAGCATAGGTCAGAATGTTTATATTCTTAAAGAGTTTCAACTTTTCTGGTTCGGTAAGATCTCTATATTCCAGCTTTTTGCTCTCTTTGTTGATTCTAAAATTAAAGGTGATTCCCATACTTTTGATAAATTCTTCATAACATGCCATGTGTTTATATTTATCTCTTGGGAATCCATCAGAGGTTTTTTTTTCTCAATAGCATCACTTCTTCTCAGCTCTCTTATGAACAAGTTAATCAAAACATCTGAAATCCTCAGAAAAAAATGTAATGTATCTATGATGACAAGGTCCATAGGTATAAAATCAAATAATGGTTGTGCCTTACAGTTTAATTTCCTTCCAGTGGAAAACCTTGCTATTTTAACTTGCTTGATATTAATTGACCATGTTTTGCTTGTGTCCCACCATTGCTCCCTGGGACACTTGCACCACACACAAGCATAATCCTCATTTGCCCTGCCTAAACCACATAACAGTGCTAAAAATTTCAAATATCCACGTAAAAAGTATTCAATTTTATAGGTGCAATTATTTGCACTTATCTCCTTTAAGTTTGACATTTCCATTCCAAGGTCTACTAGGCTGTCTCTCAGATTATCATATGTCTCTGTAGTTTTTATAACAGCAAGTATATAATTTCCCTTCTCACCCATTGCCACATCCTTTTCATGGAGAATAGTGAAAGTGAAGTTGACAACTGTAAGCCCCTTTCCAATATTTGTACCATCACCACTAAGCTCGATCTTAATAGTTTCTCCATCATTGATTTCTCCATTCTTCTGAAGCCTAACAATGTGCTCTTGCAAGCTTTCTGCAAATCCTAACTGAACACCTTCAGCATCTCCTGGTGTTGGTTTCAAGTTCCATTCACTGTTTAGCTCATTAATTCACTTCTTGATGGAATATATATTGGGGAGATCATTAGCCTTAATGGCAATTTCATGCCAGGCCTCATTTGAAATCATGAATTTATCTTTGAGGTAAAGCCACATATTTATGTTATCAATGTCATCATTATTAAGGGCCTTTGGGTCAGACTCTGTAAATGGCAGCTCTCCCTCTCCAACAAGATTGAAAGTTTCATATTGATTAGTCTCAGTGTTGAGGACTTCAATTTTAGTTGCAACAAATTGTACAGCCCAAGGAAGGAGAGTGTAGTTTGGCACTCCTCCTTCAGTTGGTTTTTAATTCTCTTTTGATGGTTCTTAGAATAGTCATTAAACTTCTTCTTAGCTGGGCCTCTACCTTTTTTCCCATTTGTAATCACTTTTTTAGCCAACTGAATAAGTAAGTAAATAAATTTATTGTAGAAGGCCCCTTTCTTCTCAGCTTTCTCGAGGGCTTCTCGGGCTTTTTTATCCACTCGCAATCGCTTTACCTTCTCTTGTACCAAAGATTCTTCTAATTTTATTTTTTCTCCCCTCAACTGGCTGTTCTCATCTTTAAGCTGATGTACATCAACCTCGTTGTAATACACCTTAAATCGATACCGAGGGCCCGTTTCCAAATTGCTAAGAAGTGCATTTAATTGCCACGATTACTAGCTTTCTTGACAGCTTTCTGAAAACAGAATATTTTCTTTCTGAAGACTTCTGATATATGGCTATTGATTATTATACCTCGTATACCTGATTGCTCAAACACTTTGTTTACAATCATTGAAACGACCGACTCATGGTTTTCTCTGAAAACTTCTTTGCTTTGAAATATTATAGATTAGTAAGCTGAAACGAAAAATTAATCAGGGAAGTTCACGAAAAATCCAGCGAACAAGCTTAAAAAAGACATTTAATTAGACTTCATACTGCGATGAACTTCACAAATCTTACTTATTTATCTCGTAAGTAAACAATGGCAGATTAATACCCGAAGTGCTTTCTGAGTTTCCTGATCCCTCTCCTACTGCTTTCACGCTCACCAAATAGGAAAAAATCAAAAGGAGGAAGATACAGCTGTTTTGAAACGCCATTTGACGAGGGTAAATCTGCTTTTTGTTCGACACTTTACATATCAAAACAAAGGAAATTTGTTCCTCTTTTTGATTCAGGCGGTACATTTTTAAATTGCGCTTGCGTAAAAAAGATATCGCCCGAGACGCTTCGCTCGGTTGTGTTTTGAACAAAAACGCCTTGTTAATTTCACGCAACCGCTCGGAGAAAAGGTTAAAATGACGGGGGAAAAACTTTACCTTCAAGTTAGAAAATTAGCGAAATAGAAAGCCACAACATTATAGTTTAATATTTCAGAGGTACATTGAGTGCTTTTTCCGTAGAGAATCCGCACGATGGTAAAATGTTCGAAAATTACACTCGATTTGAGTGGGGCGTTGAAGTGGGCGTGGTCACTATATTCATGTTAAGACTATTTGTACCCCGTGAGTTTGATATGCGTCCCCACCAAATACGAACTTCGGTCGGAGTGCAGAAAGAAGATGGAAATGGACTGCTTCGATTTCACTCTGAAATTGTAATGGAATTTACGTGACCAAAGTCCGAGGAATGATTTTCTTGTTGGATTGTACCCAGGGTCCACGATCGTTGAATAGGTCACGCCTTCATTTGATAAGTTATTCATTCAAGTTGATTTCGTATGGTAAAAACAAACACAGTGGTCAAATTGGGGCATGCGCAGGGGTATCAATTTTTAGGCGCCCGTGCGGAAATTTCCCCACAAAACAAAAGAAAATACTACTGTCTCGCAAAATAAACCGAAGAAAATTGAAACGTAAAAGGAAATAAGAGTGGAGAGAAGCAAACCTCGAGACCTTTCGAAGACAAAGTTTATTCAAGGACGAGCACCCTATTGAATTGTCAATAGCTTTATCAAAAATTTTGTACGTTTCTAAAACAACGTGACTTACTGACTTGCGTTGTTGCCCATAACTCTTATGAGACAACTTGGTTCTGGTAGCCTGAAAGCACGCCACCTAGTCATCACAACGTTCGCACGTGCGCAAACGTTTAAGCGATGTGTTATGCCGGTGTAAATTCTCAGTAGAGCAAGTTCCAGGCCTCGCGCGACCAGAGCTAACAACTAGCACCTTGGAGTATCGAAGGAAAATCTTGGTAAGTTTCTCAAATAATAAAATGGTACTCACGGGTGAACCTCCTAATATTTTTCAACGAAAAATGATTTCGACGCGCGGCGATACCAACTCTGATTGGTTACAAGAAATTCTATTTTACGCGGTCAAACTTATCCGATAATTGCATGTCCATTAATTCTTACGAACAATTACATGAATGCATTCTTAAATACCAGATAGAAAACGAATAGACGCCAAACTTTCCCATCGTACAAAGAGTTATAATGACGTGTAATTCTACGGGAGCGTTCACAATATCAATAATTCTTGGAACAATGAACTTTGTGAAAGTTAATGTATATCACGGACATGTAGCGTCGTAGTTTCTTCGACATGACGAATACGACGACATATGTTCACTTGAACAATCTTTAGCGAATGCGTATTTGCTCATAGCTCAGTTTCAGAAATCCAAGCAAAAAATGCAGCTGAAAAATTAGCGATTGTTAACTTATCTGGTCTGAGACAATTAAAAAAAAGGCAGAAATTGAGTATCATGGAATAAACTTCTGAACAAATACTGTTAGCTTGAATGTCACTCCAAATCATTACGTGTATCAGGATCAAAATATTTCAACTACTTTTTGCTGCCAGTGTTTTTAAGAAGTCATCAACACGATCTTGCAGAGCCTCCACTGTTCCTGAATGTCTCCGATACACACTCGGTGACACTGGAGCAGGATTCAGTGTGGCTTGAGGGTCTTCCATGGCCTTTCGGAGAGGTGAGGAGGGTGACAGAGTATTTAGGTCAATTTGGGTGAAATCTGAGCCTCGGCGGCTAGCTAAAGATGACCTGTCGATTGGAAGGAGAAGCCCTCCTGGAGGCATGGAATAACAACTCCTTGCAGATCCAGGCCTGGAGCCACGTCGCCGAGTAAGGTCGTATTCGCCAGAAGGTGATGAAGTCTCCAACTGAATATCTGCCAGTGCACTATCTGCAGATAGTGAAGACAATGACCTAGCGGTGGAGGGACGATTTATGGAAGAAGGTTGTCGTCCTGGACTCAGTGACCGCCGCATCCTGGCGGGAGACCCATTGTTCAATTCTGGCAGCATCTGTTCTGAAGCGGAATCTGTGTGTGATCCCTTTGGCGACGACCTTCCTGATGTAGGACGGAGAGAAGCCGCAACACCAGAGCCTCTCCTTCCGAGTAATGGAGAAAGGGGCTGTTTCAGTCGCGGCGGAAGCGGAGCTTGCTCCGAAATTTTTCCCCTCAGATGAGCTTCGTTTAATTCAAGAGAAATCACATTTTTGGATTTGGTAATTGCAGCAGATCCACGTCTACGTAGATTCGGAGATTGTGAAGAAGAATTACCCACTGCAGCAGAACCTCTTCTCCGCAGTATGGGTGAACTTGATACAGGTCCCTCTGCACTTTCTGCCTCTGCCTTTGATTGCATCAATTCAGCTGTTGCTGATCCACGTCTTTTAGTGGACGCTGGTGGAGTTGGTTCCAACATTTCTCCCTCCGTCCCGTCCATTGTAGATCCACGTCTTCTCACCTCTGCCGAACTTTTCGCTAACTGAATAAGCAGCTTTGGCGAGAGATCTGTGATTTCCGGCGCAGTACGTCGCCGATGAGAACCACGAGTGCTTTGAGAAAACGCGTTCAGCATCTTTTGAGCTTCTGCGTCGTCGATGGCAGGCGGTTCGTCCGCGGGAGCTGGCACATCACTTAGAGGCGCATCCGAGGATTGACTTGCAACAGATGACCGCCTGCTCTCTGGATCAAAGTCAGAGTCAGTCTCCTTCCTCTCGTTATTGATTAAAATTTCCGGCGCTTCACCTGTAGAACTTCGTTTACTTGACAGACTTAAAACAGACGCCGTCTCGTCTGCATCGTCTTGCTTTGGTGAAATGGGTGCGTAGCTCCCCCTCCGAGATATGCTGGGCGAACGCAACACCCTTCCTTGACCAAAAGTGGCATTTAATGAATCACTAGCAATTTGTTCTTCCATATCTTGCGTGTTTCGTTTTCTCCTCATATCGTATTTCATGTCAAGAGAAGTTTCACATATTTTCACCATAGACTTTCGCTCCGAATATTTGATAGCTTTCATTTTTTTGTCCAGTTCTTTCTCAGCCAACTTCTCATTCTTTAGCATCGTGGTTATCAAACGATTCCCGAGCTTCGACATATTTTTGTCTATCGCTCTACTTTTCCCCGCCATGATGTACAAGTTCTTACGAAACAACTATCTTTAAAGTTATTTCAGGTATACCGGCGCCGACTCCATCAAAGGGAGATAAAACAACTCCGAAAATAACTCTGAATTTTACCCAAGTATGCCGATTGATTAAAACCAAACTGAAATTCCAATTTAGCTTATTACAGTACGTTAGAAGCGTTTTAGTGTTCTTTACGTCTTAGTTTGTCTGCCTAATCAGTGGCTTGCACACCGAGTCTCTTTTGTACCCGCATGCAAATTGTATTCGACTCTTGGTTGGTACATGTTTGAAAATAGCTTAAATACACAATGCAAGTAATCTTGATTGGAGCACATTGGGTTAAAGTGATTGTTTGGTTTGTTTGGTTACCAGGATTTGTAAACAATTGCTTCGAGTAATTAAGACACTACTAATACGCTAAAGAGCTAAATCAAGAATGTCTATAGGCGCTGAAAGCCTTCAATTAACACGAATAGTCCCAAAAATAAAGTAAAGTATTTCACATGACACTGTCCGGTAGGGTAACTCATGATAACTCGTCAAAGACTTGATTTCACCGAACACATGATCTTTCGAACATCTACTAGCTAAAAATGTGAAACAAAAGCTTCCGATGAAAAACTTGCTCTTTCCGATGACTGAAACACTTAATGAACCAGAAAACCTGATTCCTTTCGTCAAGGATCTCTTTCTTACAGTACTCAATATTTTCGCAACGGATACAAATTGAGATAAGGTGAGCCTGTGCTTGACAAAATCGCACAAAATCAGAGACACCTTTTACCTCTACCGAGTTTTTATTTTTGCGCTTTGTTTTTTACCTCTCAGCCACAAATCCTCAGGGAATAATTCTATAAACTAAATGATTATTCGAGTACATAATCACTTTGAGACCAACCAACGCAAAAGAGAAAACAATAGAGTGTGACGTTAGACAGTTTAGCGTTTTAGTCACATTACCTTGCTGTCGACCAACAATAGCTTGGTGCAAATGTTTGCAGTCAGTGCATCTTTTCATGTTTAGCCGAAATTTTCAAGTTTGTCTTTCGCAATACATCATATTCATCTTTCCCATTCTGAAATCCTCGTTCCTCGAGGATTTATTATCAGCTCTCTGACTTTTGTATTTACCAACAAAGTCTTATTTCAAGATCCCTTCCATTTAAAAGGAACCCTTCATGACGTTAAAAATGGAGTAAGTGACGTAACTTCTCTAGCTTGGAATGACGTAAAGGTTTCAACAGTCTTAACGATAATCGCCATACAGTAAAGTACAGTAAATAAATTTTTTTGTACTCAGTTACTCTGAATCAAAATATGTTTAATCGGATGTTGCAGGAGTACAACGTGGTATTAAAGTCATTGTAACGGGTAAGACTTTCAATTTTACCCTTACACCCTTACATCAGTATGTATATTCTCCACACTGTTCTCCAGACTTTTCCTAAGACGCTTACAAGGAGAATTTGCTTTACAATCAAGAGCCTCTATAGCTGATGAACATTCTAATGACCTTAATGTTTGATGTTCAGGTAACCCCTACGGTTAAAGGATTAAGGAGCTTAGAAAAAGTTACCCTAGCGAGGTTGAAATAAAGTATGCATTAAAGCCCAAAAGCCGTGAAGAAACTCTTAAAAACCTGTCTTCTAAGTTGGATTATCAGAAACAAGCATTCAAGGAAGTATATTTGCAAAGGTATAGAATTTGTTGAAGATGAAACGATGTTGTCAGACAATCGCTGACTCACCGTTTTTTCTCACAAATTCATAGAAATATTTAAAATATTGCACCAAAGTAAAATAAAAGTAAAAAGGAAACTTTTGCAAAATACCCACCATTTTGATGGACATGAAACGTCCAGAAGCCCATTAACTGCCGTCCAAACCAGTCCACTGATGATTGCCACGTGAACAGAAAGAACATGGATAGTCCTTGAAAACGGTGCTTCAGTGACAAGAAACAAAAATACGTTGGCAAGCAGAATATGAAGGCAAACATGCATCTGTGATTAATGTAGATTAAGATGACATGAAACATTTTGTGACTCATAGTTGTATCCTCCATACATTAACCTCAACGAAGACAGTAACCAAAAGAAAAACAGTGGGATCATCATCACCTCTTACAGTTACCTTGTGATATAACTTCCTTGTAGTGTATAAGACGTCATCTCACACACTTTCCTTTGCCCAGACCCTCTCTGTCTCCAAATATAGTCCAGAGCGAAACAGCTTGGTCCCTTCAGCATTTTTCACCTGAACGTAGTTAAAGCGCAGACATTTATACTTGGCAAGTTCATCTCTTTTGAAAAAAAGTGCTCTAGAAATTGAAATTCTTATTGAGAATGAGGCATTGTTTACACGGACGCGGTTTCATTTGTAACCGCATCGGTTTCGATGCGGTTACGCCTTTCGTTTACACGGCGCCGGTCGAGTTCGTTATCAGAACCGGGTCGTTCTGAAAACGCTTTCAAAAGTGGAGCGTTTTCAAAACGATACGTTTTCATTGGCCTTGTAAACGGCGAAACTGCATCGATTTAAAAACGGTTACTTATTTTGGCGCGAAATTGGCTGGCTCGCGAAAGATAAATAAGGTGAACCTCGCACGGAGTACAACGCTTTGTTGCACAATCACAACTTTGATCTGTGGTTTAACTTCGCTTTTTCAGCTTTCTTGTATTTTACTCTCTATAAACCGAGAGGCATATCGTAACAACAAGCAGAGATGTCTTGAAATGTTGACATTTTCGTCGATACGCTCTAGAGTAACGAAGAGAAGTTAAAAGCAAAACAAAGATTCTGGATTCGGCCTGGGAGAACTAGTTTCTGGTGGGACAACTTTTTTGACGGTGGCATGCTCTCAGAAGAATGGAAGGAAAATTTCAGAATGGGCAAAGACAATTTTTATAAGTTATGTGGTGAACTAAGACGGTTCATCGAAAGGAAAATAACGAACATGCGACTTCCGGTCTCGATAGAAACTTTTTGGTTTGGCCTAAACGGTTGGATAGGTTTCGTGTAAACACTTCGAAACCGTGTCGTTTCCGATGCGGTTTTGAGGTCATGAAACCGTTTCGATTGGAAACCGCGTCCGTGTAAACGATGCCTGATAGCGTCAAGGCGGGAGTGTAAGATATAAGAGTCACGGCATGCACTCGAAGTGTCACGCGATTAGAGACCGTAATCTTTTGATTATTATAAGTAGAAAGAGATCACTATTTGTATGAATAAAATAAGAGAGATGGTCAGTTTTGAGCTCGCTAAAACATTGACAAAGATGTTTTCCCTCTTGTCACTAGCGTGCGACAAAGGAAAAATTTCGAGTCGAAGAGTCGAACGTCAGAACTTTGGATTTTGTTTGCTTAGGGAAGTTGTGTTATCAGAGTCGCTTTGTTTTGTTTTAATTGGCAATTTCACGCGGCATATTGAACTTGACCTTTCGTAAACAATTGTGTATCTCTCAATCTTTCTAGAAAAATATCACGTCATTCGAGTTGGCTTAGCGACCGAGCCCTGGTGAAGGTGAAGCGATGTTTAAAAACTTCGCTCAAAATGATTCAAGATATAAGCCAAACTTTCATATCCTCAATAAAACACTGAGAAAGAACCCTCATTTAAAGACCTCTGTCAATTTAATTCGTCAATTAGACCATAAATTGATACTTTGTCAACATAGAGTAATTAAAAACCTATAAAGAATATGTCTTAGCGGAAGTTATCTGATCCAAGAGATAAAGCGAAAGCGCCCCATTACCGCTGTTTTTCGAAAAAATAAAGCAATCTTACTCATATTTGGCATACCTCATGTCTCCAGCGATGAAATACATATCGGGGTTTAGTCTGGCGGCAATTTAGCAGTCTATTGTCGCTGAATATTCTCTCCCAAATTGTGACATTCGAGTTCATCTTCTCCAATTCCTTTTTGTCATCCATCGTTCCACTCACCGACTTTACTTTTCTATTTTCGAAGCTGAATATCTGGGAGTTACACCTGGACAAACCCATTTCTCTTAGCTTTAGGAAAAACAGTTACTTTGTCATCGAGCAAGTTGTGCCAAGCATTCGCAAATCTCACATTAGTCGTTTGGAACTTAGACTCGGATAACAGTCGAAGAGTCTTTAGGACAAGCCCGGTAATTGGCAACTTTACAATCTCGATCCCAGGAACTCTCAGCCATACATTACCTCCCGAAACTAACTGGGGTGGAAATTGGTTGAGTGAACCCTGCATTACACAAGAACTAGACGAAGCCCAAAATTTTTCCTCCTATGATAACTGTGAAATTAGGTAATGTATACAGTGACACAAAAATCAAGCGTTTGAAAAGAAATCTAGCCGAACCAGTACTTACACTCAATTGCTTTTCATTCTGTGGAAACTACTACAAACAAACTAATGGCGTAGCCATGGGTACTAAAATGGGACCCAGCTACGAAATCTTTTCATAGGTTTTATCGAACACCAATTTTTTAGTCAATATCGCGGCCCTAAACCTGAACTCTACGGTCGCCAGAGGAGGTAGCGCCGATGCAGTCGTCAACTAAATTGTTCAAAATTTTTTCTTTGGAGTGAAATAAGTAGCCCAATAACTGTGTGTGCCCTGTACCAAAGAGGAGCTCACTCAATTTATAACCGCCGTCAATTCCTTTCACCCGGCTCTGAAGTATACCTAAGAAATTTCCGACACTTCTTTGGCTTTTCTAGACAGCAAAATTTCAATTGAAGTCAACGGTTTATGCACTAGTGTTAACTACAAACTTACATATTCACATAGTTACTTGTTATATTCATCTTCGGATCCATCACACGTCAAGAATTCCATACCTTTTTCGCCGTTTATGTAGTGACGACTCTGATTTTTCCGAAAAATCAGAGGCAATGTGCCAGTTTTGCCATAAACGTGGCATCCTGTTTCTGTCGTTCAAGCGAGCCACCACCGCGCCCAACAAACTCATCGACAGTCAGCAATACAAACAGCTGAGAAGGAAAATACTGATCACATTTCACCCTCACAACCAAGCACTTAAATCTATCATTCTTAAAAACTTTAAGAGAGGATGTCAGCATCCATCGCACAAATTTGAAATATCGTGGCAAGTCGTACAAAATTCGATTTATCTCCTACTTTCATAGTTTGTAGCCCAATATGTCCTAATAATTGTGGTGTAGTTTTTTTGTGAAAATATATTTTAGTTTTCGAGAAATGATTTTTTTCGTTCGATCGCTCAAATATGCAAATTTTCACCCCTGAATATTACCCGAGTTGTGTGACCTCATGTAGCAAATAAACTTGACTTCCGATATTTCTGTCGACATAATCTTTTGTTTTATCATCTAAACTTAATTCCCTATCATTACTGGAGCTGGCTAGGAAATACCGTATTTATTTTTTGGCAAATATTTTTGTCTGACATACTTTTCCTACGTCGAAAAGTAACATTAAAACAAAGACAGTTTTAACAATAACCGATATGACAGAATCTACTGAGCTTCGAGCTTTTAAAAGACAAAAGGATGATTAAAAAGTTGCTATAAAAATTTCCTTGTGTATTTGTGTTGTTCTATCTTGAGACGAACTCAAAGTCCGACAAAATTTACTTTCTAGCGACTATGAAATATATATGGTGTGCCTACTTGTCGCCACCGTTTACTGGCATAAATCACTACAATTTGTAAAAAAATTCTAACATAATACTCTTACCTTGTTTATTTATGATTTTATTAGCGGTTTCGATGATTACGTTACGCCTGTGTAATACTTTTTGACAGGAGCCCTGGTTTTGCGTTGTGTTTTCCCCTCTCCCAGTTACATCATAAGCTAGTCACGCAATAATTTATCCTGACACAAATGAATATTTACCCTGTATAGAGATTTTTGTTCATGTTAAATTGAAAATATAAGAAAATATGCCTTTTTTGGTCACTAATCGTTGTTTCAGTGGCAGCGAAGCAGTTACAAGCAAGTTGTTGCTTCAACGCTATTGAAGTTCATAGTATTTAGACAGGAGAGCAAAGCGTGATGCTCTGGGGATAAAAACTTTTAGGGGCCTTTCACAATTCCTGGCGCGCACCCCCGCACTCTTATGTAAATGTGTCCCCCGGGGGTGATGATACGTGAAGCACACTTGAAATTTAGCAAGGACAAATTTTGATGTGATTTTGGGTGAAGAGAAACAAGTTTTGTCAGCGTCTAGTAGCTTGTGCGGAAGGGCCCTTTACCACCGTGTGCATAATAACGCGTCCCGCCAAACGGCGGGATGTTCAGACATTAGTATAGAAAACTCCGTCTCTGTCTGGATTTTGGGTAGGCTATTGACCAATTCCCAATCGAGACTTAAGTCTGACGGAGCGCGTAATTTTGCTCACGGTGGTAAGTAGCCTACTTACCGGAGCCAGGCTGTATGAATTTTCCAGACATCATGAGTGCTACCTGTGATACACGCTTGCCAATTCCTCTATCGACTTTTGGAATCGACTTTTGGAATCGACTTAACCTTACTGATTGCAATGGCCGGACACCTCTTTAGGCACTCTACATCTACTATTGGAACCACAACTCTACCCAACATCTATATGTGTGGGGCAAATTGTAAAATCATCGATATCTGTTAGCGTCTCGAAGATGCCAGTGTCATAGCGGATTTGGACCCCCCGCGGATTTTGACCCCCACCCCGTCCAAATTTGCGAACGGATATGGACCCCCCTTCGCAGATTTGGACCACCCTAACAAAGTTTCATTTTAAGCATCCTTTGTATCATATTTGGTAACTAATTTTATTTGCAAGCTTTTTGTCGATGTTCTTTTCCATCACAACCCAACACTCTTCAATAAAGGTAAAAAAACCCAGCCATTTCGTTTCAATTCTACCGCATTTATTATAACGAGTCGTACAGTATACGCAAGAATTAGATGTGAACAAACTACTGCATTCGAACTATTGAAATTGTTACAATAAATCTTTGCTTTTTCTGATGCGAATCAACATTGGTACGAAACGTCATAACAATAATGGAGACTATTGCGTCCAGTCACAAAAATAACTCAGTCTGATTTTCTAAAATAATAACATTTAACAGTTTCTGAACAAAAACGAAGAAACTACTACTACAAGTCGTTCGTAAAGCCTATTATAAGTAAAAATGTTTCTATTCTGAACTATTGGTACTCTCAGCTTATTTTCAGATGCAGATCAACATTACTGTCAACGTCTTAACAAAAGTGGAGACTATTACATCGAACTCAATCTTATTTTCTAATTTTAACGATTATTAACTGTCGAGAGATCCGAAATAACACCTTAAAAGTTGCGAAGACGTCTAGAGTCTGGCGATCTGCAGACAATGCAGAGCCACTCGCCCTCCGGGGCGGTCTTAAATCCCTCGCAGCTCCTGTGTAACCATTCCTCGCACAACTCGCACTGTACCATGTCGTCCAAACACTCGGGCAATCGAACGATGACAAAATAAATTAGTGTCACAAGTTTGTCTCTTATTGAATCTAGCGGTGTTCGACTATCGCGGAAAAGGTTCAAAAACGACCCCTCTCCAGACATTTAACTAAATTCTTGCCCATTTTCCCTTGGTCAAAAGAAACATCCGACGGGATGTCAGTTCGTATGCATTAACGATACGCATATTTTGAATAAAAAACATACTTTAGTACGCACTGGAACGTAAAGTATCATCCATTTGTACTAGAATGTTAAGGATGATGTTTTCACTCAGTTTTGTTGGGGGGTCCAAATCCTCTGGGACACCGGCAAGCGACAAAATAAGATCAACTTCATTTTCTGGATCTGAAAACTTGCAACTCCGCAAGTGACTTGAAATGTCTTTTTAACAACCATACAAGGGAATGACTCGAGATATACAACTTCGTTCTTCTCGATAACTAAACCCACAAGTTCCATCAGCGAACGATTTAAATGAACAGCAAATCTCCATGTTAGCAATTAAGATGAGACGCTTAAACATCAGATAATTACCTAAATCGGTATGTAGCTTGTCAATCAAATTGACTTTTGTAACCATTCTTTGACTTCGGCCGGCAAAGGAATCATTGATGGATCTTTCAGTAGTTTTCTAAATGCAGTAGCTCTTGAAAGGTTTTTCTAGATATCATACAAAGAGGAAAAAAACGTATCTCTTGGTATTTCGGAGATTGATAGAATATGTGTCACGCTCGTCATGCAACTGATATGATGAGATGGAGAAGATATAAAAACTGGAACTCAAATCTGGCTAGAATGTGGTAAAGCGTAACGTGATCATCGAAACAGCTCATAAAATTATAAATGTACAAGGTAAGAGTGTTAAGTTAGATTTTTTTCCAAATTGTGGTGATTTATGCCAGTAAACGATGGCGACAAGTAGGCACACCATGTATATTTCATAGTCGCTAGAAAGTAAATTTTGCCGGACTTTGAGTTCGTCTCAAGATAGAACAACACAAATACACAAGGAAATTTTTACAGTAACTTATTAACCATAACTCGAAGCACAGTAGATTCTGTCATATCGGTCATTGTTAAAACTGTCTTTGTTTTGATGTTACTTTTCGACGTAGGAATTGTCGGACAAAAATATTCACCAAAAAAATAAATATTTCTTTGCCAGCTTCAATAATAACAGGGGATTAAGTTTAGATGATAAAACAAAGGATTGTGTTGACAGAAATACTGGAGGTCAAGTTTATTCATTACATGAGGTCACACAACACGGGTAATATTCAGGGTGAAAATTTGCATATTTGAGTGATCGAACGAAAAAAATCATTTCTCGAAAACTGATTTATATTTTCATAGAAAAACTACACCACAATTATTAGAAAATGTTGGGCTACAAAATATGGAAATAAGAGTGAAAGAAAATTTTGGGTGACTTGCCACTGTTTGTCTAATGCGTGCTGACATTAGCTCTTAACTCTTTAACTCCCAGATCGAATTTTTAATTCTCCTTATAGTCAGCCATACAATTCTTATAATGTTAGCTTAGAGAATTTGGTATTGAATCAACTAATTAACCCAAAATTGGTATTCTTCTTTATCCTTTATATGATATTGTATTTATATTGTAGGGAGAAAATCTGTTATGGTCACTCATGGGAGTTAAAGGGTTAAATTACTTCAAAACGATTCAGAAATTGGTACTATCTTTTCGCAACCTCCACTTATTTCATTCAAACGTGACAAAACTGAACACAGACAACTTTTTGGTTGGAAGTTCATTTCAAACCAATGACCAACCTGGAACGTTCAAATGCGCTCGTTCACGATGCGTTGTCCTTTCATTCATAACGTAGAGAAAATATCGGGACCCAAGAGATCCACAAAGATTACATTTATGTCATTTATTGTATAACTTGCACTTGTTGCAAAAAGTTATACATTGGTGAAACAAGAAGACGACTGGGTGACCGATTCCGAGAACACCTTCGCGAAGTAGAAAGAAATGACAAGCGCGCATCCAAATCAATCGCTAGGCAATTTAATCTCCCTAATCATTCGAAGCAGCATAAGGCAGTTTTAGGCCTTTCCCTCCATCTAGGCAGTTCGGAAAGCCGCAAAACTCTAGAACAAAAAATTTACCTTTCAAGTCGGCACTCTTAATCCCCACGATATCAACGAGCACTTTTCATTCAACTAATTTATTCTTGTCTTCTCGTCACTATATTCCCACCAATAGCGTAGCTCCATTTTCTGCATATAAACTCTCTCACAATCCACAATTCCTCCCATCGCTCTGACGAAGGGTGTAACGCTCGAAACTTCAGCTTCTAAACTCTTTACGATGGCTAATCTGCGTTATCAATTCAGTTGATAATACTAAATTACCCTGTTATACTCTCCCACCGACGCAGCGCTTTGTTTCTCTAGAAACTTACCTCCTTCATTCATCGTTCACTTCTCAGCCGTTAATTTCGGCTTGGAACCAAAAGTTACCTTTAATCTGCTTACGATAGTTTAGCGACCCTCGCAGGATTGAACCTAATCGTGTGTATATATCCTGTGACGGAGGTGCTTGAGTCTGCATCAGTTTAACACTTTCAATCCAAGAAGTGACGGATCAATAAGGAAATTCTAATTACGATATCAATGCAATTTCAAATAAGAAGGTGATACGAGGAAAGAAAAATATCTAAAGGGATATTGTTTGCTTTACCATCAAATTCTCAGAAGTGGAAGTGAAATGTCTCTCTTGAAAGTGAAATGTTCGCGGTACACAGCTTCTTTTTATTGTTAACGTATCAGAAAAGATGTGGGACTCATGTAAAAGCTTGCTTAGCTTCCTAAGGGCTAATATGAAGTCCTTTTTACTTTTTATGGTGGCAAGCTCAAAGGTTATACTATCCATTTGAAACCACCAATTAATGTGTTCTATTTAGGGGCTAAGAATTATATTAATATTTTCTAGAAACGGGTACGCTTGAGGGCAAAACCTTGTTTGTTCGGTTTCGGACTCACCATGCTAGCTGGTCTTGATATCACATTGTTAAGTAAACGCGGATACCGGTTATTTTCTTGTATTGGTTTCAGTTAGCTAATTTTTCTAGTTTCTCTAATTTCAGTTCGTCAATTTCTCCGACACGTTTGGTCAGGGTTCCAACGATAATTCAGCAGAATTCAGAAAAAGTATTTTTTTTCTCATCGGTTTTAATAGATGAGTGTTAGATATAATAACATTTTGAACTCTTGAGATACTGAAAAGCTCTTTACTTATCACTTGAAGCAACCCAAGGCTATCGCCCTCAAATGATACAACGTTTGCGATTGGGCCCTACACTTATTTTTAAAGTATCAGTAGCCCACTCATTTTGAAACAAGGCAGCTGGTGACCGTCATGGAACACTAAACTGAAATTAGTACTCGCTGTTCAATTCGAACGAGACATATTATATTTACGACCATTATACAGTCATTTAAGTAAATTGGGATTTAATTTCTTCGTTTGATCGCACAATATTGAGCCGCTAACCTCGTCTAATGTGTATATCTATAATCCATTGGTCTACAATATTAGTTTATTGTATTCCTGACATCCTAATGACATGCAATATTAAAACTGAACCCAGCTTTATCAACTTGTTTGCAGCTGGAGGTAGTCTCTGTCGATACCGCTCCACGTGCTGCGCTCGTGTTTTCTTTATAACTTACGCAATACTTTTTGGCGCCATTCTATTTCAAATTTGATTGGTTTAACAAGTTCTCTTTGTTCTATTAACCAATCACCATCACTGTTTTGCTATCGAACTTGAAAAGGCGCGCTTTCCTTATGTTCATTCATTGAGTTGTGTTCTGAAACGCACACTAGTGAGGAGATTAGGAAAGAAGTTGATCGTAGTTGTTCTTATATCTTCTACAATGCCTCCTGTTCCCGTTGTTAATTCTGATATTGGTGAGAAGCTTGCCAACGAATCGACCTCGAGCGAGAGCTTAGACCAGTCGAATTCCCTCGATAAGACTAAAGAGCCTTTCTTGGAGGAAGAGAATGGCGAACAGAGAATTGCACTGAGAAAGAATGTCTCTCTTATCAATGGAGTGGGCCTTATTGTAGGCACAGTGATCGGTTCTGGTATTTTTGTATCGCCAACAAGTATCCTCGTGGAAACAAATTCGATCGGTGCTTCTCTCCTGATTTGGCTCGGATGTGGTTTGCTAGCTTTGTTCGGAAGCTTGTGTTACGCCGAGTTGGGAACTTGTATAAAGAAATCCGGTGGTGAATATTCCTATCTTATGGAGGCATTTGGTAGGATCCCTGCTTACTTGTTCGCCTGGACCTCTGTGTTAATTATACGGCCGGCATCAGGAGCCATAATCGCTCTCACTTTTGCTGAATACGTCTCGAAGCCATTTTACCCAGATTGTGAAGCCCCGGCGTACCTCATGAAGCTTTTGGCCTGTTCTTGTCTTGGTAAGATTTTAAACCCTTTTTTCTTCTTAACATTAAGAGCTGACCTAGTTTAAAATCTTTTTGTTTCGAGTTACTCGCCAAGAAAGGAGAATCGCATGGTGCTTCCATTCGTAGAATCAGTCTTGTGACCATTTCAGCTCAAAGCGTGGTTGTACGTGTCCTGTTTTGGCGGGATTTCGTTTTTTGTAAGCGAAACTAGAAATTTGTTTATAAACTCGCAAAGCTAGTTAAAACTGGTGTGAAGCCGTTCACCTGTAAACTTAAGATTTTGATTTTAATCTTTCATCACGAAAACAAAGCGATCCTTCCTTTAGAGCATTTGTGTTGCATGCCAACGCACGTGGTTGGATTTTTCGTTCTCGATCATGGCAGTTGAATTTCGTCAATCGAATGATTGTCGCCTGATATTCGTAGGGAGAACATGTAATTAAATTCATCGATTTTTTTTGTCTCGAAATCCCAGGAGAACTTCTGCCTTGTTTTGGTTATAGTTGTAAACTTAAATCAAAGGTTGGCGGTTCACGCGATTGCATTGCATCATCCATGTTTAGTAATTTGATATTCATTTATTCCAAATGTAAGTTCGTCGCTAGGGACATTCTAGAGTTGATGTTGGATTATTGAGAGCAACGTGAACGCAACTTAAAGAAATTTTAAGATCGATCCTTGAAAATTTTAATTGGACTCCAATTTATGATTCGACCTCCACGATGAATTGTTACAGTACCCAATATGAAAACCGCGGTTTCGATATCGTTCAAGAATTGACTTTACTATTTCTGATATCAGACAACACGTTCTAAATTGGATACCTATAATTTGATGAATTAAGCTAAAAGGACCTATTTCTATTTTCCCAAATATCAGTGCACCTTGCTGAGCAATTTGCTCTACGGGGGCTGTTCAAGGTCGCACAAGGAAACTTAAAATATATCAAGACTTTAACGTTTCAGTGTTGCTTAGATATCCTAGACATAAAAAGCTCTAATTATGGTAAAATACCATTGGCTTTTTTTTCAATTAATTGCCAATTCTTCCTATATATTGCTCAGGGTGTAAAATTTAAGAATATCATTTTGAAGGTGGGAAACAATTTTAAAAGATTGTTCATCAATAAAGAGGGACTGATTCAAAAGGTAGAAAATTGTTAGAGCTAAGATAAATTAATTGTATGAAAAACCACAAAGATTAAAAGACAGAAATAAATTGCCAATCTATAGATTTAGCCAGGGTTGAAAACAGTTGCAGTTTATTACTTTTCAGGCTTTTTCCAGCTGTGAAATTTGCTAGAAAATACCATTTTGTTGTTAGTATTTCATTTTGCTCATGGTATGATTGTTGGACTTTCTTTAAGCATGAGGCATACAATGGCAGAAAAGCCCCTTGAGCTCAAACACAAAGCATTCAAAGTCTATAACAAAAGGTGGTTAGGGAAATGTATATACAGTAAGGGTTAGTTCCTAGAAGTCCACACACAAGGCTTAAAAGGAAACTAAAAAATGTGCCAAATGAGAGTGAAGCAGGCGTATCATTTCCAAGATAAGCAAATTATGTGACTGTAGTTTTATTGGTAGAGGATAATATTATGACTGGATTCTACCAATTTCAATATCCTCCTAATAAATATAAGTTTTTGTATCTTTTGCTGAAGTGATAAATAATATTGAGGTTTCAGTAATCTACATATACGTGCTTCTAGAAAGTTGACAATTGACCAGAATTTGATTAAGATCAATAAATCAACACAGCAAATTGTAAAAAGGTACTGCCGCATTCATTTATCTATCTTTATCAATCCATGGCTAATCATGAGCCAGGTGTCTCACTTCCCTGCTGACATAGCACAGCATTTTCCGATTAATCTGTGGCTCACAAGCAATAAAAATATACCCAGAGAATCAAAAGCACCCTTAAATAAATTTGAAATAGTTCAGTTGTGCTCTGATATTTTTCTGCACTCTTCTGATACAAATTTAGTTCGAATTGGTGTGGGAGTCTTTGCGCCCCTTTATTTTAAAAGCCAATCTTAGCCAGCAAATACTTAGAGAGTGGGTACAAGAAGGGGAAGAAACTGTAATTTACTGTCAGTAACAGTTATTTTTGTTAAAATACGAGGGAAAATCTTATGACTCAGGAATAAGGCCTTACAGATTAGTGAGTTTTCCTTTTTTTGTTTAGACCTAAATGTCTCAAGTTTTCTTATTTTGATGTTGGTAATAATGTAACTTTGCTGATTCCTGTTTGACAGTTGAATACAACAACTGTTATTTTATGCTGATACTTGGTTGGAATAAAAAAGTGCAAAAAATTGATAGATTCTGACTCCAATCTTCTCTTGTGATCTTTGCAACCCTCATTTGCAAACTTAGACCTGCAAATTATTAATTTTAGTTCAAAATTTTAGTTTTTGCAGAATTCAATATTTTTATTTTTGTTTTTTTTCCTGGTTTTAGTGATCCTCTTGGTTATAAACTGCTGGAGTGTAAAATGGGCTGTAAGGATACAGGACATCTTCACATATGCCAAGCTTCTTTGTATTGTAATGATCACAATCATTGGATTTGTAGAACTGGGAAAAGGTTTGTTTGAAGCAGGATGTTTCACCTCTTGTCCACATTGGTTCATGTGGTTCAAAGTCACTTTGGAGCATTACTAGGAGCTCCTGGGGTGCCTGTGGCTCCCTTTTGGCAGAAAATTTCTTCCTTGTTTTAAGTCAAAATTATACAGACCTTGGTGAAAATGTGAAACAATCTAAATGTTATTTAGCATATATCTTTTTCAGCATTAGATACTCCCTTACAGCACAAATACTTAGACATATATTTTTAAAATATCCCCTGTCACGCCCTACTTTTGTGGTCATTATTGATTACTTCAATTTTGAAAAAACCTTATCGTGAACCATCCTAAAATTAGTAACTAGATGTGCAGACACACACTGTAAAGATAGAATCTCAACCACAATCAATCATAATTCCAAATGTGTAGATATCAAAACACATGCAATGAACTTTGTGTACCAAATCTAAAAATATAGCTTATCAGGTCTCAATGTGCTAAAACTGAGTGGGGAATTTAAATATCTCTCAAGGAAATATTTTTAACCCTCTAACTCCTGTAAGTAACCGAGAGGGAATTTTCATTTTCATTATTAATACAATATCAGGCAGAGAAGTGATGAGAAAAAATAGAAATATCAACAAGGGGATTGTTAGTTGATCCAATACCAAATTCTCCCAACTCACATCATAATATTTATGAGGCAGACAGCAAGGAGGGTTACTAACATGATCCTGTAAGTGAAAGGGTTAAAAACCTTTTCCCCTTCAAGTACTTTCATAGGACAAACTGTTAAGTTAAATCGCTACAATTATCTCAGGTCTTAATTAAAACTTTCATTCATGGTTTTCATTTAGGAAAGACAGAGAGCTTTAAAAACAGCTTTGAAGGCTCCACAACAAATATTGGAAAGATTGGTATGGCCTTCTACTTGGGTCTGTGGGCGTACGATGGATGGTGAGTAGAAGTGCTTTTTATCAAATTATAAGAAACTTAATTGGAACTCATGTGATTGTACTAAAAATTGAGTTTAATGACCTAACATTAATTTGTGTGATATTTTTTTAATTAAAAGGAACAACCTCAACTACTGTACAGAGGAAATGAAACGCCCAGAAAAGTAAGTGCTTGTTGAATGTTTCTCAGTTCCAAATTATCAGTCCTAAAAGTTACTGCCAGCCAGGTACAGCTTTGGCTCAAATTTCTGCTCCTAGTTTGAAGATAGTTTTCAAGTTTTCAAATACAAAATAAAATGAAATGCAGATACACAAACCTACAGAAGCAAACATCTAGTATGTAAGAATTTGCAACCAAATTTGCATGTTTTCTTGTTACAGTGTTACGAATGAAGCATTGTGACATTATGCTCAACATCGATAAACATAAACATAAAGCGTATTCTATTGAATTGATCAGTATGGCATTCTTTTAATGGTACTTTTCAGGGATATGCCGAGGGCAATAGTGATTGGTATCTCCCTCACAACTGTGTGTTACCTGTTGGTCAATGTGGCATATATTACGGTCTTGGGGGCATCTGGTATCTTAGCATCAGATGCAGTGGCTGTGGTAAGTTTTATGTGTAGGGATTTTAATGGTTTATTGTATACAAAAGTTTTCATTTGAGACCAAAGGCTGGATGTTATTTTGTCTCCTTTCAAAATTGTTTGCTTCTAAACCTTCTCCTCAGTAGCAAATTAGGAAATGTACAAAGAACAGTATGGAGATTATGCTTACTGATGTTAGAATGTTTTCTATATTGCTTCTATAGAGTGTTGGAAACTTGTACCTTGGTCCAGTTAATTGGCTAATTCCTGTCTTTGTTGCATGTTCAACTTTTGGAGCTGTAAATGGCCTTCTTTTTACTAGTGGGAGGTAAGTTTCAGTTGTACTTAAACAACTTAATTACACTACTTTTTTTGCACAACTGTTTTTTGACAGTTTTTCATTCAAATGACATGTGTTGTCATGAAATAACTGACCCACAACCCACCCTCTGATTGGTAAGAAATCTATTTCCTAATGAACCATTAAACTGGGCAATTTTGGAGGAACAATAAGCTATTTTTTCTGTTGGTTTAAGACTTCTCTTGATTTACCTTGCAAATGCTATTTTTTATTTTAGGCTGGTGTTTGTTGCTGCACGAGATGGACTAATGCCTCGTCTGTTGGCCATGATTCATGTTAAAAGATTTACCCCTCTCCCATCTCTATTTTTTACCGTGAGTGAATCAGCAGTTTCATTATTAAACACAAGCCTTATCATGAATGTAGCAAGAATTCTAATTTATGGACTTCTCAGTTTCAAAAAAACAAGAATTTGAAGCAATACCAATTTCTGTTCTCTATTCAGTCACTGTAGTATTAAAAAATTAGGCTGCCAGCTAAAATTTCAAATGAGGCAGCTCAAGGATAGAGTACACTTTTTCATTTCCCGAGCAATAGCCAGCCAAGATCCAGCTGGCATCCAGCTCCCAACCCTGGATGGGAACCTGAAAAGAAGCTTAGCCCTCCTTCTCCTGTTCACTGTCTGCATTGCCTGGTCATATGCACAAGTCAGATTATTTTGTTGTTTTTCTGTTATATGACTTAAATTTTACTTTCTTTATTTCCACCAGACTCTCATCTCTGTGATCATGTTGATTCCAGAAGCAAGCAGCTTTTCAAGTTTGGTGGATTTCTTTAGCTTTGCTGCATGGCTGTTTTATGGGGGAACATTTGCTGCTCTTCTGTGGTTGCGATACAAGAGACCAAACATGAACAGACCCTACAAGGTAAGCTCACTTATCAACACCTGGAAGTGAGGAGAACTTCTATAAGTGAGATGTTTAGAAAAAAGTGAAAGCAAAACTAGTTTATTTTCGGAGTTTTTTTATAATGGTCTGGCAGTGGTTATTTTTCCTATCAAAGCAACTATTTTGTTCGGTTCACAGGGAGTTTTATATTTACACTGGACTTTCAGAAAGGGTATCAAATAATTGTTGACAGTAAACCATAGTCTTAAAGCCTTGTAATTGCTTTATAAACTTGAGCCATCCTTTCACAAATATTAGTGTTTTTAGACACCTTGTCTTTCTCTGAGTTCTCACTGGGTGTTTATCTCATATTTGTAACCAGGGTTTATTCTAGAGCGCAGCTTTGCAGGATTTCCACAAATTGGAAAGAAGTGCCGCATAAAATTTATGTTGCAGCATCAAATGGGGAGCAAAATAAGAATGAAAAATAGACCCAAGGATTCAGGCTTTTTCAGTTGCCTGAATTGTTTCAAGATGACAGCATTGAAAAAAGCCCCCCCTAAAATTACTGGTAGGACCCATTTGCCCCTTATTGGCCAATTTCTAGAATAAACCATATGAGACAATGATGATTCTTTTTCTTGGCTTGATTTACAACACATAACAGCCCATTTCCTACTTCTCATGTGTCTGAGATATGGTGCCAAAATTAGGGTGCAAGAATGAGGCTAAGAGCAAAGTTGCTCTTGACAGTGCAAAAAATAAAAACTCTTGGGGGAATTTTCTGTTCATTGTATCAAATATACTCTTCCCTTTCCTTTGCCTATATCACTTAACTGAATGCCTCTCTCTTCCAAACAATTTTTTTACTAGCCCACATTGCATTTTGAGAAGTCTTGGGTGGGCGTCAATTTTTCAATAGCACAGCCTTTTTATGTTTCATACCGTTGAGAGCCACTTCACACTAAGCCTCATTCTCAAGCCTTAATTTTTAGCACCAGACCTCTGACTTGTGTAAACTTAGAAAAGGGCTTTTGAGAAGTGAATGTCATAATTTACTAATTTTCTTCCTCTTTTTATTGTTTCTCAGATTTTTTTACTTGTACCAATTTCAATGCTGCTGGCCTCTATTTACCTGGTAGTGGCTCCGATCACAACTGATCCTTGGGGATCACTCATTGCTCTGGCGGTCGTCGTAGCAGGTCTTCCTTTTTATTGGCTGTTTATCGGCAGTGATGTTGCCCCAAAATTCATCCTCGATGCTGCAGGTAAAGGCTTCATCTTCTTGAGGAACTACTGTTTTGAATTGTTGTACTCCTTGCAGGTATTATAATTCCGATGTGATGATTACTGCAGCTGTGCAAAAAAACTACTGATGGTTCTGCTCCTAAATTTCATTCTCTAACTCATTGGAATATTTTAGTGTCACTCTGTGAGTGTAAGTCACAACACTGAATTTTTCACCTTTTCTTAACCCTTTCACTTCCAGAAGCAATCAATGAGTAATTTCTCTGTGCAATATCAGCACAATTTCAGGCAGATGGACAAAGACAGTGGTATAATTTGATGTAATCCCAACTCTCACTATTTGTAGTAGAAGAAATACATAGCAGACAAAAAGGAAAATTTATACATTGATATCTTGTGAGTGAAAGGATTGAACAGGCTATAATCACAGGTTGTCCATTTTGAAAAATGAAGCCCAAGTTTTTTAGGATGGTTGTTGGCAATCTGCATTACTCTTCCAATCTTTGGCCATCTCTGTCCTCATTTCCGTTTTCCTTCATTTTTTAATGTTTTTCTACTCTATAGAGCTTAATTTTTTCTCATACTCCAGCACTCCAAGCTGCAACCATTTTGGTTGCCTTTGCAAGTCATAAATATATTTGGCAACCAAAATTTCAACAAAAGTGGCACATTGGCAACCATCAAATTTAGAAAATTTTAAGAGAAAAAGGAACATGAAATATTTATCAATCTTTTGTACAATTATCAAACAAACTAACATAAATAACTCGTCTTTCTCTTTTCTCTCTCATTACTCCATAACTCCCAACTATGCATAAATCTAAAATGAGCAGCCATCAAATTGAACTGTTTTATTGAGATAAACTTTGAATGTCAACCAGAATTTTTTTTATGGTGACTATTTCACAACTGACGTGGCCAAAAGGGACTTTTTGAAAAATTGAGCCTGGAGCCTTCTACACCTATATTGAAGGTATTATGAAAATGCAACTCAAAATTAATTAACCCTTGGTTTAAAGAATTTGATATTTGATCAACTAACAATACCCAAATTGATATGTTTCTCTATTTTTATCACTTGTCTGCTGGATATTGTAATGATATTGTAATGAGAATTTCTGTCTTGGTCACTTAAGGTCATTTATGATCATTTCATTCCAGCACTTATCCCTATTTTCTAAATGTTCCTCTTTTACTCACTTTTACAGATGCATTCACTTCTTGGTGCCAGCGAGTGGGAAACATGGCCTTTGAGGATCCAGACACTCTTCCAGTCCAAGTCTAACTCAAGAAATTTTATTCAGTAGTTAATGTTTCTTCTTTGGCATTGCTAAAATGCAGGTTAGCTGGTAATGATGAGGGTTAACATATTATTCTATCTACTATGCTGTGATTGCTTGGCAATTTACAGAAGTCCTGATGGCATTATGGTTTGTTGGCTTATCTTCAGACTGAAATGTTTGAGTACTACTTGGGTCATTGTGGTGTGTTCTTAGGCAACACACGTTACTTTTGTGGTACCTCTGTCCATCATTGAGTTTAAATGCCTCCCTGCCCACTTACCTAGCATATGTCTTTCAGCAATACTACTCCTTATTTCCATAACCATTCTTAGGATTAGTTAACTTATGCAGCAGAATATTGGCTTCAGTATTGAATAGAATAAATATTATTAGATTTGACATTTAGCAAGTAACACCTGGAATAAGACATTCATGAGAAGTGTCCATAGGGGAGAGAATCCTCTAGCTATTTTTTCTTTTAACATGGAACCATAGTACATTTTCCTGTTACTTTGTACTATTTTCCAGCTGGTACACTTCTTAATCTTTTACATAATGTCAGTATGCATCAGTAGTTTTGACGAGAGAACTTGTGTCACAGTTAAGAAGTTAAGTTGCTTATCATTTCTGGGGACCTAATGTTTGATTCAGGGGTGATATTGTTATGAGAAATTATCTGCAAGTCACCCTTAGGAGTCAAAGTGTTAAAGAACTGTGGAGGATACTTCTGAAAAGTATCATAGATTCACAACTGCTCTTATACCTGTTACAGGTAGTGTTAAACATTTGAACTTTTGTTGGAACAAAAAATTGTTATATGAAGGAAATCTAGAGATATTTACATATATTATTAGAAAAAACCTCACTACACTTTTTGTATAACATTCTCTGAATGAAAAAGTATGAAAGAGAGAACAATGCTTACTTGTTCTTTTTCAAGTATGTATATCCTTTGCAATTTGATCAGTCCATCAATTGTAGTGAAGCTTTAGTGAGATAGTTAGGTTATGCTGCTGTTCAAATTACTACACAAGAAAAATCTTACGTTTAAAGAAAACCACTGTTATAAAATAGTCGTTAGTAACACATCAGAGCTCATCTCGCTTTGTGGAGAACGTTTAGCTGGGATGAATTTATATTAGTTACACATAAGAATTCATTTACCTGCTCTAAGTAGAGTAAGTTCAAAAGATTTATTGAAGAATCTTGTATAGCTATGAGTTGTAAGTAATCCTTCGGCAGGATTTAAGTTTAGGTGCACTATGCTGTTAAGTAATCGTTAAATGCAGACACTAGTATAACAAGTGTTAAAAAATAAAACATGCTGAAAAATTTGAGAGTTTGTCATGCAGGGGTTTTGATAGCCCTCTCCCTCTCCCTCCGGATTAAGAGCATAGGGCAAACCTCACAAATAATGTAAAATTTTTCTAGCTCCTGTATGAAAATCGGCGAGGAAATGCAAATGAGTTTCAGCTAGAATCCTAGATGAAATTTCAAAAATTGTTAAATGATTTAAATTAGCGCTAAGAAACTCTTAAATTTGATAATGCAAGTGATGTTTAAATGATTCAGTTTTGCAAGTGTAATTTGAAGTTTTGAAAACCCATGAGTTCTCATTACGACAAAAGGCATAATCTGCAGATTTAACCCCACTGCTTTACGAGTTTGCTCCCTGAGGTGAAACAAGTTCACCCCAAATCTTTCAACTCGTTTCCTCAGAGAAGAGCGTTTTCAAAGGTGGTAGGTGAGAACCTGCATTGGGGAGAAACCTCCTTGCATTCTGAGCTAATATTACTCACTGCTTTAAAGTACTTTTTAGGCACTTTGATGAATAACCTTCTCTGCTAAGTACTGACACAGCTGCACAATCACACGAAAAGGGCAACCTTCCCAATGCCTTCTCTCCTGAAATTTTATTAATTACACCAAGATAGCATTTTACTTCACGATATTTTTTTGTCCTTGGGCACGCATGCCAGAATTAATTCTCACAGACTATTCATGCTCATGGTAAGTTCCCCTCTAAAACCTCTCACCCCCTCTCCCTTGAAAAGAATACGCAACAGCCAATCAGAACAAAGGGTGACCAAGACCACTTTCACGCATGTAAATAGAATGGTTTTAAATTTGCCTCTGTCTGGTCAAGAATATGGCACGAGTTTCCTGGAGCAAAGTCATTTGCTACTCGGTTTCGTAGACTAAAGAGATACCAAAAATATGCTAATGCACGTGTGGGCCTAAAACAGACACTCAAAAGAAACAAAACAACATAAAGGCTAAACGCTTGTCACTTAAAATTATTTATTGAATGTAAAATACTAAATACACTAACAATTACATTTCTGCCCATATAGTCTGTTTGAATATGTTATTAAGCAAAGTTGGAATGCATGCAATGATTAACTAGAGTTTGCAACACAGGAACAGTTTTCAAGCACTCAAGTGCAACTTAATTTCGCACTTATAGAAGAATACCCGTTAAGATAACTGTTGAATTGCAAACAAAAGTTTTAGTCAAAACAAGTGTACCCAATGCAATGAGCCAATCAAAATTCAAGGAAATCAGGTGACCAGCACCCTAGGGCAGGAAAGTATGTGCAACAAAGCCTTGATTGGTTCTGATTGGAAGAGCTCTGATAGATCTCTGCCTGTGACTATAGAACACGGTTTACCTTGACTGATAAAAAAAAGTCATATAATTGGATCACTTACTGTTCCTGGGTATCCAGCAAACATAGATAATCTCAATAACTCTAAGGCTATAAATCTGATTGGTTGTTGGTTTCTAGTGTTGATGTGATTTAGGGGAAAAAACAGTGTGATTTGTGACTAATTCGCATTCCTGAGGGCCAATCCGTTTGCAAGGATCATGAGTGAGTTTAAATGGATGTAATAAGTCAATATATTAAACAATCAGTGATACAAACACTAAAAAATAATTGCTGTTATTAAACATCATAACCCCTTAAAAATAATTCAAGAGCAAAATTAATGAAATTTGCGTGAATCACTCTCGTGGGTAGATCATTTACAAATTCAAAACCAAAGTGACCGATAAGTGGAGAACCATTTGTAAAGCGCGTCTTACAATTTAAATCCATCCCGAGCGAGGTTACAAAGAACAGTGTGAATAGAAAAACAAGAAACGCAATCCCTAAGTTTCTAAGAACCACTGTTTCTGAACTCACCGTTTCAACTGAACTGATATTTATACTCATATATTTATAATCATATATATGCTTATATTGTAAGTAAATGCATCTCACTGAGATATATCTTGTCCTAAAATCATAATTAAGAAAAATATCCATATTCATTTCGAAGAGGAAATAAATTAGCACATTGAAATAATTTTATTTTTGTTTGGAATAAACGGTTTTGTAAAAACATAGATGTACTTTGGCATGCCCATATTACACAAAACTCTATCTTCACGCTTGTTGCAAAAGGAAATATTTCGCATTTCCTCGAATAATCGTCCATGCTCTAAAGGGTCCCCTCTCCCGAAGCACCCACCCTCTGTGCCATAATGGTAAATAAGCCACTGAAAACCTGTTCCCATTTCCACTTTATATATACCTTTTCAAGCTTCAACTAAATAAATTCAAATAACTGCAACAGAATCGAAACAGGCAAATAATAAGCACCGTCCTTCCAGTGAGCCGAAATTTCAAATAAGCGCCTGGGCGCTTAATCGAGGAAATACGGTACTGTGAAGTATAATAATTAGAAGACTTATTTGCATGAAGATAAAGAATGGTAACTATTCGAAAGAGATCTACATTTACTGTTTGTTAATCGAGAAAATAGATGGTTGGATTTTACAATAACATTCTTGCATTCACTAAGGGGAAGTTTATGTTCCCACCATGTCAGCCTCCGATTCAGGAAAAGCAACATCACAAATCATCTGTAGCTTGTACGTCAACCGCGCTGAAAGGAGAGCAAATAGTTACATTTTTTCTTTCATTTTGTTGTTTTGGGTTCTTTGTTTCAAATTAGTTTTTTGCTTGCTACTCAGATAAATATTCAAGCACTGCATTTGCTATTTTCTGCCTGGAATGAACAGATTGTGTGTCCAAAAACCGCAAATAAACAACTCAACGGTTGGGTGTCACGCGTTATTGAAATCAAAAGATTTAAAGCTGGCATTTAGTTGAGTAAACTTACCCACGCATTTGAAGAAACTTTGAGGTACAACCTTGAAATAGACAAATACAAGGTAAAATGGAATTCCAGCTAAGATGAAGAGGAGACAAAAGAAAGACTCCAAAGGAGCTTCGTAGAATGGCGCCACGATCAGGTAGATGGAGGCCAGCAAAACCAGAATCGGAATCACTATAGGAACCTAACATAAAAAAATGGAAGTTATCAAAACGATAAAGCGCTAATACCTTACGAGAATAAAATGTACACTTCTACAGCGCTCACTACTTCCATGTTAGGTCGCAGGCGGTCTTTATCCTTCTTCTACTTATAATTTTGTCTGCACATGTGTTTCCATTTACAAATCTCTTTGAACGTTTCAAGTTTCTTTCGATTAGTTTGCGAGACAGCGGTTGTTTCTTATGCTTCTTTTGAAATTTTACGCGGGAAAATGGCGCGCAAGCGGCCAAAATTGATCTCCTGACGCATGCCCTACGTTTGACCGCTGTGCTAACGTGATCTATGTACGTTTGAGGTCCTCCGATAAAAAAATTTTTTAACTAACGCTTTTACTTGACCCCTTTAATCTGACCCCTACTTGTTCAACCTCGGTCCTATATTTGACTAATCTTATACACGTGACTTACCCTATACGGTCGTTTCATGTCAGGCTTTTTGTACCGGAGCCAAAGCAAAGCTGATACAGTAAAACCGTAAAAAACCCAGGCAGCAAAACTGAAATAGTTAATAAGTGTCTCAAAGCTACTGGAGTCTGGTAACAACATAATCCAGGCAATGGTACTCTGTAATGACCAAATAAAGAACTACTTGTTAATACAATCTTAAGCTTAAGATGGCACCTGCACCTCACTGAGTATCAAAACAGAGATGACTTGAAAAATCTAATTATTCGATAGTTTGAACTATACACGGGTTCGTGACCTTTGCGATACCGGTGCAGATCAGATCCGTACGGGCCTGAATTTGTTTTGTTTTTTTTGTTTCAGGTCGTACTTTCAACTACTAGTTCAGTATTGTTCTTAGTTGCGAGGATCTCTTCAAATTCGTTTCTTCACCGCAGTCCAAATATATGAATTTCATATATCCAAAATCAATATTATACACGGGTATTGATCAGTTCTAGCCAATGATCGATTAGAGGTCAGACGCATAGATGACGTCACCATTATAAACATTTTGCTTTGTTATTATATAAAACAAGCCGATTGCATTTTGCCATGCGTCTGTACAGTATTAGACCAGATAAGACTTCAAAAATGTGGTAAGAACATCAGTGACACGCTGGTCTGGCTCTTGCATACCACTTGTTCAAATTTTGAAGTCATCTGTGATCCATTAATGAACCGACACGCGGCAACATGTAATCAATTTGTTACATACATCTAGATAGGTAAGTTAATCAAGAAATGTGCTAATTTCCGTTTTTGCATTTTTTTGTAAAGATGAGTATTTGTCGGGTTTTATTGGTTCGTACTCAGGTTACGCTAAAAATTTCGGTGATGAATGCCGAGAGAAGAGTTGAAGTGAAACTCGTCTGGTAGGCTTTCCCGTTGTAAGCAAGAAAAATTATTATTTTCTGGAAGGCTCTGAACTTACGGTGAACAGCATGGCAGGAAGGGGTGTGTGTCTCTTGGTATGAATCATAGCAAGGAATTTCGGAAGGTGACCCTCGCGAGCAGCGGCAAACACAAGTCTGTAGAAAGAAATCAATTCACTGTATTTTAAAAAAATTGACGCGTATTTGTCAGTGCTTTGCACCAGCTCAGGTGAAAGTACAATGTACGAACTCTAAAAATATTGCTTAATTCTGGTTATGCAATAGACCGCGTTATTTATTACCGGCGTAATAATCCTCTTGGGATGTTGGGAGAACGCGAGAAAAGTTTGTAAATCACGAGCCTTCTGTAAGTTACACACATCGGCATAACTGGGGTTGATATACATCTAAGCTTCTTAACAAGGAGAACTGATAACCATCTATTTAATTAATGTTCTTGAAGAGGAATTGATATTCGAAACAAGGCAGCCTAGCTCAAAATCACCTTCCACTGCTAAAGGCAGATCCGTTTGCGGCACCAAAAGTGGACGCGGCAACAAATATGGGAATGACCCAAGCCATCACTCCGTATAAACGATCTGCTAAAGTCTGGAATAAAGCAGAAAAATAAACAACTAAACAAGTAATCAAGGGCTCTTGTGAGCTACCCCAAGATATATTTCGTATTTTCCTTAAACAATCAAACAGAAGTCATCTGAGGTTTAAAGAAGAAAAATGTAAGGCATCTCTTTTTAAGTAACTGAAACACTCAGGAGTTTTGGCGGGAACCTGTTGCGCAGGCGGCCGGCGGCTTCCCGTTTTGGCGGAATAACAATTACTTTCCGCAATGACTGAATGCCTAGACAATAAATGTATTAACAACGATGAAAAACCTTCCAAAAATAAACCCCTTTACTTACCACCGCAACTGCGCTGGAATTCATGATTTCCATAGGTGTCAGGACGGTCAGATAGGCGATATTTACTAGCACATAACAAACTGTCACAAGTGGAATACCAATCAATATGGACAGCGGCAAGTCCCTTGAGGCAACAAAGAGTTCTTTTTTTTAATAATTAATACCTTAAGAGTATGGTGCAATTTGCAATTGAGTGTTAAAAGCAATCTGGGATTGTTTTGGTTTTGCTTTACTTTGCCTTGTGATTGGTTCAGAAAACTCGCTCCAATCTCTCCACCAATCAGATACAAAACTAACCTCTAATCACGACTTGGTTGCTCGCGTTTTCCCGCGTTTCAGGCAGTTTGGTTTTTTTTTTATTTTGAGTTCCCATTGGCTCTTAAAGGTATTTTCTTTTCTTCTCATTGGCCGATGTATTAACTTCGGTTTTGGTTTGACTCAACTGAAAACTGCTCTGTAAGCTTGTATTAAAAAAAGAGCTGGGATAAAAATATTGCTTCCTTGATCGGCCCGATTGTTGAAGTCGCGATGTTTTATCATCCTGTAAATTTGGCGTATTCCTTCACAAAAATTGCGCTTTTTAAGTTGCAAAATGTAGGCCTCTCTCCAAAGGCACCCTGACGGAAATACCATTAGTGAATGATTTGTGTTATTCCAGCGCGATGGCGCAGAAGTTCCACAGCTAGTGACAAGGTACAAAAAATTACTTACCGATAGGGATTCTTCAATTCTTCTGTAACGTAATTCAAATTGTTCCTATAAAGTGCAAAACAGCTTTCTTAGAAGATACTCAATTTACGGTTATGTTTTCTTTAAAATTTTGCGCGGGAAATTGACCCGCGGCTGGGTAAATTGAACCACTTGCGCATGCTTAACGTTCGACCGCTGTGTTTTCCAGTTCAAGTTATCCCTTAAATGAAAACTTTTTAAAAGCTCTCGCAGTACTTCTCTCAAACCATGAGCAGCGATGAGTCGAGGAGGGGTGTGTTTATCATCTGAGAAGGGCAGTGCTATTTAATCCAAAAGGAGAAGCAAACCAAGTGAAGGCATCAATCCAGCTCAAAGATAACCTCTAAAAGTATAATTCCAATGTTGATCACAATAGCTTTTGTTGGGGACCAACAATCACTTCGGAAACGAAATAAAAAATATATTTTGTCTTGTCAAACAAACGAATGAACTTTTTGAGGAACAAAGTTAAATTGTTCCAATAAAGCCATCGTGTGCTGTATTCAAAAGTATAATTTCTGTGGAAAGCTCAGGTAGAGACAGATAAAAGTAAGCAACTCACCAGCCGTCATAAGCCCAAAGTCCGTTGTAAAATGCGAATCCTACCAAACCGATGTTACTCGTTGTTTTATGAAAGGAGTTATCAAAACTATCAGTAAAACCTGCAAAAAAATGTTACGTTGAACAAAGGTGACGTAAATACTCTCAACTGACATGCTGGCAACCTGCTGCAAATTGAGGAGATACCAGCGTTTTGATTGGTCGGAAGCCTCTTAATGAAGTAACGGCTTCTACAGCCGATAATCCATATGAAGGCTACTCAAAGAGTGGCGACTAATACTTTAAACCATAACATTAGCATGCAAATTCTCCAAACCTTTCTATACACATCTCCCATGGTGCTGACAAGAAGAATTTGTATCATTTGTTTTAATTCTCATGACCATAATGTGTGATTAAGGGGTGATATTGTAAGGAGAAATTAGATGCTAGTCACTCTTAGGGGTATTATCCTTTAAAAAGGATCAAGTAGAGTGTCTTTTGTGAGGGCATTCTGAGACTAAGAAATAACAACAACCAATCATCACAAAGGAAAGAATTATACGCAGCCAATGAGAAATCAAAGAAAGCAACACCAACCGCGCATAAAAAGGTGGATGACCAAGTTACCAATGAGCCAACTTACCTTGACCAAGGCGAACGAGGCCAGTAATAATAAGCATAACAATAGCCACCATTTTACAAACTGTGAAGATAACTTGCATACGCGAGGCCCATTTTACACTTGCAATATTCACGAACATGATGATTCCTGAAACGAAACGAGAGTAATTTAGACAAGATAAACATTAAATTATTATCAAGGAATAATTTGCTTGTTTCTCCAACAGTCTGAGTTGTAGCTATTTTCTCTTACCCAAAATGCTTCAGCGCTCTTCAGATGTATTATTTTTGTATTCACGCACGGGAAGCGAGATTTCACAATTTTGCCAATCAAGTCAAAGAACTCTAACCTTCAACTTACGTGGATATTTTTGCGTACTTTTGTTGCATGTTTTTATTGAATTGTTTTTAGTTATTTTGAGCTTTGGTTCGAGCAAATTTGTTACCCCTGTGTTTAGAATTTTAAGAAGTTTCGGAGTTTTTATTGTGGTCAGATGCTGTGGTTCTTGTGACAAGTTAAATACATATTTTCTACGGAGTTTCGACTCTAACCTCTTTTTTCGTGAATGGATTTTTTAAACATGCAAACCCAAGAGGATTTCCTCATTGGCAGCGACAAAATACAATAATTTGTGCTACAAAAGCCATTGCAAACATTCGAAAACTTAAGGAAGAAGAATGATTCCGATTCTTGTGTTTATACACGTAGGCGCTTGCGGGTAGTAATTGGCTAAAAAACGGGTTTTGGTGTGGGCAAGAGGCGCAACTGAAGTTGGAATAATCCTCGAAAGGTTTTGTGTATTGGTTTTCAGTTCGAGGCTTTCATGTTCAGTAAGATTGGCAACAAATTAGGACACAACGAGAGAAAATCGTGATACTTCCATTCACAAACACAAAAATTTTCCGATGCAACCAAATTCTTTCAATTTGTTGCTGGGTACTCGTGGAGTTTAAGAAGAAAAGAACCTTTTAAGCAATATATTTGAGTGTATCTTCAAGCAATCTTGCTCGAAAGGACACATGAAAAAAAAAACCCAGCAATACAACTGTTTACGCCACTGTCAAACAAATACGCCATTCAAGAGATGATGTTTCTCCAGAGAGGAAGCGTTCAACAAGGAACGAGAAAGAAGTATGGGAAAGACAGCTGTGAACAATTTTCACCGCGCAAACGGAGAACAATGAGCAGTGCTAAACTTATCAAAGACAACTCTAGCCTTGGTTAGCTGAGTAATCGTTCCAATCAAGAAGTTGAGTTAAGAATCATATTACTAGCTTGCGAAATTGTTTGCCAATGGTTCAAACTTCAAATACCAGGATTCATCTCAAGTCGCTTAACCCTCTAAACCCTAAGAGTGACTAACATCTAGTTTCTCCTGACCATAACACTGCTGAATCATTCATTTGTGATCATGAGAATATAGGAAATGATCACCAACTGAAGAAGCTCTTGATTGTTAATCAAATTCTCCTTGCCAGCAGCCTAGGAAATGTATAGATATCAGTGTAGAGAATGTGCATACTGATGTTAGGGTGTAAAGGGATAAAAGCTTATAAAACCCACAAGTTTCGCAACAAAAAAAAAAACATTTAGTTCCTTCCTAGTTAATGGGGGTTACTTTCACGACAAATGATCGAAAAGTTTAGCACGGCTTAGTTTGTTTATTTAGTCAATTTTGTCCAGTTTTACCCAAAACAAATTTTGTGAGCATTGCGTTATTAAAAACATTTGTCCGGCCAAAATACGTCAAGTCGCGACAAACCATGCGCACCTGTTAAGTGTTGGTGATTGACAGAACAATTTGTCAAAATAAACAACTTTTGTGCTGGTGTAGATAAGACCTCCCTCCCCCGTGAAGATTAAATTTCAGAAACATAATCGACTAATCGCCGCCTCTCACGTTGGAAAAACAAATTTTGTGTCTTATTTGTGAAAAGGAATAGTCGGAAGCCCTTACCAAGACAAAAAGCCGCCAACAACTTCACCAGTATATTCAAGTCTTGCCGATCCGAACCTTGACATGCCGGAAAAAATGGCTCTACAACATACTGTCCAAAAGCAAGAGCAATAATGGCCATTTGTGAAGGCCTGAGAAGTGTAACCGATGTCCAACTGAACAAAAACGCAGCCAGACCACCGAATGCTTCCAAGATGTAGGTGAACTCCGCGCCGGATTTCAGAATCGCTGTACCTAACTCCACATAACACAGAGCACCCAACATGGCGATGACGCCACATCCTGCCCAGACAATCAGAGTTAAGCCAGGCGAACCTGCATTGGTAAATACGCCACTGGCCGAAGCAAAGATCCCACTACCAATCATAGTGCCAACGATTAAGGACACGCTTCCCATTAAACCAATCTGTTTCTGAAGGCAAACAGCTCTCTTCTCCACATGTGCCCCGCCGATTTCCACCCGGTTTTGCAGCAAATCAGCAGTGCTGTAAGCGCTAATCGGAGCGCTCTGCTCGAGACAATTTGTTCTCCCTTGTTCTTTCATTTCCGCTAGAAATCTTTGGTACCCAACACGAAGACAGCGCGTTTTGCAGAACAATCTAAAACGGTCACCCTTTCCAGCAAGCACACTTCATTTACATGGCCTGATCAAATTTCTAAGCGCTCCTCCCAGGTTAATAATTACTGTCTAAAATTTGATCTTTATGGCGCTTAAATGGTCGCCGTTGTGATGTTTGCTTTTCATCAGACTATCAGGCGATCAAGAAATAGGCTTGTAGATAGTTTATGTTCACCCAAACGGTTAATAAGTTATTGCTGAAATTTAAGAGATCCTCGCAGCTAAGAATCACTACTGAAACGAGTAGTTGTTAATAGGACCTGAAAAAAAATTTTCAGGCCCGTACGGGATTTGAACCCATGACCTCTGCGATTTTTTTTTTCAGGTCCTATTAACAACTACTCGTTTCAGTAGTGTTTCTTAGCTACGAGGATCTCTTAAATTTCATCTTTCCACCGCAGTGCAAATATGTGAATTTTCATATATCTAAAATCTTCATTCACTCAGATGTTTATTTGGACCCAATTCATTGACCATCTCCCAGTTGGCTTGTTAGCTCAATTGGTAGAGCGCTGCACCGGTATCGCAGAGGTCATGGGTTCAAATCCCGTACGGGCCTGAAAATTTTTTTCAGGTCCTATTAACAACTACTCGTTTCAGTAGTGTTTCTTAGCTGCGAGGATCTCTTAAATTTCATCTTTCCACCGCAGTGCAAATATGTGAAGTTACTGCTTTTCTTTTGGAGAATTCACATGAAAAGAGCGTAAGAACGCGAGCTATTTCAACTGATACTGGTAAATGCTAAGTTTGCTTAGAAAATCAGTCTGTTTGGGAAGAATTTTGCTCTAATAAACAATCAATAGATAAATAAAACAAAGGAGAGGAACAGGTAACATGTTCAATCACCATGTTGTAGCGAGTGATATGACAACTTAGGTTGACTGATTGTCACATGTTGATCATAACAACTTCCCTTGCACCTGCAACGTTATTTTTAGTAGTAGTCGGGGAGGAATTCCAAATTGAATTTTACAGTTTTGAGGCCTAAATAAACTTTAAAATTAAGTAACTTTTGCTATGCCTTACAACCTGAAATGTTGCGCAAGAGATACAGAAGGTCTGTGAAATTATGCAAATCATCGCGGTTTGATCAGTAACGAAGATTTTACAATAACAAAGCGAGGCCAACTACCCAGCGCGTTGCAAAAGTGATACAATTCAATTTAATGCTATCCTTAATTCAACAACTTTTCTATTTGGGAAAAAATTCAGGCGAAAATACTTCTTGCGTGATTGATAACTCGACTGATGTTTTCTCACGAGATGCTTGCGTCGAAGACAGCATTTTTCAAGTATATTTCGCGTTGATTCACACAATTTTCGTTATTTTATAGAGGTTACATGACAGTGTGTAGCAAATTTTGATTAGATAAATTCTTTATATGACGAAAAGGTAAACAAATGTAGGTGGATCGATCCCGTGGTGGAAGAAATTCGGCGTAAATTCAGCACAACGGGAGTCTTATTTAGTTGAAACCAACACCGGCCAGCTACAACAGGTCATGAACGCATCCTTGTTGTTTAGCATTACATGTTTACAAAGCGATCGGTTTGTTTGTTTGGGATTTAAATACTAGTTCGCTCTGAAAACCATATTAAGATAAGTCCTAAGACCTTAAAGATAGACAAAAAAAAAAGATAAATGGGCGAAGAGTTTACCACTCACCGATAGCAAGCGCAGCCAACAGCTTGACGACAGGTTGCAGATCTTCTCTATCGCCACATCCAGGGAAGATCGGCTCGATCACGTAAGCTCCAAACGCCAAACAGATGATAGCAACTTGCGAAGGCTTTAGCACAATGACAGATGTCCATGAATAGAGAAATGCTGCCAGTGGACCAAACCCTTCCAGTAAGTATACATACTCCGCTCCGGATAAAGGGATCATTGTGCCGAGTTCGGAGTAACACAGCGCTCCAAACATCGCTAAGACCCCGCATAGACTCCAGACAATCAAAGTCAGTCCAACAGAGCCACTGTTTTCCATGACATAGCGAGGCGAAGCAAATATTCCAGACCCTATCATAGTCCCTACGATAAGGCTGATTCCACTGGCAAGGCCAAGCTTTCGCTGCAACCCAACATAACTCTTCTGTCCGGCTGGTCCTCCTTCTTCACCTTGAAGTAGGTTGTCGACGGTGTTATCCTTGGCTTCACGAGAAAGATATTCCTCGCTACCCCAGTGGTTAGCAGGTTTGCCTTCAGCTGTATTTCCGTTCTCCATCTCGGTTGAGATCGCAGAAAATAAAAAAAAAAAGGTGCGCTTAAGTAAAGCACGTGTAGGCTAAGTTGTAATCCCCAATGGAAATTAAAATATTCTTGATGGCCTACTTATGTTAATAGTTTCACCTTTCGAGGCGTTAGCCAATCAAGAGATAGACGGTGAACTTGAAAAGTAATCCTTCCAATAATTATGGAAGAAGAACAATTGAATTGTACGACCAGGTCGAGAACACAAACCCCCTGTCCTCGCTTGACTGGGATTAGTTTGGGCGCGAAAACCTCTTAAGTTTTTTTCGAGATAAGAGGTCAAGAAAAGGTGTTGTTGCTTTAAAATGTTTTGTTTTAATTACACTCAAAAATCAGTCACAGCTGATTAGAGACTGGAAGGGCAAACTCCAACCAAAACTATCGTGCTCTCAGTGAACTGTTCTACTTAGACATTTCTCAGTTTCACGTGTAAACCAAATTCACGATGGTCACGCAATGAATAGCCCACGTGTAGCCCTACCCTCCCCCCGTTTCACCTTGGTGGGGGAGGGTAGGACTACACTTAGGCTACGTGCTACGAAATTATTGAATGAGGATACCCGCGCAGAAACATTGCGTAAAGCTAGCATTGCTGCAAAAGCATTTGTCTGAACGTGAAAACTTGGCAATTTTAACCCGTACATAATTTACAAAAGAGCCAAGATAAAATGGAAGATCCGAAATCTTGGAGCACCTGTAAACCGGTTTCCATCCCGTTCCAAAGTACAAACAGCAATTATTTCAGTGAACCTTGGACTGAAAAGAAGTGAAATAGTAAAATATGTGAATTATCTTTCACATGTGAGACAAGCTAGAGGAATTTAAGGGTCACACCAAACACATTTTTCTGCGGGAGACAGCAAAAATTTTAGCTATCATTGCGCTTTGAATGGTGCTGCTGTGCTGCAAGCAAGGTGATCTCATGTCTCGGTGGGAAATGGCAAGTCTGATTCAATCAAATGCCTCATTACCTGATGTCAAGAACAGCGGGAGGTAAAAAGATCGTATTCGAATTTTTTTTGCCCGTTTGTAATATTTGCTATCAATAGTAACAAAACTAAGAATTTAAATCTATCCTTACAAGTTTTTCCGCCATTTATCTGAAGAACTTTTAATCTATTCATCAGACTATACAGTTGGCATATTCATATAAATGAAACCTCTAAGATTTTTATCCATTTATTGTTATGTCTGTGTGTTTGAGATAAGGGGCCAGTCGAGGTTTTTGTTTAGGTTTTCTGTGGTATTCCTACCAAAGATTAGTCGCAACTGATTTGTGCATAAAAACGCGCGAAATCTGGTATGATTTTTTTCCTTTCTTTTTTTTTTCTGAAATCTTCTACCTCGCAACTCACATGTACGGGAGCACTATTACTTTACTTATACAAATACATTTGGCGTGACAATTGCGATATAAACTGCACACATTACCAAGAAAACATGTTATAAACCAAGGAAAATGCTGGAAAGATGACAAAGAGCTGCCATTAAGAAGAGGAAAAACAACTTGGTATCCCCTCCGCCCCGAAAAGATATTCCTCCTGCGTGCATTTGGTAGACCGCAATTACTTAACGTTATACATAAAAACTCGAGCACGCAAATCTTTTTTTTGTTTTTAACGTCGACTGTATGGGCCACCAGCTCACTCTTGTTGCAGTTTTTAATACCTGTTGGGTAGTAAAAGTGTGACTAACTTTTTGACAGGTGCCTAGTGAAAAGACAAAAGAGCGCGTAAGAGTTGATTCGAACTGTTGATTTTCTACAATTTATCATGTCTTCCGAAATGGGACACGTTTAGATCATACGAGAATCTTGTTTAGGCAAAACACATTACCGATAAGATTGCGATGATGGAGGTCGCCGTTGTAAGCCAAAAACAACAGCCTTGGTTATTCAATCACCGGATGTAGGAACCATGTCAAAGCTTGTCTGGAGATCACATTTCGATCTATTTCTACGATTCAGGAACGACCACCTCCAATATCGGGTCCGACCTGGAAATTATTGGACTGATTTCGTAAGTTTGGTTCATTAATTCGTACTGTATACGTTTCTACAAGGTTTATCGATAAGCTTTCAGATTGAAACGAGTGTTTCGGCCTTCATCACGAAGTTTTCAGAGGGGTCTTCGGAAACTGTCGGTCCGTCGGAAAGACTAACGAAGCGCTCTACCCAGCCTCTCGCGGCCAAATTTCGCAGCTGTGTGATTAAATATGGCGGATCTTTGATCCTTTACCTTGTCACATACCGAAACAATCTCTCTCTTTGGCCGCGCTGAACTGAGACTCTCCTATATCAGAAAGTCGATGGAACATTGTTGTGGCGATGGCTACAAGGAATCTGACGGATACTTACGTAAATCTTCGCACCGAAATCAGCCGCTTCAAGGCATATTCGTTGGGTGACTCTGGTGTACGTTGTGATAGTCCAGGGGTAGTATACATCATTCCACGAACCTTACGAACAAACACCGTGCTATTTACTGTAAGAACACGCCATAATCTTAAACAAGCTACATACTGACGCCTCTTTTTTGTACGGATTGAAACAGGACGATGATACCGTTGCCCTTGTTAGAAGAACCAGTGATCTGGAACTCGGCGTACAGGCCGGAGGAATTAGTTCTTTACCGCCTCAATGGTGTGTATAGTTTCGTTTCTCGCTATTTACATATTGCACATATTTGTACAATGAAAACTGGAGTTTAAAACACACGATAACGTGATCGATTTTTCTTGTTTTTAACCTCAATTGAACATTCGTGTATTGCATTTAAATTTTCTAAAGGAAGTTAATATCATAGCGCCAATCTCTGGAAAAAGCATTGTGTCCCAATTGGAGTCTTATTGTATTTCATCTAATTGAGTGAGTGTTGTCATTACACAGAAAATTGAAATACACTGTAAACATGATAACAAGACGATCTAATGAAGAATTCTTAACGATCAACGGCAGTCAAATATCATAATTTCACATAGAAATTACTTTAAATTTCATCTCCAGCTTTCCTGATGAACTGGACCCCTTCGAGGTGCTTTTTTTTTCGGAAGTGAATTGTTTTCTCACCAGTTTTATTTCATATACACGACTTTTCTTGTACTCATTTTCATCATTGCACACAATTAAAATCAAACTGTTTGGGAAAAATTTATATCCTAGAGTAAATTTTGAACCACACATTTGAAACCAGTTTGTGTGTGTTTTCCTTGAGGGTTATGGTGATGTACCTGGAACTGAGAAAATATATTTCAAGTTATTGTAACATCACTTTTACTTGACATAAATACTAATGTATCAGTTGAGGGTGAGAATTTCTTGTTAGTTGATTTAGTGTTTCAGTATTCTGTAACTGTAGCCAAGTGTATCTTACAAAAGTCAAAAGTTTTTTCTCCACTGAGAAAAATCAAAAACATAAGATGATGGTCCAACTGTGCAAAGTGTTCACTGAACTGTAACTTACATCAAATCTGATTTATCCAATCTATATACTTTTTTTAAAAATATCTCTCCCCACCAAGAAGTATAATCTCAAATTTTATAGCTACACTGTGTGTCTTTCAAGAGTATCAACCCTTTTAAAATAACCCTTTAACTCCCAGAAGTGATTAACATGTAACTTCTCTCTATAATATCCATACAATATCCAGTGAAAAGGTGATGAGAATATTCAAACTAATGAGGTTGAAGTTGTTATCTTGATCTAACACCGAATTCTCATAACTTATTAACAAGAAATTGTGTAGCAACTAGAAGGGAGAATCAAAAATCAGATCTTGGGATTTTAAGGGTTAACCCCAAGAATGATCAGCATCTAATATCTCCTTACAGTTCTACTGCTGAATCTTCCATTAAGATCAGGATAATGAAAGGAATGATGTTCAACCTACAAAGCTTTGACTGTTAAACAAATTCTCCTTGTCTGTACTAAGGGAAATGTGTAGAGAGGAGTATAGAGAATATAGATACTTATGTTAGGGTTCAAAGAGTTAACCCATGTCCCTGAAGATTAACGTTTTACTCTTTAAATGTTAATTTTTATAATATGTGATAATTCAACTGTGTTTTACCTTGTTCACTGCTATAGGGTTGATGTTGTTGAGGAGGTAAGTTTTCTTTTCGCTTTGTGATTGTCGATGTCATCAGAATAGAAAAAGTAACTGAATGTTGTAAACTGTTGTAATCTCTGAAATGTCCTTTGGTAACTTTGGATTCAGAATTATCATAAAATCTGCAAGGGGAGCTTTTGTTTCATGTTATTTTTCAGACTTTTTTTTTTACACAATAAGTGTACCACAAGAATTGTAGATAATTTGAACATTATTAGCTGTTTCTTTCTGAACTTGCATCTCAATGCTGGTGAATCAGAATGTTAGTGATGTCTTAATTTGTGTGTTGTAATGTATATGTAACCTTTCAAGCTATCAAAAACAATCTAGGTAACACTATTAAATATCCTTTGGTGTTTTTAACAATATACTTTTAAGTTATGATCTCTATGTGTATAATTTAACACTGATTGAATTTGCATTTTATTTTTTTACTTTTTAGATTCAGTATGAAATCACTAAAATAAAACAAAGAAGTGAGTTGAATTCTGATCAAACTATAACTTTTAAATTAAGGTTATTATAACGGTGATATTTCTGGGCTTGAGAGGTCCAAGGTTACAAATTCTCACTCATTTATGTTATAAACTGCCTTAATTCTGATTAGCTTAGAAACAAAATGAATCTTTATCCTAATTGTTTAGACTTGTCATTTGATTGACTAACAACATTTGGTAATGAGAGCAAAGTACTGTTGCAGCACTGTTATTAGCAACAATATAAGCAAGGATTCTGCCAAGTTCAGGAACATTATTCCATGGCTGTCTTAAGTTAATTTTGCTATGTTCGACTTGCTTGTGAAATATCCTGACTGTACAATCTCTTATCTTTTATTTCCCATCAGTGCAAGAACTGGCTACTCTTCATGATCGCCATCTGAACAGACCAACCCTTGATGACAGTGTGGATGAAGAACAAACAATAGAAATAACAACAAAGGAAATAACACAGGTACACTTTATAAGGAGGGGAGGGAGACATGTTGGCCTAATGGTTGGTGCACCTGACTCCAGGTAGAGAGGTCCAAATTCAAGACCTGGCTGGGTCATTGTGTTGTGTTTTTGGGTAAAACTCTCTACTCTCACAGTGCTTCTCTCCACTAAGAGTATAAATGGGTACCCACAAATTGTCAGGGAAGCCTGATGAAATGGTGGGGGATAACTTTGTGATGGACTGGCATCTCATCCAGGGGGGAGTGGTGATACTCCTAGTCACCTCATGCTATGGAAACTGGGATAAGCTGCAACTGGATGGGCTACTTGGCTTGGGTACAGACTTACAAACTATAGCTTCTATAAATACTCAAATTACACAGGTACACAGTAAGGAATTTTGTCACGGCTGTAGCTAATAACTGAACAGCTGTTTAACTCTTTTGTTTGTTTGTTTGTTTGTGATAGATGTTCCATCAATGTCAAGGCTCTATTCAGAGAATAGGACGCCAAAGTAGAAATTCCTCCAAACAAGAACATCGTCTTCTAAAAAATGTCATGTCTTCATTAGCTGTTAGTCTACAAGAACTCTCTACCAATTTTAGAAAAGGGCAGTCATCATATTTGAAAAGTAAGCTTTTGTTAAATAGTTATTGTTAAATTTGTCTTTTTTTCTGATAAAAAGTGTTTTCTTCAATTGCACCCCTTTACATGGCTTGTGACAATTTCTTTGCATTAAAACATAAGGCTAACCCCAACCATTGCAGAATGATAACACTAAAAGGTAGTAGACAAAACATGTTGGTGACTGAGAATAGGGGATTGCTTGCCAAATTATGACCATGAAACCATGAGAAGAATGTTAGACAAGTATTTATTTTTACTGTTTAAGTTATTCAATGACACACTTCAGTATTCAAGTGCAAATACTTTAAAAGTGTAAGCCAATAAACTCTATTTGAATGAACTTACCCCACCAGTTATCTCTGACCCACATGTTAAGTGTATGTATGTTAACCCTTTAACTCCCATGAGTGACCAAGACAGAATTCCTCCTTACAATTGCAATACAATATCAACCAGATAGTGATGAGAATAAAGAAAAATATAAATTTGGGGATAATTAGTTGATCCAATACTAAATTTTCTGAACTAACATTGTAAGAATTGTATAGTTGACAGTAAAGGGAATTACAAATTTGATCTGGGAGTTAAAGGGTTAAGTGCCCCTGTGTCAGCCTGATGAATTAATTTCTCAACTGCTGGGTAATTTTCTTTGCTAATGCACCTTCCTGCAATACTTCTCATTGAGAAATGTAGACACATAGCATGAACACATGGTGTGTCCTTCAAAAAGGTGCTTTATTAATGGTGGATGCTTGCTATGGAGTGCCATTCTATTCTGTACAAAATCCAGCATTTGCCTCATCATTGAAGAAAATGTTGATACATGCTTTGTACAACTTACAGTCTGAAAGGTCTCTAACAGGTTTTTCAAAGATTATTCTATTTAGGAATACCTTTTTGTCCTAATTATCTCTCAGGACTAAAGAACCGGGAAGAAAGGGAAAGACAATATTTTGATACAGGATTACCTGCCACTAGTAGTGCACTCATGAATGAAGATGTAGTTGAAGATGATGAACTTTATGACAGGGTGAGTTGAAGCAGCTTCTGATCTAACTAAGGAAATTTAGCAACAAAAGATTCATTTGCAAGTCTTAAAAAAATAAGCCAACCAACCATGAGATTATGAACACCTCTTTTGCAGGGTTTTACATCAGACCAGATGAGGTTGGCAGAGGAGAACACAGCTTTAATTGAGCAGAGAGAAAAAGAAATCCAGTCTATAGTTCAGTCAATATCAGAGCTTAATGAAATTTTTAGAGACCTTGCTACCATGATTGTAGAACAGGTAAGGCAAACGAGGCTTACTGTCTTCTGTAGGAATAAACTTTCTCAAGTTAGTCAAAACACAAGTGCATTTTATGAGAATTGGCTTATGCTGTTTTATAGTTTGTATTATATATTGTATTACTTTATTTATACCTACAGTACTGACTGAGTGGAAGGGCCAGATGGAGCAACAATTTGTAAATTTTTTTCTCTTCCTTTGTTCTGGTATTTTGCATCTTGCAGAAACATATGCAAGGTTATGCAGCACCTCTTGTGCCACCACCTTCTGCCCACATCTCTTTATCTGATTAGTTAGCAGTACTGGTTATGACAAAATTCCAGGGGGAATTGCATCTATTTATCCAAGTTAACCATTGGTAACTGGCTAATGATGGAAATTATCTTTGCAGGGTTCAATTTTGGATAGAATAGATTACAATGTAGAACAAGCGGCTGTGAAAGTTGAAGAGGGCTTGGAGCAGCTTAGAAAGGTTGGTGTAATATACTGGCTGAGGATTAATGAATAAAGATGTTTTGGGGTCAAGTGGGCTCTGTGTTCTTCTTATAGAGCTAATTTCATTACTTCTCCTGAATCAGTTTTCAGACATGTGCTCCATCATCTACACTAGTTTGAACCTGTTTTGGATCTTCTGCTGAAATTCCCTTTTTTACCCATTGCTCCTGACAAGCTAAAAATAAAATTGTCACTTTCAATAATCTTGGTTTAAGTTGTGTTAGGACCTTTGTTTAGAAAGTTTGCAATTCTTAAAAGACTCAGTCTTGAGATCTGTTTATGATGCACCAGTCCAGCTGCTATAAGTTTTTTTTTATTAAGTTAGGTCTATTCAGGGTTTTATTTAAGGGAACACTCCTTAGCTTGTTGATTTGTCCATTCTTAGCCAGTAAGCTGGTGGTCCTGATCCTGTTTTATGCACCAATTTTAAAAGATATTCACTCGTCAGGTATACTTAAATGAGAATTTCAAATGTCACAGATCTATAAGGCAAAACATCAAATCTCTCCTCTTGGTCAATCACTCATAGTATTTTACAGCTTAGCCTGATTTGACAGCATTTGCAGTTTAGATCTTCTAAATTATATCACATTTTATTTTATTTCAGGGTGAAAAGCACCAGAAATCCTCACGCAAGATGTTGTGTATAATTCTTTTAGCAGTTACTGTAATTATCATGCTTTTAGCGCTTGTAATCACAAAAGCTTCATAATGAGCATGTGTTTGGTCCATCCATTCCCTTTATATTAGGTTGTTTCATATTAATTTGTATATTTGATAAAAAATACATTATGTATGGTTAAGTCAAAGGAAAATTTAGGTTTTTGCATTTGGAAGGAGTTACAATAGGTTTTTTAATTACAGCACTGTTTATCCTGTCCATGGTAACTGTGAGTCAAAAACAGTTATATGGTTGAAGGTCAGGGAAGTCTTGCCTAGAAATCAGTTGTTTCATGTTAATAATTATGATTATAATAATGAATGTAAATGATTGTTTAATCAGTGGTCTTGTGATGTAAAAGTCAGGCTTATCAACCATGTATTGATTGTAACTTTTCAACTGCCATCAATGCACAATTGACTAGGTCTGACTCCTACATCGTGTGACAAGTGATAAAACATTCGTTCATTTTTAAAGCCATGATGAACAACAACATTTTCTTTAACAGTAATGAATAATTTTACAGGATAGCCCTTTATTGCATAAGTGCTGTTGGCAAAAGGATTCTGTTTGAATAAAAATACAAGAACAAAAACTTTAAAACAAGATAAAAATGACTGTACAACTTATGCTGCCATTGCATTAGCTAAACAATACAAAAAAATTCATCAGCCCCTCTGTAACCAAACAACAATTAACAGATAACAAGTTAGGGTCAATGTTGGTTTAGGGGAGGGGTAGATGTGCAGTTGCACAGATACTGACATTGATCATAATACCATACTACTTACTACTCAGCCTGGTTTTTTAAGGTAAAGAGTGAAAAGATCAGTGAAGCTAAGCTGAAAGCAGAAGTTGAAGGTTTTCTGAAAAATTTTCATTTCTCTCGGAAAAATTGTGATTTCCCATCACACATGAACGTAAATACTTCTTTTGAAGTTCATTTCTTAGTTCTTTAATCTTCAATCTTACTCTCCTATTATAATTACAGACTGTATTGAGAACAGACGAAGTGAGAGGTGTTATAAAGAAAATATTTTACTGTTGGCGTTGGTTGTGTCTTGGTAGCGGTGGTAACAGGGGGAAGGAGGGTTGGGCAGTCTTGATAACTTAAACCAGGGATCATAAACCCATAGAAAGACGTATGTGAAGGGCAGGGAAAGGGAAAACTTGTGATGTATTTATATCTCTAGAGCAAGCTCATAAAGTATTTATCGGTGCTTCAGACATCACGACCTCCACTACGTTATATTTCTTGTCATTGGGTTTTTTCCCTTTCTTATTTAGTTTTTCCCTCTCTCTCTATGAGTAATAGCATACCGACTTTTTCTGGCAGAAGTAAGAAGAAAAAGAAAAATGTTTAGCGCGCCCGATATGGGACTTGAACCCATGACCCTCAGATTAAAAGTCTGATGCTCTACCGACTGAGCTAACCGGGCTCACTTATTTTAAATGGAATTGAATTAATTACATATTACTTTGACATAGCACCCGAAAGCTGAGCTGCAACATCATGACGAGGCATCTCTTGTCTCCTGACCTTAACAGAATCTTCTTTCGAGGAGCGACTTGAGGTTTTTTTCAACAAAATGCATCTTATGTACTATCTCAACAACGAAGGGAAGCGAGTTTATACGCTGAAGGTAACTAGAGGATCGGTTCAACGTTTTTATGCGCCTGTGGGAAACTGGTTTCAAGTGTGATAATTGCTTGTAATGATTCCACGTGCGTGTACAGTCTAAAGCAAATTCTAGTGACAAAATGTAAACCGAGTCATTTGGAACGAAAAATCTCTTGTTTTGCAGAAAATCGATCCATTGGGTCAACCAACAAAGTCCGCTCATCCAGGTAATGTTTTTAATAACAATTGTTGATCTGATCTACCCCTGCGGTGACAACGTGACCTCTTTCATGTCACAAAAATACCCAAATAAGTATATCACCGAAGATTTTAAGCATTTAGGAGAGTTACCTGGACAATTTTCACCCTTGACAATGACCTCTTTCACAAAAATACATCTAAACATTACAAATTAGTATAAAGATAATTTTAGGAGAGTTACTATTTTGCGAAATGGACTATTTCACCCTGCGGTGACAGCTTCACAAAAATACGATTCTCAACCGCGATGGTTCCCAAAATGTATCGCTGCATGTGAGATCGCACCCGTGGATTTTGGGAATTTACACGATTTCGTCTTTTTTTCTCTCAAATTAGTTTACTTGTTCACCTCTGTTAAAGCACAGAAGTTTATTGGTAATCACGAAATGAATATTGTCAATAAAATTAAAGTGTGGCCCTCCGTTAAATATACCATGTAGAGAGATGCTCAAAATTAAAATGCTAACAGCACAACCTCATGTTATGTTCTTTATAAGGCGAGTTTTTTCTTACGACGGATTCAGAGCAGTAGTCAGAAACACAGAACGATACATACTCGTGAAAATTAAACAAATGGAATCGGAAGAAAGCTGTCGATGCCGCTTACGACTCCATCGCCTATGATCCAATAAAAATTATATAATAAGCTCAAATATGCACGCATTCTGATTGGTTCTCACTTATGATCTATTGGAGGACAGACGTATAGATGACGTCATTATTAAAACTTTTTTTAATTCTTTATTGTATAAAACAAATAGATTCCAAGTTGCTGTGCGACTGTTCAGTAATAGATCACAGAGGACGTAAAAATGTGGTAAGAACATCAGTGACACACTCGGCTGCACCATGTGTGCCACTTTTTTGTTCTTAGCACATTTTGACATTATCTGTGATCTATTACTGAACAGACGATGGCAACTTTAATCTATTTGTTCACTGGACTGCCTTAGGATGACCTGAGAACTCGCCCTGTGATTGGTTGGCTCTTCTGGTTCTGCTTGCAAACCACTAACTCCAACAATTTAGTTTTGAGTAGATCATGAGCGGTGGAACCATAAGTGTGATCAGAAGGAAACAAAACTGTTCTGATTCTTTAAACCCCTTATTCCTTTGAGCTTATGACTCTGCTTTTTTGAAGAAGATTACAGTAAATGAAAATCCTCATTTGCATGGCTGGGATGTTAGTAAATGTTTGGCAGAGTTTCTCAAAGAGTTTCCTGAAAACTTATTTGGTATGAAATGGAAAGTGCACAAAATTACTTGAAACACTTGCTTTCCTCTTTTGGCAACTATTTACATTCTTATATTGAAATCTGCAGTGGCATGGTGTCTTATACAGCTTATCTACCAAGAGAAGGACTATAGTTGTGTGCCATAATTTTCATGGAAAATCTTGTATGGTTGTGAGATGAGGAGTTCTCCCATCATTTTAGTTTTGTGAGATGTATGCAAAATAATATTCACATTATGTGAGAATTTGACTCTTAATCTCTTCTCTTTTTCCTCAGCTCGCTTCTCTCCAGATGACAAGTACTCACGCCACAGAGTGACACTAAAGAGGAGGTTTGGAATCTTGCCCACTCAGCAGGCTAAGCCTGTCTATTGAGACACAAAGAAATTTTGCCTCACCCAGGACTTGTACAGTGAACTGGCATGAATAGGACATCTCTTATTCATTACCTTCAATTTGTCATGCCTTGTAGAAAGAGACTTTTGGGAGTTCAAATGTGAAGGATTTGTCAGCATATCTTTTATGTATGGTGTCACGTCATGAGTTTTAAAATTATTTCAGTTATTGTTGTCATCAATATCAAGTTTCAAAAGTTTATTTTAAGCAAAGAATTTATGCCAAGCACAAGACTTATCATTGTTCCATCCCATTAGTCTAAATCTTGATTAATTATAATATCTCAATTTCTGATGAAGCAGATTTCAGTGCAAATAGGGTGTATCATATTGTTAAATCAACACAAACATGTTTACAAACCTTTCTTAACTTAAGAGCTACTGTTCACAAATATGATAACTGTTTGATTGTGAAAAATATTATAGTAGTACCCATATTTATGCATTTTTTGGTGAAGTGAAAATAGAAATATTTGTTTTAGTTTGTGTTTCCTTTCTAATGTAAGGTATTGTCTCATCACTTAACCCTTTAACTCAAATCAAATTTGTCTTTCTCCTTATTGTCAACCATACAATTCTTATAATGTTAGGTCAGAGAATTTAGTATTGGATCAACTAATTATCCCCAAATTGATATTTTTCTTTATTCTCATCACCTATCTGGTTGATATTGTATTGATATTAAAGGGAGAATTTCTGTCTCCATCACTTATGGGAGTTAAAGGGTGAACCCTTTACACCTTAACACTGGTATTCATATTCTCCACACTGTCTCTTTACAATTCCTGGGAGAATTTCTTTGACAATCAGTAGCTCCTTGAATTCATGATCATTTCCTTTCTTCTCATGACCTTTACGTTTGATCCAAGGGGGAATTATGGGCCAGTTACACTTTAGGGTTAAAGGGTTGAACTGATTAATAAATTAGGGAGACCAGAGTCAATAGTGTGGAAAAATTAAAGGTTGTGTTGACTTTGTTCTAAAATACTCAGTGATGGGTTGGTAAAACTCGTGCCACCTTCTTAACAAACCAAGTCAGTGATTGAGTGTTAAAACGTAATCTGGAATTGGTTTGGTTTTGCTTTACTTTTCTTAGTGATTGGTCTTAAAACTCACACCACACTCTCAACCAATCAAATGCATAGCTAGGTCACAGGTTGCCTGTTTCTGCTTTGAGTTCTCATTGGTTAATGATGATTTAACCTCTTTTTGTTTGGTTGTGGTTTTTTTACTTTGGTTTTTTTTCTCTTATTGAAAATTACTCTAAAACAAGTTTCTACTTGGTACCTTTAGTTACTCAGCGCTTTAGGCTTCAGCTTTTTTTCATTTGTTTTGAGTTTTCATTGGCCTTTTTTTGTAAACTTTTGCGGTTCAGATTGGCTATAGAAGTAATCTTATGTTCTGATCATGTTCTCCTTGGTATAACTAGACATGCGGAAAAAAAGGCGAGGCATATCGCTGTTTACTTCATAAAAAACTGAATTTTGCGTAGACCGGCCAAGAACTCAAAGATAACTGAGTAACGTCACCCCACTACAGAATTTGATGATGATTTTATCGATTAAGACATTTTTGGTATATTCTTCAAACTGTATTCGGAGTTACACTAAGATCCTTCGGAGGTGAAAAAGTCTCTGTTTTTCGCACTGCCTTCCATGTCTTGACAGATCATGCAGTCGGGTCTTCTTCTGCTTTGCAGTTGATACCACCTCAGAACTGCAGGCTCGTTAGACCGGTGGAAGCTATCTTCAGAATACCAAGAGAACTCTGGCTCTCTGCGATTAGCCCACATGTAGAATGAGCCATCCAGATCTTCCTCCAAAGAGGTAAATGCAGTGTTTTCACCACGACACAATTCCAGAAGGGCAACTTTCGCTAACATGTTTGCAATTGGGACGATGTCTGATGACAATCCCATCTGATGAAGTTTTGCATAATTTCTGGGTAGCTCCTTAAACTCTTTGAATGTAGCGCTCGTCGAGATATCTTTTTGGACAGACTTGTCACTCTTGTCTGTCCTTGCAACTCGAACGTGGATTGTGTCACTGCCATCAAAAGTCGTTACTGAAAACACTTTCCCATCAGCCTCGTTACGTTTGAGGATGTCGATAAAATTTGGCTGCATGAGGCAGACCACTCCGCATAGCTCTCTTTCGTTCATCTTCTCTGGCTTCTTGGTATCAATTCTAGAAAGGCACGAACAAATAATTAAGCTGTTGGGAAAATACTGGAAGGAACCTATTTTTGTGGCATTTTCTGAGAATTTCCATTACTTCATTGATTGGCTAATTGCAAGTCAAAAACAAAATTCTTGATTTCCCGGAATGGGAGTCACAGTATCCTGCGGCCAAGGTAATGTTGCAGATCATTAGCACACACCAAGTGCAACAAGCGTTTTAGCTTTCGAGAATGAACGGCTTTGATAACGGCAATTTTCTTCTCTCCTGCAGTCTACTCTGCTGGGTTGAATTCCAAATCATCGCGAGGCTTTTTCCTTCAAGTTTTTCCTTTGACTCAGTGAGCTTCAAACTGAAACTCTAGTTCCTCCAAGTAGGGATCAAACCAGACAAATGAAAACGATGTCTCGTTATCATCATGATTATCTCTTGCGGCTGCGCAGGTTCATCAGAGCATAACAACGCGCGTAAACAATTCCAGGAAACTGTTGCATTGAGCTCTTTAAAAGAATGCTCTGTATTAAGAAACAGTATCGTAAAAGCTGAAGTACAAAGCTTATACTATATTGCCGAACTAAATACTTTTCTTTTATCCTTAAAAACCCAGCGTTATGGAGGAGGATTAACTTTCCTATATGAAAGCAGACGCTGTCGTATTTGTCATAGCCATTTCTTAAAAAGTGCGGAAGATTTTACTGTATTAACAGGAAATCTTTGTTTAAAAGGTCACCAGCATGGGATCAGCCGGTTCGCCCGGCTGAATTTCTCTCTGGAAAACGACGTGGGAGTTCCAGCTCTTGCCATCGTTGCTTCCTGTCTGACAGAGCGCTGACGCAATGCTGCAATAAATGTTTATGCCCAGTCCCTCATCCTCTGTATACTTTGTGCTGCCATCGGTACAGGTGGTAACGGTTGAATTACCGGTATGGCCAACAGGATCATCACACGTTCGGCTACAGAATGGATTGTCCTCTTAAAGCCTTAATTTGGCTGCATTTCCAAAGTTTTTTGCGTAATCTTACACCGAGAAAAGTTGATCTTTGTGATGCACTGCCGAGTGTATATTCTCCACGTCTGGCGTCATACAGCTCAACAGATTAAGAGCGTCATATCGGTATAATTCTGAGACTTTCTGGAGGTTTTCGAGGCTGGTAAGCATTTCAATTGACGCAGTACTCTTAGATGCGACGTTACCTTGTGAGCCATTGAGAATTTTTGGTAAATTGGCAACCTCGCTTCTGGTATAATTTTCATTCCCGCGCAATAATTGAAGAGTGTCGCTGACCAGCTCGACCACCTCTTAAAAGCTAGAGAGCCTGTGCGCCTGGTGCTTCTCATAGACTGAGAAGATCAATCGATATTTTTCAATAAATTCTCGTCAACGGACATCCCGGTTCTCGGTTTGTTTAAATGATTATTTCCCGAATCCCACAATAACTCAAAAACCGTCGGGATTACAGGATTTAGAGAAAATTTTAGTTGGGACCGCGGGATGGAAGAACTCTTTGGGAACCTTCTGACATGTTGCCGATTCGTCGAAAACTGCTACTTAAAAGGGGCCGGAAAAAAAGCTATCCGAACTAAGCATAGCTTTAAGTAAATAAGTCATTGAATGCTGTAATAAAGGGAACGATTGTGCAACCAAAATCAAACTACCCCTTCCCCGATGTAATTTGAGCTCGATTCTTAGAACAGTATTTACATGCAAACGATGCGAACATACGTAAAAGTTAAAGTGACTGTGGGCCTCTGCACTCGGAAATGAATTGTGAAGGGGTGAGATACCGGCGTCACTAAACTGACTTAGTATTTTGAAACTTTTCGTCCACTTACGGAGCATTCCTTGTCAACTGTTGCTTACTTGGCACCATGAGAATGTGCTTGACTCCGCGAGCGAAAGGTCGAGGGATCGATTCCAGGCGGTGGCAAGTTTTACTATTTTTTTGTCTTTATTTTTTCAGTCTTTTCTTTTTCCCTATTTTTTTTAAATTTAGTATTCAAAAGTATCTGTTTTTGCGTCCGGCCCAACCTAACACTCAATAGGCCGTTTTATCATGAAACTGCCCCTCACTCCCTTTATTTCTTTCTCCATTCATCTTCCATCTTGTCTGTTTTGCTTTCTACGGCTATATTTGCACCCTTACCTACGGCCCTCGTGTGGGAATTGTTTTTTCCTTGTTTTTATGGTTTTGTTTCTTTAATTATTTTTCCAATAAAAGAACACGTGTGCCGCACGGGTCATACAACAGTTACAACTGTCGAGGATTTGAAATGTGCGTTCGATGTAAGATTGCTTTATGACTGTCTTTGTCTTTTGGTTTGCCAATATCCGAGGAAGTACAGTAAATAGTCGCGAATCTCAGAAGGCCAGTGTGTCTTCCTTCATTTATAGCATCTGTGCGAGAGTGTGCTTTGCCAGAAAAGGTCTACAACGATTGTGTGGTTGAAACAAAACTTCATTTCCCTAATTGAACGGAGGCCGACAAAACTTAGTTTTAATACTCTGTAACGTAATTTCTGTAAGTTACTGTTTTGTCATTATCTGACATAAATGTACTTAAAATAGCCTTGAAATATGGTGGTAAAAGACATCGGAAATCGAGGCTACCATGACATTGTCGATACCAGCGCCAGGTATTGCTGAATGCTCATGTCTATGTATCGTCACAGATTACGCCTACCCTCACTCCTAGCGCTGCGAAAAAGGGTTTTTAATAATCAGTTCGTGCCGCAGTAGCTTCGTTCAGCAGCGCAGGTTGACAAACTGATACGTCAGCCGATGAGTCTCGTATATTTTGGGTAAAACTGGGGGCTTCTATCTGTATATTCCATCTGTTGCCTTTCTATCTCTTATTCCATCCGGTGACTGCAACATGGGACTGGACGCACGTGCAATTTGTCATGTTGTAGTTAAGTTTTTAGGGTTAGAACTTCTGTATCAAACTAAATGGCATTTTTTATATCTTACTCTGTTGTCACTGAAGTTAAAACAACGAATTAGAAGAATTCTGTCAAACCGACGGATTTTACGATCGAAGACACTCTCGCAAATGATACATGCAAATAACCTGTATCCAGTACCATTAATAAATGCTAAGAAGTCTTATGTTTTTTGATCTCTTAGGGTAAGCACGTGCGTATATGGACACCACCTGGAGCCCTCCTGACGCCACGCCCCTACTATAGCCGATTTTATCATGTGCTTTTGTCACCTGAGATTCTTTTAAATTTTTCTTTAACACTAACGTTTAAAATCTCTTGCAAAAGGTCAGGTACGTGATTTTTCTTTGAAAATACGACCCTTCAAACGAGGATACGAAAATACAGGCATTCTAGTAAATGTAACAATGCAGAAGAGATTTCCTGAAGTTTGCTACCCGAATTTCTTTCTTTAATTTTCGTTCATTTTTCTTATTAATTTTTCATATGAAGACTTTTAAATCTCTTGCAAAAGGTCGGGTACGTGATTTTCCTTTGACAATACGAACCTTCAAACGAGGATATCAAAGTACAGTTATTTCTGTATTTATAACAATGCAGAAGAGATTTCCTGCAGTTTGCTACCCGAGCTTCTCTTTAGTTTTAATACATTTTTCTTATCAATTTTTTTTACTAAAACTTTCAAATCTCTTGCAAAATTTCAGGTACGTGATTTTCCCTTAACATTTTGACCTTTCAAATTAGGACATGAAGGCACAGGTATTCCTGTAGATATGACGGTAGTGTAGCCTTCTTGCGTCTCCACGATATTTTGTCATATGAAAGACAATGAAATATTACCATTGTGTATTGAAGTTCAATTTCCTGGTTACATTCAAAACTTGTGCCAAATATTCCTCCCAAGTCAATTTATTTTAGGGGGATTTTCCAAAGATGGATATCCTACAAGCAAAGTATGAAAAGTATGCATAGAGTGCAGAGAAAAATGGGCTCATTTGCTGAATCGAACACCTGATCATGTGCTGGAAGGACTAATCAAAATTTGCAATCACATGTATTTTGGTTTGATTTATTTCTTTGTCAGTTATGAGCTGACATCAAATATTATGCAATCTGCGTTTACGTGCATAATAAAGAACCTCTTTAGTCATTAGGCGATGTTATTTCTAGTTCAAACTACCTGATTTTTATCATGTCAATTTTTTTGGTAAGCTCATCGGTCGTTTTGACAGTCTAATGAGATTAAGAGTTGATAGCTTTTATTTTATTTTCAACTCGCTCTAAAAAGAGAAAGTTGACTTACGTTGCCTGGTCTGGATCACTTTAAACTAATTTCGTTTATTCAATTGTCGAAAAATCTAGAACAGGAAACCGATTGGCGTGACAAAACGGATGTAGCAATGACTGACGTCATTGATCGAACCACGACAAAATTCGCTCACCAAAACGCAGCGTGATTGATGATTACAAGAGTGTGGTTTTTCTCGGGACAAGCTAACGTCGTAGCGTGATTACGGTGTAAAATGCTCGGATAACGCTTTTCCTTTTGCGAGTAACTCTCTGCAAAAATGGAAACTTTGTAAGTGAGCTATATGTGGCGAACTTTTCGTTTTAAAAGATGGTTGTCATGATTTCACGTTTTTCCGAAATCAGCTGCATTTCGGCGCAATACTCAATGAGAGACAATTCTACAATATTTATACTACAGCGATGGATCCCCAGATCAACAGACTCTTGCTAAGCGCAGAACAGGGGAACTTAGGAGTAGTTTCAGCACTTTTGGAGAAAAGTATTCACGTTGATTCGGCTGACGATGAAGGAGTAAATGCGCTTCACACCGCTTCGGCGAACGGGGATGAAAAAGTTGTGCGTTTGTTGTTGTCACGAGGCGCAAGTTTGGAAGCGAGAACTATTTATGGTTGGACGGCTCTCATGCTAGCCGCTTATTACGGACATTACATGGTCTGTTGGATTTTAATTCAAAACAAATCGGACTTATATGCTAGAAATGAGCTAGGTTCGACGGCTTTGGACTGTGCTGTTCGAAGTGGTCACGTACAAATCGCTGGTTTGTTGATCGAAGCAGGCCAGGTAAATGGGCAGGTTGAGGGACCTCAGCTATGTCTTGATACACCTCTGATGAACGCAGCTCAACACGGTCATGAGGCGTGTCTAAAATTGCTTCTTGAAAAGGGGGCAAACGCAAATTGTAGACAAGAAACAACAGGTTGGACGGCGCTGATGTTGGCTGCTTTGAATGGACACATGACCGCAGCAGAAATCTTGGTGGAATTCGGCGCAAACCCAAATGCGGTCAATGATCTCGACCAAACTGCTCTTGAAATCGCTGCACTTCGCCAAAAGACCGAAGTACAAGGATACTTGGACGAAATCACTTCCAAGAGACCGCAAATTAAAGGTAAAACTCTTTTAAGTGTTTTAATGTGTTTAATTTTGATTCAGAACAACATGCGTTGTGATTTGGTGAATAGGCATTGTGTCAAAACAAAACCCGGCGTAAAAGCGTAACGAGTGGGAAATAAATAAAATAACAACTCAATCAAATGGTTCAGTGAGCTTATTCATGTGCCAGACAATGCCATATTGCCCAGTAGTGAGGGAATTTGTAGACGTATTTGCGTGGAATTCTCTGCCGTTTGCGTGCGAGTTCACTGCATCATTAGAATCGTAATGCAATGTTTGATATTATGCAATGATGAAAATCAATTCAGTATTGATTGTCGGTATTTCTGCATGAATGTCCGCAAATAACAGAAAACAACGTCTTTTTAGCCAGACTGTATACGATTTACGTTATGTGAGCATTCTTCGAGTGATCTATATTTGTTTTGGCCATTTTCCCCGGCACTGAGGCAAATATAGACCACTGCCAATTATGCAGAAGGTGCACTTATTATCTCCTGGTGGGCTAATATGGGTTTAAGCATTAAACTTTCATAACTTCAGTTTTTTTTTCTGGTTGTTCAAGATCACAGTAACTGGAGATGGGTAGCAGTTGTCTTAAGACTCTGAGAATGGTCAAGATTTGGTGAAAATGCGATAGAGATTTATTTATTTTAAGACTTTGCTTTGTTTCAAGAGTGATCAAATTAAAATATTTGTACTCCACTTTTAAATCTGATATAATGCGATGTAACTCATGTGGCACAGGTTAATGTATGTCCAATGGGGTTCACGTGCTGGTTGCGTGTTGAATGGTACAGAATAAACTCTGGATGAATCACCAATGCATTTATATCTAACCAACATTTTTTGGGAAACAGCTCTTAAGGGAACAAAAAAAATTACCTTAAATGGAAGGAACTCTGAGTTAGCTATTCTGAGAGTTGGAGAGCTACTTCAGGTAGTGAAGCATTATTTATTTCTGGCTGTGCTTGGATGTGAGTTTATTGCATTAAAATATTTGTGATTCCAGGGTTATGAATTAATTTGTTAAAACTTTTGTATCAACATAGTAGTATGAAATTTTGCCAGATGTACCAAAGGTCAATATAAAAATGTGAAAAATGGGCAGTATGTACAAAGTAGACCCAAGGTATTTTGTCCATAATCGGAAGTGTTACAAAGTTCAGTCTATAGGCAACTGACAATTTACATCTATAAGAGGGGGAGTTTTCTTCAATCATCTTGTGCGTTTGGATCTGTTTAGTGAGAAAAACTGTTTATTTTGACTGAATAGTTATTAGCTCAGCAGAATGCATCGTTCCTTTCCGTTTCCATTTGAAAATATGTCAGCGGCCAATTGTGAGAACTTATTTGTCTAATCCTCTCCTTCCTCTTTCAGCTTTTGAGGTTTACCACATCCTTAAAAGTTCTTGCTTGTCTCTTGTTTCTTAAGGGAAAGTAACTATTATCTTTTCTGTATAAAATCTGGCGAATCCAACAAATTGATTATTATTTTTCTTCTCTCCGACTTCAAGTTTGAAAATTGTTTATAGCCTTAGTCACTAAACAGGTTAAGATGTGTAATTTATTCAATATAAAGTTAACTAAAGATTTATCTATACAACAACAATTTTTCAAGTCAGAGATGTTTGTCATTTAACTTCATGGCTTCTAAAATCATGGAGGCCTTCCAGATCATCTTAAAGGAAAGTCTGTGCTTGGCAGCATATCAAGCAATTGTTTTCCTTTGAAGTGCTCATTAGGCACATAAATGCGCAAAACACACGAAAGGAGAAGTTGTGTGCGAGAGGAGAAAGTAAGTTGAATGAAATGGATGTGTGTGCTTTTACAGAGACATTTTGTGACATTTTGCTAGTGCTTAAACTGTTTCACTCCCTTGATAGTAACTGAAGCAGGAAATGATATTGTTTGCAAGTAATTTTGAAGATGAACTTAGCAGCATTAAATTATAGTCACATTATATGTGCAATATAATTCCAGCTGCTAATAGTTTTGACTCAGTGAAAATTCTTAGAGTGAGGTGTTTTGAACAAAATGTGTGACCATTTGGGCAAGCTGGCTCGAGAATCGCACTCAAATTGTGCGAATCAGCAGGCATTGAACTTAGATACTGCTTGTGTGCACTTAAATGAAAATCTTCTGGAGTTTGGTGAAGTGTTTAATAAGTTTACTCGCCTGAACAATAAGAAACAGACTTTTGAGAAGTTGAAGTTTCACAAACATAGAGTCTTAGGATTTTCAGTTGCAAGACAATTGTTAGGATTAGAGTAATGTCTTTTGTTATCTGATCTTTCTAGTAAGGAATGTTGGCAGTAGAATTACTGCACATGTGTGGCTTAGTCATCATTTATTTTGATTGACAGGATGCTTGCTAAACAAAATGTTATCAAAATATTGTTTTCTGTGCACTCTTGGCAAAATGTCAGCAATCAAGTATGAGCAGGTTTTCCTTCTTTCTCATTCTTCGGAGGATTTGGTTCACCTTGAAAGCTTTTGATACTTGTTTCTTGCTTTTGAAGAGGAAGTAACAAGTTTCTATGCCATTGTTCATATAGGTTTTGTAGGGCTCTTGTAATGAACTCCATTAGAACAACCACATCAGCAAGGTTCACCCGAGCAAGCATAATTACAACAGGATGTAAAATGCCTTATGATAAGTAAAATTTCCCAGCACGCAAAATATATTATCGAAATACATTATATGGACTCACTTGTCCAAAGGGCAGATTATGCTCTCAAATGGATAAATTTCCATCCAGCAGAAATGTACTGCACCATCCACTTGATAGAGATTTATTCATTGGATAGCTGTATCCACCCTTTGAAAAAACCAGAGGTGCACTGTTTTGTCTGTGGGTCCAAGAGTCCAGAAATAAATACATGGCACGTGAAACTTTTCATCAGGCAATCTTGTGACACTATCGATTGTTAAAAGATAAGTGAAATTTCCAAGGTAAAAGGTAACTCTGGAAGTAATTGGGGTAGTTGAATCTCAAAGGAGTGGTTTTTGAAAGATTTGGTGTTTGAAAAAGTTTTAGAAATTTGAGACAGGGAGATGCTCTTTACCATCAGGTTAACCTCACTTTGTCTTTTGCAAAACTTTATCTGATGCTCTTTTCAATATTAAAGTCAAATAACAGAAGGTATCATATTTTAATTTAATGGCTAATGCAACACATTATCTGAAGCTCTTTCCATTATGGAACTTTTGTGGTCAAAGCATGGAATGTACTTGGATATACTTGTATCTATAAGTTAGTAGTGTTTGTGACCAGAGGGTCGAATCAAACCCTAGGGACTTAAAACAATCCATTAACCCTTTCACTGACAACCATAATCTCATTATTATTATTGTTGTAAATTCTCCTCTCCATCTACCAAACAATCATTGTGATGTTTGTTCTGAGAACTTGGTATTGGATCAACTAATTATCCCCTAATTGATATTTGTCTAATTTCTCATCACTTGTTTGCTTGATATTCTATTGGCATTATAAGGAGAAATTCTGGCTTGGTCACAAGGGTTAAGCATTGAGTTAAGCTGTTAAGAACCAAAGAGATTCAAGCATTTTTATATTGACACAACATGAACAAGGTTATTAAAAAACCTTAAATAACTCCCCAAGTGTTTTTTGTGGCAAAACATCCTGGGTCTTGAATTTCAATCACTGAAACATCTCCTGAAATCTCCTAGTTTCAGTTGCACTTGGTTATCTTTGTTATCTGTCTGGGTGTAGAATAGGACTTTGAGTGAAGAAAGATAAGAAACAGAAGAGTACAGAGGTGAGAGTAAAAAAAAAAAAAAGCCTGACTGTTGGTGCAAAAAATTAAATAATTGTGCTACAGGAATGGCTTGAAAACTCTCAGTTATGGATAAGGGCTCATGGCTTGAGCAATCTTTGTTCTGCCATTGTGTGTGTCAGCTGCTTTTAAGTTTTATAAAAAGGCTTGGAATTGAAATTACCTATAAGTGGAAGGGAACTAAGGTCTTTCAAGGGCAACTGTTACGTAGTTTCCCACAAATTGTGGTTTGGCTGAGTCTTTTGAGATGCTACAGGACACTCTGTGCTTCTATTGGTGGCCAACATTTCCAGATTTCAGAGTGTTTAAATAACTTGGCATGTGGTTACCCATAGTAAGAAATGGAAGCAGAAAAATAAAACCCTGTGTTTTTACATGAGAGTATTTTCTTTTAATTTATTAATAGGATTGATAACTTAACAGATTACCTCCCAAACTAAAAACTGCATGAGAGATGTTGGTTTTCCAAATTGATCTCCCCATCAGAAAAATAGAACAAAAATGTGGTATTTCTCTTTATTCTCATCACTTATCTGGTTGATATTGTATTGATATTGTATGGAGAAATTCTGTCTCAGTTACCCATGGGAGTTAAAGAGTTAAATCAAATCAGACAAATATCAGGGCTTTGGTTTGATAAATGTGCACAGAATTGTGATACATTTTGTGTCAAATACAGTGAGATTGTTTGGGAATTGATGTGTGGGCTGTGATTCTCATCAGCAGTTACTCTTTGGTAATCACTTGTAATGGATATGTGGTGGGAGATGCAGTGGTATAAATTCTTGACTAGCATCTAATTTCTCCTTACAATATCGCCACTGAATCAAACATTAAGTTTGCAAGAATGAAGCAAATGATCACCAACTCAAGAAAATCTTGATTGTTGATGAAATTCTCCTTTTTGGTACCTTACCAAATGTATAGAGAACAGTATGGAGAATATTCATCCAGGGAAAGAGGTACAGGTGCCAGACCTGGCTGGGTCATTATGTTATGTTCTTGGGCCTTACACTTTAATTACTTCGTAGCTAGAGCCTCTCTCTACCCAGGAGTAGAACTGGGTACTGGTGAATGTTCAGGGGAGCTTGATGAAATAATGGGGGGTAGGTAACTGGGGATGAACTAGCACCCATGGGGGGGGAGAAACATAGCAATACTCCTAGTCACTTCAAGCTGCAGAAACATCGTATTAAACTGCAGCTGAATGGGTCACTTGGCGATTGTGCAAAGTACAAATTGAAACCATTAAACTCCCAACATCCAATTGTTAATTCTTCCCTCTAGCTGCTACACATTTCCTTGTAAATTTGTTACAATTGAGTCAGACTGAGATAACAAATTCTACCTGATAATGTTGAGTATTCTCATTAAAAGAAGTTACACGTCAATCACTTCTGTCTGGAGTTTAAGGGTGAACCTAGCTTTTTTCTTTCAGCACCTGTATACCTATCACTCTCATCTTTATTTATTTGCAGTTGAATTATATGATATTCACAAATTCACAGTTGTTCAATCATCACTTCACATGTTAATTATGAACCAATATAATGACCAGCTCCCAATTAGCCTGTTAGCTCAGTTGGTAGAGCACTGCACTGGTATTGCAGAGGTCATGGGTTTAACTCCTCTACAGGCCTGAATTTTTTCAGGCTTTATTTTCATTGCTGCTTATTATAAGCACTGTTCATTACTGTGAACATCCCTCTCATCTTTACTTGCACACCCATTTAAGGAAGTAATCTCAGTCCATTTTTCCGGTTACTGTTTCAGGTCAAAAGTTTGTGAAACCAAGTATTATTGAAGCAGCCAGGAATGGTATGTACATTCTCATCTTTGTGCCCCTTAATTTTTTTTTTCTGTAGGCTCCTTGTGATCTATTCCTGTAACCAGATTCATTGTTCAGATGATATTTTGGTCAGTTTTGCAATGCCCAGTGGAAATGAACTTTATATACAAACCTCTTAATGGGGTGGATAAACAAGATTTAATACAAAGCATTCTAGATAATGTAACACTAATTTTTTTCACCCCTGTAAATAGGTTAAGAATTATTGCTATAAATAAAATGACAGATACCCTGAATATCTAGTTCTTCTTTTTGTTATCATCTAAACTCCCTGAAATCTTTGTTTTTCTTTTCTTTCTTTACTCAGGTAATTTTGCATCTGTCAGAGATTTATTGGAGGAAGGCGAAGTTGATGTAAATGCAACAGGTGAGTATACTCCAGTGCTCTATGCTTTAACCCCTTTGAGAATTTCTTTTTCCTGTTGTACTTAAAACAAGCAAGAACATTTTATTCACTGGATGTATTTTCATTTGCCCCCAGTTCAAATTAGTGGCTGTGCCCTGAAAGTAGCCAACTGTTTTGCTTCTTCTTAATTGGAATCTGTAACTAATTTATTGTTTTCTGGAATCGATTTCTTTCACGCTGTGATATATTGTCCTGTAAAGCCTTACATGGGAGCGGTCTATGTATCAATGAGATTATGGACGTGAGATTTCCTTCCTGTGGTAGTTGATAAGGATGAAGCTTATTTTTGTAAATAAATGATCTATCACGCAAAGAAATTGTGGGTAAATAATCTCATTGAGTAAGTTTAAATCTCCTAGTCATTTAAAACTTACCATAAATACAAACCGCAGGATTTGCGGTGGTATTTGTTCACAGCTGCAAATTGACAGGCAACTCACATTAGTCACAGTTTATCATGGATTATATGTTAAGCTGAATTAAGCATGTATTTTGATTGGTTCATACTTAAGATCTCATGGAGGACAGGCACCATCATCACTAACAAATTTTGCTGTGTTATCTTATGAAACAAATAGATTCTATGTTGCCGTGGGTCTGTGCAGTAATAGATCACATCAGAACAATATTGACACACTGCTGTGCCTTGTGTGCCACATTTTTTTCCGTACCACATTTTCGTATCATCTCTGATCAGCTACCATGTAGGTGCAAGGCAACATGGAATCTATTTATTGAATAGATAGCCGATCTGACAAAAATAATTGTGACGGAATGCTGGCAGCTAACTACCATACGTAAAAATCTTCTAGCATTCTATTGTATTGCTGCAATCTGATGGGCTAAGCCACTACCTGCTATCTTGTTTTGTTACTGTATGGGTTTTTGTATCAAAGATGGCCCATGCTCTATGAGAACTGTTTGGACGTGCATTTTTAAGAAGAATTTACAGTATGGGGATGAACAAAACATATGGTAAAAATTCTGCTGCGTGAGAAAAATCCAACTTGAAAAGTTCAATCATGCAATTGTGTTGTTTTTAACAACAAGTATTTGTTTTCTTGAGGAAACCATTTCCAAGCCCATTGTGATGAGGTTTAGATTTCAAATCACAGCCACAAATAAACTATTTAAAATGGAAGCCAGCTGAGAATAGCCATCTGAGGATAGCCGGCTGAGAATAGCCAGCCGAAGGAAAGCTGCTTAATTTGAGGTTCTTTGATTCGAATAAAAATAGTTTAAAATTTTCACATGCTTCATGATAAAACTTTGAATTCAAAATGCAGAGCTATCATTGCCAGGTTCAGTCATGAAAAATTTACAAATTCACGGCATTTTCATGAGATTATGATGATCCAAGTTCTTGTTTGGCTCAAGCTAACTATTTCTGTGTTTCCTTCTAATGATATGCATCTGGTTTTATGAAGCTTAGTAAATGTCATGTCTCTTGTGGCTCATATTTCAGATGATGATGGTGCCACTCCCCTGATGTATGCTGCAATGGGTGGACACTTTCCATCTGTTCAGTTACTGATACAAAATGGGGCTGATATTGACAAGCAAGACAAGGCTAGTGGATGGACAGCATTGATGCAAGCAACTTACTATGGGTGAGTCGAACTATTTTTTAACATCTGAAGGTGATTGGCCAATCAGAATCCTTACAAATGGACTCTGAACTGAGTTAAAGTAGTATCAGTGACATGGTTTGGGAGACCTAATTGTTTATCTTTGTAAGAGTTTAGCAATTTTGATTGATTACATGTCCACAGAAACCTGCTGTTTTTCAAAGAGTGGCTTTGATACTTTGAAATGGTTTTGGTGTTAATGGTAAAGAAGAAATGATCAGGCAGTTGTTTAGTAAAACCATAAAATAGACTGTCTTCAGCTAAACCCTTTTAAACCCTAAGCATGACCAGCATCTAATTTCCCCCTAATAGTAATACTGTGGAGTCTTTCATTAAGAACATGTGAAAAAAAGGAAATAATCGCCAACCTAAGAAGCTTTGATTGTTAAACAAATTCTCCTTGTCATTACCAAATGAAATATATGAAGAAGAGTATGGAGAATTGAGATGTTGATGTTGATGTTAAGGTGTAAAAGGTTATAAGTAATTTTGCTTTTAATTATCTTAATGTTGATGTTTCTCTCAAGTGTTGAGAAGGCTCATGGTCAGCTCCTGAGGAACATTTACCTCAAACCACCCACTCATAGAGAAATATTGAAGTCCACTGATTGTCTAAAACCATCATGGCTTTCAGAAAACATTGTTCAAGAGACTAAAGTAACCAACCTAAAAGTGTTTGCTGCCAACTAGCCTGTGAGCAAGCTGTGGGAAGGTTTGGGATGAGTTGGGCAGAGGTTTACTGAGAGTCAGGCTCTGACATTTTCAGTGTTAGACCTTTTGCAGACCTCTTGTCGGCTGGTGTAGCTTAAGGATTCATAATTTCCCACAGATGAAGGAACCCATTCACTCACTTTTTTTTACTGTTCTTGCCAGTACAGATCACCTCTTGAAAATGAAAATTCATGTCAATTGTTTTGTAACTATATAATTATGGCACTTGCTTATTCAGAAGGCATTTTTGTTACTTTTTAGGCATAAAGCTGTTGCTAAGCTATTGATTGATGCTGGAGCCAATGTGAATATTCAGGAGAAAAATGGTTGCACTGCTTTTGACATGGCTACTGTCATAGGTGAGTGTGATAAACTGTGTGAGTCTGTGCATGGGAGAAGAAACTGGCCATCATAAGTTTGCCAGTAGCGTTAAGTGGCAAGCTATCTATGTTCATGTAGGCAGACCAGCAATGACATCTGTCAAGATAACTGGAAAAGCCAGAATATGGGTAGGTGAGGTCTCTTGGTGGCAGTGGACCAATTGTACTGGTTCAGGTTTAGGTTCTGTTCTGGTTCTGTTTCCTGAACCCAAAGGCAACAAGGAGTATGAAGCAACAATGAGGAAGGTAGCACAGCCACGTGGTTAGGGCACGGAACTTGTAATCTGGTGGTGCCAACTGGATTTGTTCTTGGTTGCCCTGAGTTTAACTCTTTGGCTGCACTGTGCAAATAGCCAGCTGGTCTGCCTCCTGCCATTTGAGATTTTCAAGCGCTTTTGTTTGTTTGAAATACTTGTTTCTCTCTCCTTCATATTATGAAGTGTTTATAGGCTTGCAATAAGTGCTATAAATTGTAAATTTGATTTAATTTAATCTAATTGAGTATTGCTGCTCCCTCTGAATGAGACATTAACCCTGAACATCCCAGCATCAGGATGCAAATTATTTAATATCTTAATTCTGTTTCCTATGGTGTTTACACCAAGAATGAAAGAATATAGTGATGATTGATTGAGGGGTGATATTGTTGGAAAAAATTAGATGCTTATCACTGTTATGGGTTAAGGGACAAATTGAGGGTGTCCCTGGGTGCTCACTGACCAGTGTTCATTTTGTTACTGAATGAAAGAAGTTCTGTGAGAATGAAGTTTATCACTAAAGTTTTGAGCACAGCACACTTATCCTGGCCAGGGCTTGACCTGAGAACTCTTTCTTGGAAATGCAGAGGTATCAAAAAATAGGCAAATTAACATATTCCCCTCTTAAAAAGCCTGCTAACAAGATACTAGTGTCTGTGTTTAATATGTAGAGTAACCATAGTGGTAGATAGGCTAGAGGAAACATGGACTGCAATACTCACAGGTCGGCAATTTGCTCAGTCCAGAATTTATCTTCAAGCGGCATGTTTCAATTCTGATATAATTCTGATTGAAATGATGATATTTATCTTTCAGGTGATACAGAAATCTTGCGTCTATTAGCTTCTGTGAGCATGCATGTTCCTGCTACCCCAAAACGTTGTAAGTAACTTTAAGTAATCCTTATTAACAATATTATTATTAATCGTTATAGCCAGAAGTAATGAATACAGTTCAGTTGTATCTTCTTTGATGTTTTGAGTTTGAGTGAAACACAATGGAAGCCTTGTGGGTGTGGCTAAGGGTTATCCTGGTGTTCCTGTGATCCCTCTTGAATGAACCCCTCTGTCAAGATACAAAAAGCAAAACTCTAGAACAACCTTATCAAAATGGTGATACACATATGGTTTCAATCTATAATCTCTAAGACAAAATAAAACTTGTTACATTTTCTTTGAGAGAGGTGATATTAACAATATGTTTTCTCTATTAAGAAATAATCTTCAAGTCTACTCTTCAAGGATAGTGTATAATTATCATATGATTATTTAATTTTTTTGATTTTGGATTAAATGAGTTGTTTGTAGCAAGTAGTTTATAAGGTTGGCATCTCTGGCAGTATGGTTGCTGCAATTGGTAGAATAGGGATTTAGGCCATGATACTTTTTATTAATTTAGCATGTTCATGGTTATAACACACCATGAAACCTCATTTCTTCTCCTTCTCCATCTAATGAATGCTTTAACTCTCAGATCAAATTTGTGATTCTCTGTACAGTCGACCATACAATTCTTATAATGTTCAAAGAATTTAGTATTGGATCCACTAATTATCCTTAAATTGATCTTCTTCTTTACTCTCATCACTTAATATCTGGTTGATATTGAATTGATATGGTAAGGAGAAATTCTGTCTTGGTCACTCATGGGAGTTAAAGGGTAAAAGGAGAGAAGATTCTTGCCAAATGCCAAATAAATCAAGTGCCGCTGCTCCACAGCCTCATTCAGTATTTAATCTGCAGCTGAATCAAAGTTACCTTTTGTTAACTTCTTGCAAATATTTTTGTACCAGATTACAGCTCATCAAATTTGTATGGGAGGAAAGGGAAGGGTGAAGGAAAGGGGCCTGTCTGTGAAATGAACAAAGACATGGCTAATGTGGACAGGTGAGATAACTGATAAGGATTTTTGATTGTTCCTAGCAGAATCATGTAAGAAATAAGAATGTGGGTTAAATTTAACATTTAAGCATGCAGTCCTGTCTCAATTATTTTTGGATAGAAAAGAAAAACACTACTCTCTTTTAACAGAACAATATTTTATCTTCTTTCAGTGACTTCATTACAGACACTGGAAGGAAGGTATTAATCAGTCACTATAGATAAAAGTTAGGGTAATTTGGGGTCTAGATCTCAAATGGGATCTGACAAGTTAAACTAACCAACTAGCGATTAAACTAACCACTATACGATTTTTCATTCATTAATTAAGTTGCCTTTTCTTGTCAGTAAAGGGCTATTATGTTTATATGATAAACAAAATAATACATAGTTACTTGTAGAAATGGAATTTCTCTTCTTGTGTTCAACTTGATGTCCATTCAATTGTGGCACCCACTTTTGAGCTATTGAGTTGGACACTCAAAGTGAAATTCCATATCTATGCACGCCCATGTATTATTCTCTATTTATTAAATGGGTTGTTTTAGGAGGTGTGGTTTGAGAGAGAGGCTGTTAAACGTACATTGACTTTACTTGCTGGTTATATAATTCAGTCACTTACCCTGCCTTTGTCCTTGACACATGTCAGACAGTGGAAGGTCACGCTGCTAGGCACTCTTCAAAGGTTTTGCTACTGTAAGTGTCCTAGCTTAAAAAAAGATTTTCTTTCCCTAGAACTGGTGGTCTAAAATGTCAAGTAGATTTCGGCACCTGAACATCAAGCGCACTCTTAAAGTGTCATCATCAGGCAGCAAGCTGCGCATATCACCAGCATCAAATAGTATGGAGAGCCTGTTTGATAGTGACTCTGGTCAGGGGTCCTCATTCAGTCATGTTAGTGATAGTTCTGCAATTACATTGAAGTCACTGGATTCAGGTTAGTGCAGCAGCAATGTTCTTATTGCTTTTTATTCACCTCTCTGACTTGTAACTTTACTATCAGTTATTCTTGCTGCCACATGACCTTAAATTCAAAGTCAACTGGGAATAATAATATTCTCAGAGGATATATTTTGCCATGTATATTGACTGATCTGTTTGGTGTTATTGTGGCTCAATTCGCTGAAATGAAAATCAAGACATTAGTGCTTCTAACTGTCATTGCTAATTGTTTTCGAAAGCTTTGTATTTAGCAAAATTAGGCTGAATTTTTCACAATCACTTTACTCACTTTGCACAAAAGTGATGCTAAGCTGGTGATTCATTTGGTGATTTTAAACCATGTGTCAGATACAGATGATACTACACATGGATCATGATGATGAGTCAAAATCTCTGCTCCTGGCATACCAAGCAGCTGTAATCAATTACTTTATCCTGCTGTGTCGCTGGCTTTAAGTCATATTTTCGTTCTAATTTTCATTTTTTCTTATTTTGTTTTATTTATTAGTTATTACAGAATCTGGGCTAAAAGGCACGACACAGCTTAATTTGAAAAGACCTCCCACACTGGTGAGATCTGATATAAAGTTATTTACTCTGTGTTTGGGTAAGAAATTGTGAAAAAGCCTTTTGACTGTCAGTTGCCAATGGTTGAACCAGGTTACCCGACTGCAAGGTGGTAAATTTTAATTTTGGAAAAGTGAGCATAACAACTGGTAGCTTAGAATTCTCCATAAAAGTGTGCCATATTCATTTAATTAAATGCTTCTCTCAAATAAACACCCCCTCGATTAAAAGCCACCAATTGAAGAAAAATTTCAAACAGAAACTGCACCCAGTTGGATGAAGGCTGACTAAAAATTTGATAAGGGTTTTATGAATTCCCTGTTACCACTCACCTGAGTTGAGATGATTAATGTTTTCAAGGATTATTGTCAGTGAAAGATGTACATAACTGTTTTGCAGGCACTTGTGTCTCACAGCAACAAACTGCCAGATGACGTCATTGGTCCTGTTTTGCCTCCAATTCTTCCTTCCCCCTCATTTGAATTGCCTAGAATACAACGGCAGCAGCACAGTAACAGTTTGGATGATCCATCTTTACCTGAAAGGCCTGTAAGTGCATTTTATTTAAAGTTTTTATTCTGCTTTTATTTCAAAATCTGAAGATAGTAAAAGTATTTTGACATTGCAAGTTGATGTGTCCTTAAAATTCAATTGTGCTTATAAGTGCTATATTACCATGAAGCACAGTGATTGTGTATTTTTACTGACATGTGGCAATAAGAATTTCTCTTTACACAACATGACTACTATGTTGAAGATGTTATAAAACAACTTAATTGTTCTTGTATCAGCCTTGCATTCATGAAATTATGATGCACTTGTTAGAAGTAACTACGGGTTGCTCCTGTGCTTTCCAAACCTTGCAGTTTCTCTATATTTTCATGAACACACACTACTGCATCAGATGTTTGTTACAGCATAATCATTACATAAAATTTAAATTTTTTTTAATCATTTCTTGTTATTTTATATACAGCTATATATTAGATAGGTGAAACATTTGTAGTTTTCAACTGTGCTCAAGCATGCAGTACAGGAAAAACATATCAAATTTATCAACATTTTACTGAAAATTAAAAGATAGTTTAATCCAGTAATTGATTGAAAAAAAAATGATGAGGAGACTAAGGAAACATACTGAAAAGTTTGAATTTTGATAATATGCATGCATGATTAAAATAACTTGTAATTCTGAATGAGAAATGAATCTATTAAGTAAGGTAATTTACAGCTAGCAATTAAATTAAATGAAGTAATTTCTTGCACTTGGAGAGGTATGGTGGCCTGGTGTTGAGTGCTTGGACTCTGAAGGAAATTGTGGGTTTGAACCTTGATTGGGCCATTGTGTTGTGCTTTGGCAAGACGGTTGTTTGTGAAAGTGCTTCTCTCCACCTAGGAGTATAAATGAGTACCAGCAAACTGTCAGGAGAACTTGAAAAATGTTGTGTGGTAGCCCTGAATGGACTGACATCCAGGCTGGGGGGGGGGGGGGGGAGAAGAAATGCTCTAAGTTGCATTATGCTACTAAAATCTGGATAATAAGGTCCAGCTGGATGAAACCGGAATCCTCTATCTTGTAAGTGGAAAAGGTCCAGTAGGATGGATCCTGTGGCTTGTATGTAAAACAGACCTGTAAAGTTTTGCTGCATGGACCTGGCTTGTAAGTGGATAAGATCCAGTGGGATGGACCCTTTGGCTCCCCAAAGAATAAGGTTCAGTAAGAGGGACCCTTTGGCTTGTATGTAGATAAGGTCTTGGAGGATGGACTCTTTGGCTTCTCAGTGGATAAGGTTCAGCAGGAGGGACCCTTTGGCTTGTATGTAGATAAGGTCCAGTAAGATGGACCCTGTGGCTCATAAATGGATAAGATGGACATCCTGGCTTCTAAGTAGATATGGTGTAGCAAGACAGACCCTCTGGCTTGTAAGAAGATAAGGTCTAGTAGGATGGACCCTCTGGCTGGCAAGTAGATAAGGTTCAGCATGACAGACTCTCTAGCTTTTAAGAAGTGAAGATCATGTATGATGGGCCCTCTTGCTTGGAAATGAACAAGGTCTAATTGGGTAGACCCTCTGGCTTTTTGTAGATAGGTCCAGTAAGATAGACCCTCTGGCTCATAAATGGATAAGGTCTGGTAGGGTAGACCTTACAGCTTATAAATGGATAAGGTCCACTCAGATTTCTTGTGTTCACTCAGCCATCCCTGACTATATAATAAATGAGAGAACTAAATGCATTTTATCAATAGATAATTTATTACAGCTTACAAAAAATTGCTATCGTGAATTTAAAGACTAATATTCTCAGCAATCATGTTAAATGTCACTATCTTTTTCATTCAGGTACCCAGTCTTTGTATTAATGGTGAATGTATTCCAGACGCTCATGAAAAGTATTTTGAAGATGATCTGGATAACATTGTAATCTTTTTAATGATTCATTTATTCATAAATTTTAAATTGTTTTACTTTAATCTAGTTCTAAAATTTTATGCACTCAGACCTCTTTATTCACAAATGTTATTGTTATAAGTTTGACTGTAGCTTATTTTGTTAAAGAAAATTTATCTAAAATTTATCTAATACAAATTTCAAGATAACATTTCCTTTTCAACCTTGTGACCATTGATAAAATGTAACTCTAAATATCAGTCTTCAAATACAATTTCACCTTCAATGTTTTTTGAATATATAGGGAAAGAGAAAATTGTAGATTAACTTTTAAGTAAGAATATTGTTACAGACCAGTAGATAATAGGTAATAGCTCTTTGACACTGGGGAAAAACCATTTAATTGTACCATTTAGCCTGCTGAGGAGTTTTGAATAATTGCCTATGTTGCATCCAGAAATTGTCAGGGGGGTGTCACAAGAGGGATACTCTCCAAGAAATTCATGGTGTTGAAGTATGATGGGTTGTCAGTAATAAAGGTCTGGGCCAGGTTGTCCAAAGCTGGGTTAAGATTACCAAGGGTTAATTTGAAATTTGATTTCAGATCTGAAAGCTTGGAGAGCAAATTCAGTTTATTTCTTTTTTAGTACAATTTGATAATTGAATGCTCTAAAAACGATGGGTTAAGTTATTCCAAAAATGGCTTTTGAACAGAGAAATATAGAAACCTGGATTAAAATTTAACCCTGGGTTAGCACTAATTGGCCTTTGAACAACTGGGCCCTGGTGTTTAGCCTAAGAAAAAATAATTCCCCCCTGGCTCTGGAAAATGAATTATTGTTTCTAATGGCACTTCTTTCTTGTTTTTTTCAGAGTAGTGTCAGTGCATATCCAGCTTACAGGTCACTTATGTCTCCAACATTGGCGAAAAGTAAGAACTTTACTGGAAGTCCAGAATCCTCATATTCCACAGCAAGCTTCTACTCATCAATGTCCAACAACTCAGGATCAAGGTTAGCTAAAGCTTTAAATATCTCAAAGGTGGCTTCATTAAAAAGGTTTCATTCCAACTTGAGAGAATGAGGCTGCATTTATTGTTATCAAAAAATTGAGACCTGTAAATGGAATTCAGTATTGCTGGGTCTCTCTTCTTTCTTTCCCCAAAGGGTACCCTAGTGATGGGGGAAGATGTGGGAAAAAAAGATTCTTTGATCTGGGTTGAGAGGATCCACAATTAAGAGTGAGAGTATTAGACCCACTCTTGAGGCCTGCCTTCTCTGCCCTGATTTTACAGTGTTTCATTTTCAAGGAAAGCACACCATTTGAATTTTTTTCTTACAGGACATTAAAGGCGTGTAGTCCTGCCATTGATTTGTCGTTTAACCCCATGTCTGCCATGTCATCATCACTTTGGCACAAGGCAGGGAGAGGAACTGCAGCCAGTCCAACCCCAACAGTCATGACAGTCAGATCAGCCCCAGTGGAGGGAACATCTTTACGTAAAGAATTAAGTTATTCTTCTCTACAAGGCCACGCTGATGATACAAGCAGATCATTTTCATCTTATTCAAGAGATCATTACCCTTATAGACATACATTCAACCATAGTGAAGGTACCTTATTCTTAAGAAGTACCATAAAGATTTTGATTTCATTGTTTTGATTATTTTGTATTTTTATTATGTTTGGGATCTGCGGAGATCTCTGAGATATTTGTATATCTTTTGATGCAATCTGTTCCATACACCAAAAGACAATGGAATGAAACTTTTGACAAATGGTTTTGCCCAGGGGAATTTCATGGCAAGAGAGAATTTTTTATCACCATATGATATTTGTTTCAGGTGATGTAGAAAATTTGCTAAATAAATTATCATTGGAGAAGTACCAACCAATTTTTGAGGAACAAGAGGTATTTAGAAAATAAACAGTTATTGTAAATTATTTGCTTTAAATAACTGTGTCCTTTAAAATTATAATTTGAAAAGTTAATGAAAGACAAATTTTTAAACTCTTGTGATCTGTATAAAGTCAATTATTGATTTTCAGCATGTAAACAAACCCACTGCTGAAGTGAAGACCAAGTTGTAATACACTGGGAATTGACTTCATTATGAGACAAGCACTTAGTACTTAGTTACCGTGGTATTTAACAACAATGAATAGCCATATAAACCTTTTGATAATATTAACCTTAAAAATGATAAATATGTGTTATTTTTGTTGCCTGTCAGGCAGCAAATGACTTCATCTTGTGATTAACAAGAAACATATTTTAATATGGTACTCAAAAGTAACAACACAGACAGAAGAATGTCAACAAATAAGCTTATTATCATTATTGTTGTTGTTGTTTTTATTATTACTATTATTATTATTATTATTATTATTGCTATTATGTTGTTGTCTACATAGTTTTAACTTGAGTCACCTTTTGAAAAATTGCTATGAACTATTGTTGCTAGGTGGACATGGAGTCCTTTCTAACCTTAAGCGATGGAGATCTTAGTGAACTTGGAGTTACGCGGAAAGATGCCAGACAACAAATCCTTACAGCCATTGCTGAAATTAAAAGTAGCAAGGTATAAATGAAGGAAAAGTCTGCTTGGGGTATATCTTGTAGAGGTTATCCATAAGGTATCCATAGCAGGAACAACTAACAATTCTTCCACTACTATGCTATGTTATCACTGTAGGGCAAAATAATGGGCAAAATATGCAACTATATTACACTGTACAACTAAGAAAAATATGTGGGTGGAAATGAGAAAATGGTCATACTAAAAATTTTTAAGATTTTATTTGATTACACCCATACAGCTTGTCTTTTCAAGAAACAAACCTATCTTTTTTGTTTGTTGTGTTGGACACCTAACCTTGTTTGATTGTCATTTTTGTTTCTTGGTGATCAAAGGGATTATCAGATAATGTCATTGGATAAATTTCTTTTGGGTTTTTTTTTTCATTTTTTTTCATAATTTTCACTTAAAAACATCCTTAAGTTGTCATGAAAAAGGAAAAAAAGGCAGAGCTTGAAATCTGTTCTTCAAAGTAGTGAACTGTTGAAACAATCAGATTCTAATTTGCATTCCCACCTTTATAGTGAAGCAGGATATTTAAACTCTGATAGCTTTTCAGGATTTGTTAGATGAAACAGATGTTTTCTTGACCTTAAAATGGAGAAAATGACACTAGTATTAAATTCAAGATATTCCAACACATAAACAATCTTTTTCAAGGGATATTGATTACCAAGAACTTATACAAATATATCAAGAAAACTTTTAAAAGGTGATAAATGATGTTCTTGATTTGGTTTTAATTTACAGGATCGCGAGAGGCAACATTTACATGAAACTTTGTCCAGTTTCCAGGGGAGCAAATCACATGGTACTAGTGGTGAGTGAAACATTCTTTTGTTGTAAGTTATGTTACCTAAGGCTTTACTTACTTTTTTATGTTACCTAATGAACATTTTGAATCAATGTAGAGGCAAAGATTATTCACAGATTTAAAGCTTCTTCTTTGACTCTGTTATTAAATGCCTAAATTATTTAAATGGCCTTATTCCATATGCTCCAAAGTTCTGATGCACAATATTAATCTTTCCTAATGATCCTTTCCTTACCAAGTAGTTCAGAGAATGTGTCATGTAATTCTTTATACTGTTGGTTAGTTTTGTAATTGTTTTCTGGTCAAGGTCTTGACATGCTAGTTTTAATCCAAAACACTTCTGGGATTTAAAGGGATAGCTGAAAATTTTAAGGGGAAAATCACTGTACCATTTACTTGTAATGAAAAAAATTTATTGCTATCACTTTGGTGGGCATTGTGGCGCATTTTGTGAGCAAAAAAAGAGATTTTGGATTTTAGTCCACTCACACACTCACGTGATTGTTCAGACTGTTTCGTTGTCTTTTTTTTTCCAGTTGTTATCTTCTCAATGCCCTCCTAAGGGATGATACCAGTAAATTATATACAATTTAAGTCAATGGGCATAAATTTGGTTTGAGCCACTCTTAGAGTCATGCTAACCCTTGCCTAGCAGCTTAGGCTAAAATGACTCAGAGTCAGCCCTAATGTATTTATACCCAAGAATGGATACTATACAGTATTATGAAAGCCTCATAGATTCTCTCAGTAGCTTTTTTATTTACGTAATGTTTTGTTATTTTAGGTTATAGCTCTGTCTCTCCTTCAGCTAGTGGAAATCTTTCAAATTGGCCTTTGAAGCAGCCACCTTAGTCACAGATGGACATGTAAATTAAATAGAGGATGGTACATGGAAGTGTGTGGATACAAATTTTATCTTGTGTTTTTATAATATCTCTCACAAGTGAGTAAATGACAGGCTTGAGAGATATTTGTGACTCAATATAATAAATTCATATCCATAAGTGCACATGTAAATAAATGTTTGTTATGTAGATATAATTAACATACTTAAATCAAACTCCATTTTAAAACACGTTTTTAGACCACTTAATACAGAGATAATCTACAGGTAAACTGAGCACGAAGAACAGCTGGTCAACCTCTGGCATTAAATAGATTATGCTCTCACTACAAGAAATTGTTTTAAAAAAAAAAGTAAAATAATTGGAAGTGGAATTTTTAGCTAGACTTTTCCATTCTATCATTGGAATTCTATTGTTTAGCTAAAATAAGAATTGCAAGTGAATGAGAACAACAACAACAACAAATTTTCACCTCAAGTATTGAAGGACAGCTTCACATTTATGAGTCTGAGAGGAATTTTAAAGTCATGCAAGGTACAAATAAATTCAATTCCCTTTTCATGCACATAGTTTAAACAGTCACGAACATGGTAACACCTTTGTCTAAAAATTAAAAGGTGGCACTCATGCTTATTTACTGATTTAGTTGAGTCAGATGTCAGTATTCAGGTTTCAGAAATCTGCGTAATTTTTTCTACATTTCATCAATGTGCTGAATTTTTTTCATTGCTGTATGACCTTATCAGTCAATTAGCTTATATTATTAAATTGTACATAGAACAATATTTTAAAATGAATTGAGCATTAAGGGCTGTGCCCTTTTGCAGCAGGCTGTATTTGCAAGCAAACTTTTAAATTAATAATATTATCACATGAATTATATTATTTTAAAAGAAGAGGTATTGTACCTTCTAAATATCTGTATTTATTGGCAGTCATGTACTGTTAATTTCTGAATTAATAATTAATGAAACAAAATGGTTCAGTTAGCTATACTGTTCTTTACTGCTCTTTACCCTGCAATCATGATAAGACATGTTCAAGACCAACCCTTTTGGCCCTCTTACCCTCACAAGTTAGGAAGACAAAATCTAAAGCAAATTTTAAAAATGACATGCCAAAATACTTAAGTTAGTGAAAGTGACTGGTCAGGAAATGAACAGATATCTTTTTTGGGTGTTCTAGTTGGGTTTTTAGGGCTCGATCATGCCAACATTCAATAGTAATGCGATCATTGTTAACTGACTAAGCCATTAATGTGCAACCACAAAAAGAAGACTGCTGTGATCAGGCAGCTACCAAAGTAAACTGGAGCAATGTTGTTTTCCTAGCTATTCATCCCCTCTAACTATGAAGTGGGTGAGGAAGGGTGGTCCTGGATTGTAAATCATGCTGCAACATTTTCTCACAGATTCTAGCCAGACTATTCATCCATTAGATTATAAGCTTGAGAATTCTATTGCATGAGAGTTGACAAAGGCAAAGTCTAAATCAGCTGTTATGCATAGAAATCAGGACTGGATGTTATATACTTGCTTTAATATAAATCTACCAGACATTCAAAACTTAACAAGATGACTAGCTCACGTTTTTATCTATCTTTGTTTACAACTGTACTCTATTAGGCTACCTCTTGTACTCATTATCTACCATATGATAGATAGCCAGTAGTGTAGCCAATCAGAAGGCAGCATTTATGATAAAATGCCAACAGAATTACCCATTTGGGGTTCAGTCACACAGTCAAATCTTCTGTTTGTTGTGCTAGTTTATGTAGAAATTTCGGACAACGGTGGCTGATTGTATCCACTGTAAATCCAAACTGTATGTCTGATGCACTTTGCAACAGTTTATACTTAATTATGGTTGAGTTGAAAGTTCCTGTTCTAGCGTTAAGTATAATGTATTAGTTTGAGTTTTAAAGGCAGAATATGATATTCTGATTGGTTGGAGATGAATGTTTTGCAGATACAAGCAGGGGAGACAGCAACCTTCCCCTGTTTTTTTTTTTTTTTTCAATAGGCTCTCACATTACAGAACAAGTTAATTGCACCAGTGAGAGTGTTCTCAGATGCTCTTTGGGCCTCTTTACATGATCCTGCAGTTTTTGTAAGCCTGGGTTACACCACCATGATAGAATGAAGAAATGTAAAATGGTTTCCGTGTTTACATAGCCTGATGTAAACACGCGGGAAGTTGGGAGAACATGAGATAAGCATAGGAAACCACGATGCGAAGCTTAAATAACTAATGAAAGAGGAACGAAAATCGTGTTTACATACGCACATGTAAAATGGTTTTATGACCAATCAGAGCACATGTACTATTTGAATTATTTTATAAAAATCTTTCGCTGTCAAATGGTTGAAAGTGATTGCATGCTAAGGTTCAAGTTATGGTGGGATTGTGTGAAGAGGCCCTAAAACTTCATTAATAAGACATTATTTTGGTAAGGACCAATGCACTACATTTGAAGTCATGCTGTATATTTAGGCTTTGCTTCTGAGCTGGCTTGTATAGGTCAAAATGAACACATTCATTTTTTTGTGCATACAGCTTTAAGTAACTTTGCTATAGTACATAGGCCATGAATTAACACAATGTGCACTGTAATTTTCTCAGAGAAATAATTTTTTTACATTACATTTATCATAAACACACATTTTACCTGTTCTAATAAGAATAGGTCAAGTCCACAGCCATTTAATATTATAAAACTGATGAAGGATGACACAGGATGAAGAATAATTAATATTTATTACAAGAAATATTAAACTACATCACTTTGATACAAAATGTTCTAATTATGAGGCAGGCAAAATAAATGTCCACCTTAATTTGACCAAGGCTGTTAATAAAAACTTGTTGGTTTTGTCTTGCTTGCATAGTTACTTTCTATGTGCCTGTTACAAATAACCAGTGCCATTAACCTTTTACTCTTTAACTTGGAATACATATTTGCCACACTGTTCTCTCTGCATTTCCTGAGGTGCTGTTTAAAATCCAGAGCTTCCATTAAATTAGGTAATTTAGTGTTAACAACTGAGTTGAAAACGTAAATTAGCCACCACAAAGGCTAAAAAAGCTGACGCATTGAGCGTTAGCCCTTCGTCAGAGTGATTGACGCAGCACTACAGTTTCTTTAGAAACTTACCCCTTTCATCCATTAAATTAGTTGGTGATCATTTCCTTTACACTTGTGATATAAATGTTTGATTCAGGGGTGATATTATAAGGAGATACAAGATGCCAGTAATTATTCTAAATTATAATAATCTTAAACTCTACTCATTATTGTAAAATTATCCATGGGAGCAGAAATGTTATAAGAATTTTTCAGCTCCATGACAATTTTTTCTGGGCATATCTTACAAGTCTATTAATATTTATTTAACTGCCATCATTGACATGATATTATCTATTACTACAATCTGAAATATTCAGTTGTCAAAATGATATATTCTAAATGATAATAATCTTAAACTTTACACATTATTGTAAAATTATCCGTGGGAGCAGAAATGTTATAAAAAATTTTCAGCTCCACTCGTCCACCTCTAGGAGTGACCAAGCCATAATTTCTCTTCACCATATATCAGTACATGGTCCTGGACAAAGGTGTTTAGAAGAAGGAAAACATCAACTTATAAATGTTGTTTGATTTGAAATCAAGTTCCTAAGGACAAAATTTAAAGAAAATTTATAATGTATGAAGAACAGTGACAAGACTGAAGATTCAGATCTTTGGGTTGGGAGGAGATTGATCCTAAAGCTGGGTAAATTTTCTATTTAAATTTTTCCTACAATGGAATCTTCTAAACGGATAAGAATATATGAAAGTCATGTATTTGAACTGTGGATAAAGACATGAATGAAAGTGATCCTCGCAGTAATGTGCACTGCTTAGGCAGTAATCAAAATAAGACCTGAAAAAAAATTCAGGCCTGTACAGGATTTTTTTGAAGAAATGAATTTTTTTCAGGCCTTATTTTCACTACTGCCTAAGTAGTGCACATTACTGCGAGGATCACTTTCAATCAGTGGAATCTTCTGTTAGATCCATTCTCATATTTTTCTTTGATTGGGTTTTTTTCTGGTTTCATTGTTACATTATTCCTAGGTCCCCTATTGTATGTGTATTCATCTAAGTTAAGAATTGACCTCTCAATTCTTGTTCCTGAAGGTCTATCTCTCTTGGTAAGTACTATAATAAACAATCTGAAGTGGTTTAAACATGTGTTACCTTTTCAAAGAGTATCTAATTTAGGTTCAAGCTTAACACCATTGTTAAGAAATCCTCATATCCTATTGTTATCCAGCCATTCAGATTTCGGTCACGGCTTCTGAAGGAATTTGTCAGAATCTGAGAGGAAATGACAAATAAAATCAATAAATTAAAAAACCAAGTAAACTACTGAAGCTATTTGTGGTCAGTAATGGTGCATCAGACAACAAAATCTGAAGGTTTTGGTGTGATTGTTCAGAAAGAGGATAATGCTATTCAAAGGATGAATTGCTATCAAGTGAATAAGTGCAAAGAAAATTTATCAACCAGAAAGAGATTTATACAGTGGATAGAGTTATCCATCCTTCAAACAAATTGTGCAGGCCAAAAAGTCTTCTGAAGCTCAGTGGCACTGTATTATAGGAACCAAAACCCAAACTTCTGGGGTTCAATTCTGTACAAGGGGCTCAGAATTTTTCTTTGTTCCATACTCATGATAGATTGAATAACAACTTTATTGAATACCTGTAATATCAGACAACACTGGATGAAATCATCAAAGTTGATTGAGCCTCTGTCACAGCGATCAAACTTTGTTATAAGAATAGTGTACATTCTCTCAGACAATCTGTACCCTGTTAAAAAAACGAAAAAATAAAAATGATCACTCATCACTAATTGTGCATGTGGGCTGTAATTTCTAGTAGCATCAATTTCAACCCACAAAGGCTAATGTTTGTAATACCATAATGATGTTCTAAGTAGTGAATTGCAAAACTCACCAAAGTTTGTAAGAGCTGTGAAGAAAAGAAAAAGAAATGTGTTTTACATCATTCAACAGACTAGTAAGCAATTCACTACAAATAACTATATAACAGCAGAATTGTGCAAATTAAAGCAGTTCAAACGTCTGTCCACCAATTTCAAAGCTTTCTGAAAAAATTTTGGCCAAATCAAAATTTTACCAACATCTTTGCACATTTTCAAAGTAGCTATTGTTTGGATCTGTTGAAACTTTTGGGGAATATTTTGCTAGGACATTAATGAACCCTGAAATTTTGAGAGAAAGTTGAAAAAAATTTGAGAGGAAGTTTAACCCTCTCAAAAATTTAAGGGGAATTTTTCAGAGAAAATTCCCTCATAATTCTTGTAAATGCTAAATTTATAAAGGTAAACTACTTCATAACAAAACATAAGAAATTTCCTGCAGTGATTCCATGCAAACTGCAACCATGTATCAACCAACTGTTTTGAGAAAAGTGGCTTCTGACAGTTTACTGATAAGACAATCAAAATTGTTCAAAGAAATGTAAGTATAAAAATTAAATCCCTAATATACTGTTGAGATCATGTTCTTATTTACACTCTAAGTTATTGGGCAGGGTAACTTTACCTGTCTTGAGTTCTTCCCTGTCAATGGTTCCAGAGTTGTCTTGATCATAACTTCTAAATGTTCTTTGCCAGTCAGTTACATACTGCCACAATGCCTGGAACTCATTGAACTCTATTGCCCCTGAGTTATCATGATCAAACATACCTATCAGAAAAATAAAGTAACCTTTTAACTCTAATGGGTGACCAAGATAGAATTTCTCCTTACAATATCAGCACAATATCAAGCAGACAAAAGATGAGAATAAAGTAAAATATCAATGAGGGGATTATTAGTTGTTCAAATTCTAAATTCTTTAACTAACATCATAAGAATTGTGCAGCAGAGAGTAAGGAGAATTACTAAAGAGATCTTGGGAGCTAGAGGGGTTAAAGTACACTTTCCAAACTTTCTTTGACCCTGCTGCTCATTTCTTTCCAGAATATTTCTTTGCCAACAGCACCTTGTAATAATTACTTTTCACACCAAAATCATTGTGGAATTATAGAAAATCAGTATATACCAATCATGAGGCGCACTGTCTCTGGATTGAATGGTGTCCAGGCTCCTAGAAAAGAATGGAAATTAAATTACCCTACAGAAGAGTAACTATAATACAAAGAGAAAACAAATGTACATCATTTAATGGAAAGGACAAGGAGAGTGAGCAAGTTGACTATTTAGAAGGGAAGTGCAAGCTTCTTTTAGACAAATCACAGAGCAAAGTAATTCAAAACCAATAAACCCTTTCACTCCCAAGATCAAAATAACAATTCTATACTGTGCTCCCGTCATTTCTTAGAATTTTGGCTAAGAGAATTTGGTGTCAAATCAAACAATATCCCCAAAATTACGTTTTCCTTTCTCTTAATCACCTCTTTACTCGTAACAGTATGATATCGTGGGTAGAGATTTTTATTTTTGGTCACTCCTGGAAGTGAAAACGTTCATTCTGAACCACTTTGAACACCCAGTTGAAATCTTCTTCCATGTGGCTTCAAGAAAAAGTTGTAAGAGTTTGGGCTGTGAGAGAGAAGTCATGAATTGGGAGACAGATACGATGCACATAGTGTTCAAAAAATTTCTCCTGCAAATGCTCTTGAAGAAAAGGTCCAAAAAAGGCAGCCATTTCTTCGTGAGTAAACTGGTAGTTGTTTGTTTTCCAGCAATAGGGTGTTTGTAAACCAACTGTTATCCAGTTATTCAGCAATTGTTATGTAATTTGTTAGCAACCAGGATTTGACAAAATCATCTACAGAAAACAGTCAGGGGACAGATAGCTAACAGATAGTGACATTTAGCCAGCCTGCAAGTGATCTATTGGTCAACACTTGACAGTTATTTGGAGGAAGGGAGCTGTTGTTCATTATAACCCTTGCTGACGTTCTTGATTACCATTTGAAAGAGCTTGTTGAAGTTCATCGGCTGAAATAGAACCACTTCGATCTGTGTCAATTCTACAAAACAGAAAAGTTCAAAATAGATTAATAACTGATGAAATAAAATCATCACCAAAGCTTTGCTGTCATTCCAGAATGACACTAAAACAAGAAGTCAATTCATTGCACTGAGGAGCAACAGAGACAATTAACGTCTGGCGGCGACTCTGGCGGCGAGTCCACGCATAACTTGCACATAACATGCAACTCCACACTCTACTAATCACTTTCCATTATTCGAACACGGGATAAAATTGGGCTTACCATTGATAGATAAGTTAAATAAGCCATTTATCTCTTCTTAATTTGTCAATAACAACGCTGAAACAATTATGCTAGTAATTTTTAATAGGCTTAGCTATGCATATCAAGAATATTATCGGTTCGGTTTCTTTTCGCCCCCGAGAAAAGTGTAAAAAATCAACGTTGGACAAATGCATCTAGCCTTAATTTTGGAGTGAACAACATCTCTTTCATTAGCACTCACCTGGAGAACATGGTCCACAAGAAATTCCTATCCACAGGCAATCCCGCCATGACGAAGTCAAATCAGTTTGCAATGTACAAACGTACTTCCTTCATCAAGTCTGCAATGCCCAATAAATTGCAAATCTGTCCCTAAGGGGGTGGTAGCTAGTTCAGATTTCGATCTTCATTTTTAGTCGCAGGAAATAACACTGAAAGCACTTCTAACACTGAAAAAATTCAAAATAAAAATCAAATATAAAAATATTTTCTATTATTGTGATGTTGTTGGTGGGTACTTGACGCTAATGACAGTATGACGATATATAACCCCAGCCCCTTTCCCAGCCCTCGCAAAGATTTCCTATGACTTTGCCACCACGCTACTCCGTCCGTTGCAGCTTTCGACAAACATGGCGTACTACGGTCAACAACATCCACAACACGATCAGAATTTCCTATGGAATGTCTTCCAGAGGTAGAAATAAATACAATAGATAGTTGAAGAATTTGGGTGGAAGTTTGTGTCAAACACTCTTAATATAATTTTTGGGTTTATTTTTAGAGTGGATAAAGATAGAAGTGGTGGGATCTCGACTAACGAACTCCAACAGGCGCTGTCAAATGGTGTGGTACACTTTCATTCTTGGGCTTGATCATCATTTATAAGATTAGTCATTATTTATAATGTGACTAAATAGCATTGATATACCATTTAATTTATTTAACAGGGACTTGGACGCCTTTCAACCCGGAAACTGTACGACTCATGATAGGTTTGTATCAAACGATTTCTTGACCTCGTTGATTTTCTTCGATTCTTTTGTCAACTCTATAAATAAATATTACTGATCTCATTATCCATTATTTTTCATTGACAAGTCAGCATATACTAAATTTATTGATTGTTGATCTTGTTACTCATATCTTGAAGGACCCTTTTATATTTACAAGTCAACATTTCATTCAATAAGCGTTGATCTTGTTACTCGTATCTTAAATGACTCTTTTATATTTGCCAATATTTACTTCATTTGGTAGGCGTTGATCTTGTTACTCATATCTTAAAGGACACTTTTATAATTACAAGTCAACATTTACTTTAACTGATAAGTGTTGATCTTGTTACTCGTATCTTGAAGGATATTTTATATTTAGTTCTATCTTAATCATGATCTGGAAGAGGAGCTGAGAAATTTTTGTTCATCCTCTGTTCCTAATTTGATTTTTGATGCGTGCAGCTATAAGTTTTAGCCATTTGAAATTTAAAAGTGAGGTGATAAGTTACGATTATAGCCCACTGAATAAAAGGCAAAATATTTTCTGCATTTTCAAAGACATGAGCACTGTCTTTGTATTGTCAGTTTTGGATGCGTCATGTTGAACATCAATGATTGACAGAATTAATAAATACTGTGTCTGTTTTACTAGTGTGAGATGACTTGACTGGTTATCAATAATATATCGTTCATGTATACAGGAATGTTTGATCGTGACAACAATGGAACTATTAATTTTCAAGAGTTTGCATCTCTGTGGAAATACATATCCGATTGGCAGACCACATTCAGAAGTTATGACAAGGATAACTCAGGATCAATAGATAAGAGAGAGCTGCAAACAGGTATTTATCAACCTATTCAAATGGAAGGGTGAATAAATAATTCTGACTTCCAATTTTTACATACATGTCACAGAAATAGAATTCTCCGGAAATCTGGAATCCATGATTGATCTAAGGACTTGACACAGTTCCCCCAATCCTTTAACCCTTTATTTCCAAGCTAACAGTATCCATTTCATCTTCAAACTTTTCTCCATACGTTACAGAGAATTAGTTTAACAATCAAAGCCTCTCATGTTGGAACTGTTTTCCTTTATTCTCCTAATTGCACTGAATGATTCGAAAGCATTAATGTAAGGAGAAATAAAATGTTGGTCACTGTTAGGGTTTTGAAGGGTTTATGTTTTTTTTTTCCACTTTTCTCTAGTCTCTCCCTATGAAATGAGGTTGCTGGCTAAGACATGATTGAAAATCACAAAAAATATCTAACCATAAAACTACTCTTGAAAAGAATGGATATATACTTGTATTTTTATTCTAGTTTTGGACAGAACCTTCTTTCATTTATTTCCCCTCATAGCAATATTGTAACAATATTCTCCATTTTAGTAATATTATCCAAAATTTACTTCTACTAAGAAGAGTTGGCAGACTACTATGGAAATAAGGACATTTTTTGTTTTATCTTGTAGCCCTTCTGATAATTTTACATAATTATACATGGTATATGTAATTTAGCTTGATGCCCAGATTTTTCTGACTAACTTTTGTTTTTTTCACTTTTTTTGTAGCCTTGACTAGTTTTGGTAAGTGCTGTACCCAAAAAGAATCTTTTAAAATATTTTTTAATGAAACTGAATTGATAAAAATTCATGTTTTATATTATTCAATGTTTATGTGTGGCATCTATACACAAAAAAAAATTTTAAAATCAGCAGACAATTAATATGACGTACTTCTTTTCAAGGTTACAGGTTATCAGAGAGATTTTATGGTATTTTGATCAAAAAGTTTGACCGCAGTGGCAAAGGAGTTGTCAACTTTGATGATTTTATTCAGTGCTGTGTTATAATACAGGTCAGTAACAGATATGAAGTTTTATTGCATGGCTGACTCAGTGAGTTGGCAGTGAGTTGTCACTGGACCAGTTAGACCATATACTTATATACTCACCTTATACTGAATTACTTTGGTAATTCAGCTTAAAAAACAGAAACAGAAAAAGGCAACTTTTGTCAATCTAGTTTGCATTGTAGAAAAATTTGTTGGTAAAACTTTCTGTTCATGTAATAAACCTTTGATTGACCTTACCTGTTGGTCCTTGAGATTGTTTTTGGACTGAGGCTTCTTCTCTCTATAACAACAACACAAAAAATGAGATTGGCAACATTTACCTTTCGTGATTCATCAGAGTTGATCAGTGATACATATAGCCTTTAGTTCAAGAATGGAATATCATTTCATGCATGTTTTCACTTTAGAGAGAAAGTCACCTCTGTGAACTTCACTCCCACTTATTTTGCAGCAGAACTTTCCTAACTTAACAGTTTGTTAACCCTTTGACCCCTAAGAACGACCAGCAACTAATTTCTCATTACAATTTCACCCCTGAATCAAACATTAAGTTGCGAGAATAAAGGAAATGAAAGAAAGACTGAAGCTCTTGATCATTAAATAATTCTCCTTGTCAGCAGTTTGGGAAATGTACAGGGAACAGTATGGAGAATATGCATACTGATGTTAGGGTGTAAAGGGTTAAAATCCTTTGACTTCCTTTACCAGTTATAATCACATTCTACCATTGTATAGCTTATTATTAATGGAATTTATGAACTTTAAATTATTTTAGAAACCATGATAGTAATATTTCCTCATGGCTGTGGTGTGTCACCATCTTGTTGCTCATAATTTTTTTTCTTCTATTTCTTTTCAGATGTTGACAAGTGCTTTTCAGGGCTTTGATACAAACCGAAATGGATGGATTACCATAAACTATGAACAATTCCTATCTTTGGTGTTTAGTTTGAAAACCTAAAAGATGCATTCTACTTCTTCAACTACAATGCTATAGCCGTATTTAAATATTTTCTAGTCTTGTTCTTGTTTCATATAAAAGGCTTGAAATAACAAGTAGCGGTTGTTTGGTAAAAAAGAAAACTTCAAAACTTTTGTCCTTATGATAGTGATTGGTTACTGCAAGTCTTGTAGATGTGAATGTTCTTTCTACGGTTTGGTTGCTTTTGTTAACTTTTTAGCTCCTGTGAGTGACCAAAACAGAATTTCTCCTTACAATTTCAATATAACTTCATGCAGACAACTGATGAGAATAAGTAAAAATATAAATCAGGGGATTATTAGTTGATCCAGTACCAAATTCTTCAAACTTACATAATAAGAATTGCAGGGCAGACAGTAAGGAGAACTGCTAACGATAACTTGGGAGTGAAAGGGTTAAGTGTATAAAAGTGATGTCTAAACCTTAAATTTCCATGATCTGATTGGTAATTCTCCCCTCCAGCTACTATGCATTTCCCTTTGAATAAGGAATAAGAATTTTGGTTGGATCAAGATAACAACTTCTACCTGATAAGTTTTCGTATTCTCATTACCTGCTAGCTGGATAATGTATGGACATTATAGGGTCATTATAGGTGTCATGTGAATCACTTCTTGGAGTTAATCTGCTAGCTCTCTGTTCCATGTTTACTTGTATGTTAATATCTTTGTAATCTTACCTGGTAAAGTTCATCATGAAAAACAGGTATTAGGCTTATTAGGTATTGGGCTGTATACTCCCTCTACTATATCTGTTTGGTCAGAGTTTATCTTATCTAATATATGGTATTTGTTGGAGTGGGTAGAGTGAGAAAAGAAAACTAAAGGAAAATTATAGAATGGTTTTTTTTGTCACTCAGCACATTTTCTGTATCGCAATAGAAGTCATGTGCAGTGTACTAGAAACATGGGCATTAAAATAATGTGTGGACCACATTGTGATCTTATGTACCAGCCGTAGCAGTTATCTCTCAACCAGTTTGTAGTTATTTTCCCGTCAAAATCTGTCACACAATTGTAAGCCATTTGGCATGCCATGATAAAAAGATCCCATTAAATTTTAAATTTTAAACAAGCTGGAAACTGTGGCGTTTAGAATTGATAAACCAGAACACCCCTTAGGTGTAGCAGGTTCTTCTAATTAAATCATTTCTTGGTCAATTTGATTTAAAATTATGCTATAAATCTGGCTCAAAACTTTTCAGCTTTTCATTTTCAGGGTGGAAGTACAGTAAGTTTGGTTTAAAACCCTGATAAGTCACACTCTGAGAGAAAATAATCATCCCAGTAAAGAACAGGCCATCCAAGTCAGAGCTTTTGGCAGGTAGAACTTCCTTGTAGTGTCCTTATTGGTACTGCAATCTGTGTGTGTGTGTGAGGGAATTTTTAGTAAGTTAGGGAATTTGGATTGAGAAAATGCAGAAACTTCTTTTGTGAGACCAATTACTTTTCAATCAACCCATGCCTTACCCTTCTCCTTGCACTGCCAGTTACATGTCACACTTCATTGAACAGTAATGTGTGAACTTGTCATTACAAGCATACCCTTTTTTTCAGAAAAATAGTAACACACCCATAGATAGATTGAGGGGAGGGGGGGTAGGGGATCTGACACAGGCTGGAAGTCAGCTTATAAGTTTAGTGGCTTACCTGGCTGGAGCCAAGCAAGTTGCTTGAAGTATCGAGAAGTAGTGCTTGAAGAAGAGCTACTCCCTCTGGACAGAAGGCTACTTTATAAAAGTTTTACCTCCCCAACCCCCTCTCCTGAACAATTTTTGTTAGGCTTGCCAGTTTGCCTGTCCCCATATATACCCCTGGGTGGAGAGGCATTGGGAGTGATAGGAAAGTGTCTTATCCAATAACATGCAAGGATTCCTCACAACTTTCACCTTGGGATGAAAATAATTAATAATTTGAAAATCTCACTATTGTGGGATAGTCAGCCAGACCTCCAGAAAAAAATCTATTCAACAAATTATTTGATCGTTTTGCGAAAGTGTGGTGTTAAATAGCAGCATTTCTGTTCTCTTCTAATCCCCAAAAAGAAATGTATGTCATGTCAATTGATAATTTATCTCTTCAATTTATTTCAAAAACAATCTACACAAGATTTATCATTAGTATCATTGCTTTCAATTGTACTTAAATATTACTTCATGAGGGAACAAAGTACTCTGCATGTGATTGTAACCTCTGCTTTCTTTAACTCTATTACATGTTTGTTATAACATTCCTACTGAGATCACCATGGAGATTATACACAGGAAAAGGCATAAGAAATAGCAGAAAAGCTTCTACCAGCTTGGATCCTAAAGTCTACAACATAAATTTGCAGTTTAAACACAACAAAAAAAATCATTATTCTTCTTTGTACTGTTAATTTTGTGCCACATTCGAACCAATAGGACACTTTGTGCAGCTCTAAACTTCCCTTTTTCGTAGGTCTGTTGCACAAACAGTTGTACTTGTGTTTCCAAGGGAAGTCCCAAACAAAATGCCAGCTCACACCTGTACAAAGTACACAAGTCTGGAGGCTTACAGTTTTCCCTTATGTTAAGGGTTAGTTTAGAGAGAGGGAATAAAATGCTACAGGGTATGACTCATCTGAAAGCTATATCATGTACACATCATTTCACAGATTAATTTACTTGTAGTACATCATCAGTTTTTGTTTTAACCCTTTAACTCCCATGACTGACCAAGACAGAATTTCTCCTTACAATATCAATACAATATCAAGTAGACAAGTGATGAGAATAAAGGAAAATATTCATTAGTGGATTATTATTAGTTGATTCAATACCAAATTCTCCAAACTAACATCATGAGAACTATATAGCTGACAATAGGGAGAATTACTAATGAGATCTTGGAAGTTAAAGGGTTAAGAAATGTAAACAAAAGAAGCCGGCCTGGAGTGCTACTTTTGTGACAACAAATAACTTTCTCTGATGCTAAAGAATGAAACCTCCTCCGCTGTACTCAACTCTCTGAAAAAAAACAATGATAATATAATAATATTTATACATGAATAATTGTATAGAGAAAATTAACTCACTTATGTTGTAGTAAACAAGGAGTTTGAAGTAACATTGCAAAAACACATTTTAAAAGAGTAAAAATTCAGACAGCAACTTGACAAACTACCTATACATGGCAGTTAAAAGGTGTCACAAAAACAGGGGAAAGTGCTCTCTTAATCCCATACAAGGCATAATAATAATAATAATAATAATAATAATAATAAATATTTGGTTTCAATAATGATGTAACAATTCTGCAAGATAGCAAATTGCTGTACTTTTAACACACTCAGGATACGAAAAAGTCTACTCTCTAGTACATGGTTTTCTGTATCCAACAATAAAGTGATTAGAAAGAAACAAACTCACAGTCTTGTGTGCCATGAATGCCAACCAGTCTGATGTGGCAGTTGGTAAGAGTCCCATGGAGTGACATTTGTAAAGCGCCAGTGCAACAAGAGAAAGGTTTCCAAGAAGATAGAAAAATTTTTGAAGAGCAACATGGTCATGTTCTCCTTCAAGAGATACAAAAGCTGAAAAAATAACAAAATAAAACAAATTAATGAGGTAAGGCTAAACTTCAGCCATCACTACCAATAATAATCCTTTTTGTTTTTAAATTGCCCCAACAGAGCCAAAGAGTACTTACTTGATTTGATGGCTAGGAGAGCTTTGACTGGCCTCAGGAACATCATACCCACCATCATGATTGGGAAAATAGAAATAGAATTACCCGCCATGTACATAATGAACAGATTCATTGGAACTTGCTTGAATGGTCCAAGAGCTATATCCCAAGATTTCTGAAAGTGAAAAATTCAAAATTACATCTGTTGTTAATTCTGGAGGGAACTAAAAAAGATGTGTGCTAAAGAAACTATTCTATGATTTTTAACTATATATTCAAAAGAAATGTAAAGATTTATTTCCTCTTGAACTTTGAGACTCCAAAGAGGAACCCAAACATGACCTAAATTTCTTCAAATGAGTAACTATGTGACTTTTGGAAAATCACAAGATGGTTCTTACACGCTTTAAAATAAACCTATGTAAATAGCATATTTGAACATCTTTAAAAATTCCTAATGAATATTATGAAGTGTACCTTTGCCACAAGGTGAGTGCTATTTGCCTCTCGTGATTCCTAATACAAAAATAAGACTTCAAATTAAAGGGGCTCTGTCGCAATACACATCACTAGTAATGTCAGAGTTTGCTGCACTAGTATTTTACGAAACTCTACCATGCAAAATAAAGAAATCAGTTTACAGTTTAACTGATTACGGTTTTTGAGCCGTTAAATTTACTTCAATCCAACCCTTACACTATTTGTATTGTTGTGTGTATACACGACAAAATGCAATACTCTCTAAGTTCCCAAATAATGTCACAAAGAGTCTGAAAACTTACCCAGGAATCCGACAAAATTCTAAGAAAAGAAAAAATTATACAAACCACATGCTGAACTTTGTGCTCTGTGTACCCAAGTGGTGCTGGAAGCTCACTATGCTGAACAAACTGTCTATCGGGCACATAACGAGGTCTGGGGGAACAAATTTACCATAAACGTTGGGAACGAAAATACAAAACCTCTCATTTGTCTACAATAAAAGCTTAAGCTGTTACTTAAAGGACAATCACAAGTTACACAACAAATAAAATAAAAGAGCAGTCGGTGAAAATTTCGAGATCGTACCGACTAGTCAAGTCTATTGCCCACTTATTCGTTGGTCTTCGCGACATCGCACGGTTCGCCATGTTGGATGTTGTAGTATCTAACTGTACTCGCGCAGGGTCTGGATATGAATAGTACAAACAAACATGAAAGCGAGACGGGTTCAGTGGTAGACTCAACACACCAAAACATTACTTTCTGGTGTCGCTTTATGCAAAGTTATGTAAGAAAATACCGGGAAATCGGCTGTAAAACGTGCTTTACGAGTCCTTGCTTAATTCAGGACTGAGTATGGGCAGCCGAAATACACGTGGCTCCAGGAGGGAGGTCGAACAGAATCGAGATGAATCGACGTCAAATCCCGGTGTTACTGAAGATGCAGATAGCGACGACAACGAATCTGACCTTGTGAGCGTGCTTGCGTTTCTGCTTCGTAGGTAAGAAGCCTTCTAGTTTTCCACTGCAGTTAAATTATTTAGTGTTTTCGAGTTTACATAATAAGGTTTCTTTTTCAATTATCTCATTCTTTTATGTTTTTTTGAGTGTTATGAAGTGTACTTCGAATAGGAAAAAGTAACATTTATACAGATTCGTATTTCACGTATCCGATAATTAGATTAATGCTTTAATCGGAGTTTTAAAGAATAAATGGTAGTCGAGGTAATATAATAGAAAGAAACATTTTTGTTGTTTTGATTGGTTCTTTCTTATGCTCTATTGGAGGAAAGACGCGAAGATGACGTCACCATAGACAACAATTTACTTTTTAATCACATAATACAAAGAGTTTTTATCTTGCAGCAGGTCTGTACAGTGATAGATCACAGATGGTGTCAAAACATGGTTAGAAAATCAATGACTGTAACTCATGTACCACTTTCATATTCTTACCACATTTTGACATTATCTGTGATCTATTACTGAACAGACATGCATCAACATAGAATCTATTTGTCAATAACATTTCTGTAAACTTAGTTATATTAAGTATCAAGACTTTGAAAAAAAAAGAATAAGAGTCTTGAGTAATTGCACATTTACTGTAGTTATACTTCTATGACCCAAAAAGTAATGCAACTGTTGTACTGTGAGCGCTCTTTTTCAAGTACTAAATTTCCTTGAAAAAGCATGAGCTACTTATTCAAAATTTCACTTAAGAGGAGAGGTGCTTGTTGCCAGGAGGGCACATAATTGAAGGGGGTGCTTATTGAGTCTATGCAGCAATAGCACAAAAAATTTAAAGCACAGATAATGCACAGAAAGGAACTCTGCAAGCATATGGAGATAGAAAAGAAGCTATTCTCATGTACTGCTTCCACTTGAGTCAAAGTTTAAAAGGTTATAATAGAAAAGGGTTTTCCTATGTAGGAAAGTGAGGGAGGAGGGGTGGAGGGGGTGATTATTCAAGAGGGTGCACGTTTGACGTCATGGCCAAGGTGTTTAGCACCTATTAGGGGGAGGGCACACATGTGGGCACTTAGTCAAATAAATATGCTGATTATATCAAGGGAGAGATTTGGAACAGCCTAATCAGTCTGTCAGTCCATCAATCTGTCTGTCTATTGGTTAGTCTGTCTTTGAGTCTGTCTGTCTGTCTCGTTGTCAGTCATTCTGTCAATCAATCAGCTTCTACTTCAAATTAATATCAATGTCAATTTTATTCAGTGAGATTTTCAGCGAATCAGTTAGTCTACTCTGCTACTCTACCTTCACACAATTATGTTAGTCCATCTTCATTAAATTCTACTTTCTTGAATATTGTCTCCAGTGGTCAGGCTCGGCTTGTGCGTGCTACCACTGAGGGAGGTAGTGGGATCCACATCATTCATGGCATGTCATCAAGTGACAGTGATGATGATGAAGATTTTGATGAAGATTTTGCTTATCACAATGGTAAAGCAGCCAGTCCTCCAGGTATTGTTGACCCCTGAGCTCCCAAAAATGATTACTATGTATCTTCTCCATACATTATTGGTACATTTTACAGCAAACAGGTTGTGAGAAAATGTGAAACTATAAAAAAGATGTTATATTCCATTTATTTGAAACAAAATCTCTTTATTAAATTAGAATAGATGAATGTCTGCTACAAGAGAGTATTAGTCATTCAGAACTTGGGAGCAAAAGCACTGTATCAAAGCAATTACAACAATCCATGCAAATAACTTATTTTGCTTCAATTTTTCTGTCAGTGATATTAATATGATCAAAATTCAATCCAGTCTAACCCAGTTTTCTCTGTTTTTCTCTTTAGTTGATCCAAATCCTAATACTCTAGTTGTTGATGTAAGTTATAGGATAATTATGTTTGTTGTTGTTCTTTTTTTCTCTGGTCTGAATTTTTTTCATTGCTATAATTATATCTGGCCCAGAATACTGATTTTGAGACATAGGAAAACCAAAATTAATGCTGCTTTTATAATTTTTAAACCCAAGAAAAATTTAGAACACAACAGCTATTAACACAGTTTTGAAAAATGAGTGCATCTAGATTTGTAATTTTTTTAATACTCTGCTTTCATATTTAGACATCAGGAAGTTTTAGTGTCTATAACTATGAGAGAACTGTTTTCTTTAAACTTTTTTCCTTGTATTTTTTAATTTATCACTTGCAGCAAAGTGTGTTTAAACTGGACACATTATTGTCAAGTGGTCAAATTTTAGGTGGTCAAAATATTTGTTCAAGGCTTCACAGGGTAAGTGCTGATAATATTCCACTTTCTAACTGTTTTGGAAAATCTGGAAGGTTATCTAAGTCTAATGGGCTGAGTTGCTAGCAGCTTACAATGCCATCTCAGATTTCCATGGCATGAGATGACCACTGCCCTTGAACAGGATGCTAGCTCACTGCAAGACCTACCACCCTTCCTTCAACACTCTGTCTAGTCTCATTAAAAATCTATTGACACCCCTTATTAGAGAAGGCTCTCCTAAGTGTCTTGCCCAAGAACATAGCAAAATGAGTTAAAAAAGACTCTTATCTGGGTTATGGTATCCCACAGCATTCATTTTAAGTTGGAAACCACTAACCAAATCTAAGGTATCCTTTGATAACCTTTGTGGACATTTTGCAGAGAGAAAGTTCCCTTCATAATCGGCCAAACTTTACCTCTAGTGACAAGGCTGCGGCTTCAGCCAAGTAAGTAAAAAGTAGATTTACTCTTGAACAAATTGAGACTATGGGGATTTCCAGAGGGGTGACAATCAGTGATATAAAAATGATCCTTAATTGAAATGACATGAAATTCAAGATAAAGTGAAGGTCAACTGAATAAAGTTTGTGTTAGGGAGGATCGGTTTTACTCTGATCATCACTTTTTAGTAGTTATACATGTAAGTAAAGATCTTTTCATACAGTATGTTAAATGATATTGCTTGCTATTTTTTCCTGGAAGACAGTTTACACAGCTTTGAAGTCTCCCAATAATTTTGTTTATCAACTGAGTTGATGATGTAAATTGGTCACCTTACACAGTTTCCAGTGCTGAGGAAGGGCTAATATTTGAAACATCTGCTTTTATATAAACTCTGTACAGTGACCAATTTACATTTTCAACCCAGTTGATTTGAAGTCTCTACTCTTAATATACAGTCTTACATCATAGTTATAGCCAACCTTTCAATTCTCATACAGCAGTGACTGGAAATAATGCAACAGAGAAACCCAGAGGCTTTTTTCACCATAATTGTGTTCTATAGTCAAGTCATTGGCACATGGCAGTGAAAACCAGTGGAAGACTGTTAGTAGTACACTTGTATCATGGTTTTAGAATAGTTTTGTTTCCTTTTTGCAGTTATATCCCCAACAAGAAAGCAACAAAAGCTCAGTTTCTCCAAAAGCTGTTTTGTGGCCAGTATTCCAGTGATGGAACAGTATTTCTTTCAGCTTGTCAAGGTTTGTGATAATAATTAAAAGATATGATCATCAACAAACTGTTTTGTCTTCATATTTTAACCCTTAAAACCCTAAGATTGGCCGGCATCTATTTTTGCCTTACAGTAATACTGCAGCTGAATCATTCATTATCTTGAGAATAAAGGAAATGATCACAAATAGACACTTTGATTTTTAGACAAATTCTCCTTGTTAGCACCAAAGGAGATGTAAAAGAAAAGAGTTTGGAGAATATGGGTACTGATGTTAGGGCATAAAGAGTTCATCCCGTTTAATTGCAATTATTATAATGATTCAAACATCACTGCCTTGTCAATTTTCTTAGGATTTTCCTAGATTTTCCTAGATTTTAATCAGCCAATCTCCTCCTAGGATTTGTTCAGAGAGGAATCTCCTAACTGGTGACTTTTTTCACTTCCTACAGATCAAAACATCCGTCTGTACGACACAACCCATGGACAGTTCAAAGAGTTTCGAAACATAGTGGCAAGAGACGTAGGCTGGAGTATAATAGACACGGACTTTAGGTTTGAAATGAAGTGTTTTTTTCCTTTTATACATTTACATAAAAACCGGATAAAGTTCAAGATAACATGCAATTCCACCAGTTTAATTTATCCAGCTCTTAGTTGGTTTCTACTATTCTCCAAGGACTTAAGAGTTTGAACTTCAGTTTAATGCTTATTATTAATATATTTGTTTCTTTTACTAGCCCTGATCAGCAATACCTCATATATTCTAGCTGGTCTGACTACAGTAAGTTGAAGAATAGTATGATACCAAATTACCATGATAACAAAACTTCCATTGATGGAACAAATCATTGCTACATTATGGAAAAGAATTATTGAAGTTAAAATTTGTTGTTATAAAATGATGGTTATGAGGTACTGAGTCCAAGGACAAATTGAACAGGTATTGGCTGTGTCCCCATGTTGAATTGTTTGATGTGTTACAGTTGCCACTATTATCTGCACAATCCTCTTCCAATTAAAGCAAACAAAAGTAATGAACTTTTCTCTGATCATAACTATCTAACCATACAAAGTCACACAAACCAAAATAATACCTTCTGTGTAATTCAAGCATCAATACTGCTGGTAATTGTGGACAGGGTTTTTTAGATAATGGGTCTTCTTTTCCTTAAATGGGATATGGGATATAAAATTTTTCAGAAAAAACCCTTTTATAATGGGTAATTAACTGGTTGTTAATTAGTGATTGAATGATAAAAACTTTGAAAGTTGGGTTTATTTTCAGATGTGGTGGTATGTTTTAGTACAAACTTGGTACTTGATTGAAAAAATTATTCTGTAAACCTGCTGGATTTTTGGTTCTCATTGTTTCAGTAAATGATGATAGATACAAAAATACAAGATAAAGTGGAATAAAAATCAAACTTACTATGAAATACAGAATCAAGGAAAATTTGAACCACAACATATTAACCACAAACTAACATCAGATAAGCAGACAAGTCTTTCTAGGTGATAAAGACAATAACTGTGTTTTTATAACTTTTTAATGCTCTCGATGTTTTAGTTCATCTCTGCAACATTTATGGTGACTATGAAACACATGCAGCTTTATGCTTAAAGTAAGTTACTTTCTCCTTAATTTATCCTTCTAAACTTGACAATTTTTCAAAATGTGCATAATGTGTAGGGAGGTCTTTTAACAGTTCAGGGAGAATTTAGATATCCAGTCATTTTTACTCCTGGACATTCAATCCTCAGTTGATTTGAACCCAAGTGTTGACTAACCCAGTTTGTGTTGGCTCGTTCCCAACCTGCTGGTCAATTTGTACCCATCCCAATGTTCATTAATTTGGTAATGAAAACCCAGGAGAACTTGTATGAACATAAAAACATACTGTGGGTATGAAACAAAAAGATGGACTGGGTACAAATGGAGCCTAGCTGGGGACAAATAAACTTAGTAGGAAAAGTTGGTGTGTACAAAAAGTCTGGTAAGGCCTCCTCTCTTGCCATTTTGGATGGCTAAAAACTCAGGGTCTAATTGGGTCTGATCTAGTGCTCCCCAACTGCATGTAATATCAGTGAGAAATTGATTTAAATGCTAGTGAAGCTTGAAATTTTCTAGGCCCCATTTTCTGTAATTTCTGTAAACCTAGTAAAGAACAATTTGTTTATTTATGATCTCATTCTCCCCTCTAGCCCAGAAGATTCAAGATTTTGTGCATTTTCAATAAAGTTTTCTCATGACAATAAAGAAATTTTAGCAGGGTTAGTATTCATACTCTTGTTAAAGATGAATTCTTACTTAGTGTTACCATTCTGAATCACAAGAGAGTAGCAAGAAATCAAACATTAGTTATGACATCTCAAAAAAATGACAAAAACTTGAATTTTGATAACATTGTATCATTTTCAAGAAATACCTGATACATGGTACCTGTGACTGGTCACACAAACTAAACCTGTACTCCTGGAAGAATCACTGCTTAGAAATCTCAGGTGTCATGATTTTAAAGTTCTTGAAGGCTATGGTATATGCATATAAGTCTCCCAGAGAAAAGAAGCAGTGACTTGTGGCACTAGAGGCACCAGAGGGTTGACTTGAGCTTAATCTTTAAAGCCACCCTTTACAGGTTGTCATGTATAACTGTTACAACATTGATTTCCTGTATGCATTGTGTTTAGAGCCAATGATGCTGCCATATATGTGTATGATCGAGAAAGTAATAAGCGGACTTTGAGGGTGAGTACTCTTATACTAAGTCTCTGAAATTAGTCTTGAACAAAACTATAACAAAACTCTTGAACATGAGTGGTTATTAGGACAATAATCAATAATCAAGAGGCAATAAATGAAGATTACTCAGTTCTTCTCTGTAAGACATGTTTGATGATAGTTAAAAATTTTGTAGCCCTTTGCCGGACATTCTCCAGGAGGGCTTGATACTTGATAGCTTAAGAATTTTTTCACTAACTTAAGAATTTCTTATAGCTATAATGAACCTTGAATGTATTATTAATAATCAATTATTACTTGAGACAAACTATAATTACAGAACTACTCAGACAAGTTATTGTGTTTCTTAGCTAAGAGTGAATAGACATTTCTTTATTTCTCCATTGTCCCTTTTGAACTGCAGGTCCATGGTCATGAAGATGATGTAAATACGGTAGCATTTGCAGACGACAGCTCTCATATTCTGTTCTCTGGAGCAGACGATGGTCTCTGTAAGGTTTGTGTATCAGAAATTATACTTTGAAATGGAATTAAACCTTAAATGGACAAGTTCTTATGGCAGAATAAGAAACAAATATTTTAATGGCAAATATAGCAATAGCTTGTAGGTAAGAGCTATTTTTAATGTAGTGTGGAAAATAATCAGAAATTGCATTGATTATGCTGCACTACACTCTGAGATTGGTCCTGACCACTTGTACCATTCCTTTGACCAATCCAATGCAAAAACTGAAACCAATTGCAACTTGGTCACCTTCACTTTATGGCATCTGGAACATTGATTTCCCTAGAGTTCTAATTGACTTTTTTGGACAGACACTTTGGCCTGTTGGTCAGTGCACTGGACTTGCTTTTTCTGAGAAAAATGCTGTACTCGCACAGTGGAAGTCACCTGGGAGTACAAATGGGTACTGGCAAATTGTCAGGGAAGCCTAATAAAATGCTGGGGGTAAGCTTGCAATGGACTGAAATCCCATCCAGGGGGCAGTAGTAATACAACTAGTCACTTTATGTGAAGGAAACTGTGATCAGGCAATCACTGGGTGGGCCAATAGGCTGAATGGCTATAGTGATGACAGTGATTTTTTTGCTAGTTGTCTTGATTAAAATACAATTTATAACAGTGATGATTTTGTTAGGAATTATTTTTTAAGTGTTGATGTTGTCCTGCTGAACTTAAAGGAAATATATAACAATTGATGTAGGGATGAGAGACCAGAAAAGAGCATTTTTCTCTTATTTTGAAACAATTTTTTTGAAAAAGTTATAGTGTTGGACACATTAATGTATGCATATAACCCTTATTATCTGCTTTTACAGGTCTGGGATCGCCGGCAGCTATCTGAGAATTGCCCATACCCAGTGGGTGTTTTAGCTGGACATGCTGATGGTATCACCCACATTGACCCAAGGGTATGTTACATCTTGTTTGAAGTCCCTAAACACAGAACCTGGCTTGCATCATGTGCCTGACCTTGCTTGTCTAACAGTTGCATTTATCTCAATTGATTACTGCTGTGTTCATTAAATGATGTTTTATAAGCCTTTTAAAGAAGTTGCTGTGTGCTGTTTCTTGAAGGTGCATGGGTTAGTGAAAATGTTTCCTGTCTGATAGTAACTGTTTTGCTTATTTCAGGGAGATGGACGGCACCTTATCACTAACTCCAAAGACCAGACAATCAAATTGTGGGATATGAGAAAGTTTTCTGCTGAGGAAGGCATCAGTGTGAGTGTTTCTTTAACCCTTTAACTCCCATGAGTGACCAAGAGAGTATTTCTCCTTACAGTGTCAATGCAATATCAAGCAGACAAGTGATGAGAATAAAGAAAAATAGCCATAAGGGGATTTTTATTTGATCCAATACTAAATTCTCCAAACTAACATCATATGAATGGCATGGTAGACAGTAAGGAGAATTACTGATGAGATCTTGGGAGGGAAAGGGTTTATAAAGTTTCCATCACTTTTTGCTCTTCATTTTCCATTTTGATATTGGTGAAGGCAGATGAATTAGGTAACCCTTTCACTCCTAAGGTCCTGTTTAGTAATTCTTCTTACTGTCTGTCACACAATTCTTATGATGTTAGTTTGGAGAATTAGGTATGGATCAACTAATAATATAATCCCCTAATGGATCTTTTTCTTTAAATCTCATCACTTTTCAGCTAGATATTGTAGTTAGTGTATCAATATTGTAAGGAGAAATTCTGTCTTGGTCACCCATGGGAGTTAAAGGGCGAAACATCTTTGAATATTCGATAGCTTTAGAATTTTTTCACTAACTTAAGAATCTTCACATCTTTGGTAAAATTTGTGTACTTGTTACTTCCAATTATTTTAATGAAAATTAAAACAACTGACTGAAATACTACTGTCAGTCACACTGCACATATCTGTTGAAACAATTGAGATATTTTAGAAGGTTGAAAAGGACATGTTATGAGTTTTTGGAATGGAAATAGGAAGCAAGTGTGACATTTGCTTGACTCAAGGGATTTGAAGGAAAAACAGTGTAGACTGGTCGAGTGAGCACAAAGAAAACAGAGAAAAATAAAAGGAAAGGCAATTAAGGGCTGTGTGAATGTTGTGAAATAGTTGTCAGAGAATTGTGACTGGAGAAATTTTAATCCAATTTTTTTTTCTCTGTCTTTTGTGATGATGATTGACAACTAGATGAAACAAAGTGAGAAATTTGTCTCTGAGTTCAGACTTTCAAAAACTGCAAAGGGACAGCTCTTACCAAAAGCAATTAATCTTTTACAGTTAGGTTTAACACATATGAGAAAAAAAATAAACCTTGTGCCTCATTGTTATGGCTAATGCTTCCTGCCTGGCAACTTTCTTCAGCTGTTGGGATATGGTGATGCTGATTCAAACCTTTGCATTTGCCTTGCAGGCTACAAAACGTGCTGTGGCTGGTCAGAGGTGGGACTACCGCTGGCAACCAGTCCCACGAAAATGTAATTTTATTGTGTTGTCTAGCTTAGTTGTTGTTCCTCTTTTTTAGTGTGGTGTGTCATTTAGTACAAATGTGTTCCAAGTAAATTCTCTGTTCTTCCTTTTTGCTGACCTAAGCTGTGAGACGTTCCAAGCTGGATGGTGATTCATCTGTCATGACTTATCGTGGCCACAGTGTCTTACACACTCTTGTTCGCTGTTACTTCTCACCTCTCCGCACCACAGGACAGGTAATTTAATCCTGCTACCAGTAGAGGGCTTATTATATGGCCTTCACTTTCTCAAGAAGATCAAGCTAGGGCAACTGTTGTAATGACAAATAGTTGTAATGGCCTGTTGAAATAAAGAATGTGTAAAATTGTGAGCAAGTGCTTATTACTGGAAAAAGCGCACATCTATAATGAGTCTTAGCTCTGCGTGATACAATGCATGTGTGAAATTTTTTTAGCATGCCTGAACAGTGAATATTGAACTTGCCAGTATTTCAAAAATTTCTGTTTTCTTCCTGTTAGATTTTTCTCTTTTCTACAATTGCTTAAATTGCAGCCTATATAGAGGATCATTGCATTACTTGATTTTTATCTGCAGGTCAAATGAAATTTATTTCATTAAAAAATGATGGTCAGATTCTTCCATAGGAAAGAAAAAACCCTCTTAGTTAAAATCCTGTAAAATGTGTCTTCTCCCAACTTGTGGCTTCATGGCTAGTATCTGGGAGGCACAAGTTTGAATGCTGAATAATTCCTGACTAACTCAGGCTTCTTTTTCTGCCTTAATTTGCTAAAATTGCAGCTTTTGATTTTGATATTTTTCTTCTTTCTTTAGCGATATATCTACTCGGGATGTTCCACTGGTGCTGTTGTTAGTAAGTGCCACATTACTGACTGTATTCAGTAACTAAAGGTAGAAGTTAAATCAAAGAGTTGGTAACAGTTTTTTCTTCTCTTTGTGGTCACAAAATGGATAACTTTTAATAAAATCTTTTTTGTTTTTGTTTGTGTGTAGTTTATGATGCATTGACTGGAAAAATAATCTCCAGACTGAGTGGACATGTATCCTTTTGTGCTGACAAAGCAAAAAATTGATTGCCTCAGGGAAGGGGGGAAAAAAGGTTGGTAAGCAAGAATGCAGGGAGAAACTCACCAGGCATATGTTTATCAGGCATATGACAAGCAAGAACATTTTCACAACTTAATTTTGGTCTAAAGATATTTAGGCAATAGACTATACTTCCTATTAGTTTAACAGTATAATAACCCACAAAAAAACTTGTAAATCACCTGCTAGAGTTAAGTGATTTACAGTGGCAGTATTGTAGGCTATATAGTCTAAGGTTTTTTTTTTATAGTATTTCACAAATATTTTTTTCTTTTGAAATCTGCCAACCAATATACTATTTTTGGCAACCATTTAAAAATCTTCTCAATGAATAAATTCTTTAAAATGAAGAGCAAACTAGAGAAAAAAAAAACATTTTTTTTTTCATTTACTCTAGAATTGGTATGCCAAAGGTTTAAAACTTCCAAGCCTAAGCAAAAATGATAACAAGACCTCCAAAAAATTGCCAGAAATCAGCTGTGCACTTAGCCCTTCAATGAGATTGAGAGAATAGTTTCTTCTAAAGTACATTTTGCTCACCTTGACTAATATACAGAGATCAGCAGTGCGAGATGTGTCATGGCACCCCTATGAAAATGAGATTGTCAGCACTTCTGTGAGTAGTCAAGTTCCAAGCAATAATTCTGTAACTGTAGAATCCAGCTAGGGCAATAGTGCCATTCAATTTACTCTTTCACAAATTTAACCCATGCATGTCCCTCAGCAGTGTGAAAGTTCATGTGAAAGTTCATGGTCAGGGTAGAAGGTCATGTTCATGTGAAATGCTTAATATTGCCATTTGTCAGAATTAATGAAACACAATTGATGAATTTTCAACTTTCCATGCCTGCACTTGTTGCTGTGCAGAGGACATTGACAAGAAGATTCAAACAGCATTCATGCAATTGTGCAGGTTCTCTGATGAACATTTACCACCATTTAAACATATTTACAGAATATTCAAGTCAATAAATAATTTAAGCACTAAAACAAAATTAGGATGAACACTTTTTTTAAGCAGGAACAATTCTACTGCAATAGCTATAACTTATAAGACACTTTGATGTGTAGTATACTTGCTGAATATTTTTAAAAGATGTGCAGTATTTTGACAATTCCACTGCAGGGTGTTAAATAGAAACAGCAAGTTATTTGTGTTCTACTTCATGCAGTTGGATAATAATTCATTTAACTATCTATCCAGATACAGCTGTCATGTTACTGTCTATGTATCTCTCATTTTACCATCTAATAGTATTTATCTGTCATTTTGCTTTTTAATAGTATTTATCTGTCATTTCTAATAAAAAATTCTGAATATAAACAATGTAATTTTATTACAAGTTTATCTCAGTAATGTCCTTCATATGTGTGAAAGAGGCCTTTGATGGTGATGTCTCTAATACTAAGGTTTTCAGAACACAGGATTCATAAGGTATTGGTAGTCTTAAAGAAAAAGTTTCTTAATACCGTGCCTAATCTATTCTTGATCTCTGTTATAGTGGGATGGAACACTTGGCTTGTGGAGATACAAAAGGCCAAATGATGAGGAGGATGATAAAGAAGAAGAGGAACCAGAACCCAAGCAGCAGTCTGTGGGGCCCTGTCGTCGTTCTATTCGTCTCAGAAACCTCATACATGTATAAAATCACAAAACTCATTACAAATTCAGTGCGATTTAAAAATTCTATAACATATTCTCTTGTGGGCTTTCACATTTTTTCTCTGGTCCATAAATGTTTACTAGTAAGCAGCAAAACAGGTAACTTTCACCTAAAGATGGAATTGCAGTCTCTTCACATGAGCTTGGTTGACCAGGCCGTCTCAGTTTGCAGTACGTATTCTCACCATCTCTTTGAAATTTCATTGAGTTCACATGAGAAAATTTTCATGGAATAATAACTGGGATGAAGAAATGTACCATGGGAGTGGAAGACCAAAAATGTCCTGCTAACTATGCCATCCTTGTTGTTGGAATTAAAGGAAGATGGTTGTTGTCTTTTCTGTACATACGGTTTTGTACTTGGTGTAATTTTTTCATTGGTCAAAACGTGAACCAGCTCTCAATATACCCAATAGTGTAATTTATGTTGAGTATAGGAAGCAATTTTTGGACAAAATTATTAAATAAATTTTGCTAGGACTGCATGTAATCCAATGCTGTTTGTAATCATATTAGTGATGTGTGTAAACCATGAGCATTATAATTACTGACAGAATTGGATGACACAAAGTCATGTAGTTAAAACTGAAAAAATGTGAGAAATAAACTACTCACTGATTGAGCAATTAACTCTCTTCCATAAGAATATGAACAACGTAGGCTATTTAAATTCGGATACAAATCAGGCCTAGTACCCAATCTTGCACAGGTATGGCACAAGAACTACCCCATCACACTGTTCAGTTACAGGCATGAGGCATACTTAGTGTCATTAATAATGGTAATAGGACCAAGTGGAGTCCAATTTGGTCTGTAATCATATGAGTGATTAACAAAATCAGACAATCACAAAGCAGGAGTCTGATTTGTTTACCATGAGTATGATTACTGACAGAATTGGACAACATGAAATCCTGTTACCAATTAATCATAACCATTTCAATTTCTGAAAAAACAAGTATGCCTAGAACAAATATCTCCACTGGAGACAATGTCTTTAGTTAAATATTCTTCCATTTTGGAAATTGCCTTGTTTTTCTTTGGATAAATGGTTGTTGCTATGGTTATTGTGATCAATTCTGTGATTGGTGGATTAAGCTGAGTGGACCTAGTATGATTGGCTGCTTCCACTGTCCGATTACAGGTGTCTGATTGCAGCCAACTGTCCAATTACAATGTCCAATTACAACTGTACAGACTGATTAGTGTAAAATGAAGTAGCTGATGCACCAATCACATTTGAGGAAATTGTAATGGTTATGACTAGTGCTTAAATCGTGCTAATGATAACCAATCATTGTCAAGTATTTCATTCACTTTCTTCATAGTCTTGATTGATTTTAGAATACCTTTGAAACAGGCCAAATACATATAATAGTAAGGAAATTGCTGGTGTCATAAAAGGAACACTCTAAACAGCTACACAATGTTTATAAATGGTAACAATGGACTTTTTTTAATGTTGTGAGTTGTATTACAAGGTAATATTCTTATCCCACTTAATAGTAACAAAATGAAAAATTGCTAAAAGCAGTGATTGTGACTAGGTTTAAAAATGTGGTATTTAATGTTTAAAATTCTAAAGTTGATTTTTATGTTTGTTGTAATGAACTTGAAACAATAGAGACCTTAAGCAATGAAGACAAGGCAAAACGAAAGATGAAATGAGTCGAACAATAGCTTAGTATGTGGGTTTTTGAAACTTTGTACATTTCTCAGCCATCCTCTGCAGAACAATAATTTGAAATCATCAAAATTTACAAGGTCTGAGAACAGAAACCCTGATGGCAAATTATTTAAGTTTCCATTTGGAATTATCGTTTCTTCACTCACATTTTACTGATGTTACTGGGTGATACTGTGACAGACGGTAGAAACATCCAGCCTTTTGCCAAATTCTTCCTGAAAATATAAAATAATTTATTTTTTAATCAAGGTCTTCCTCAAGGTTATTGCCATGACTGCTTAGGGCCTATAGTTTCTCTGTCGTTACTTTCCAGCATTGTTTTGTACAAAATCAAATCAAAAGAATGTAGTCATACAATTTAATCATGGGTCAGTGTAAAAATTAAAGGTTCAAGTGTGATGTACCCTTTGATGTTCACTGTTTTGAGTCCAGTCACTTAATGGGGTTACAGGGTTGAAAGACGTCAGTCAAAATTGTTTTTACTTAATTAATACTGTTGAAATACTATGACAAACCATTGTTGAAGAAGATAAAATCAACTTTATTCTCCTGATATTGTCTTGTCTGTGGATGTGTACAATGCTAATAAACTGCAAACAGCATAAAAATACCTCTTGATCCCATTTAAGAAAATAATATAGATACACTGAACAACAATTTTAAACAAAAAAATTGTTAGTGAAGTTATTCCTCTGCATCAATGCAATACCATGAGAGTTAGAGCAAGTAAATGAATCTTTGAAATTTGACTGGCAGTATGCACAAGGTTTGGGGAAAAAAGTTGGTTTTTAGTGGATCTGGGTTGTTAGGTTCTGTCCCATCTACATCAAATCTAACTTTGATTTAAGAGAGAATTTTCATTTTAGTGAACAGGTGTGCAAGGCTTTGATGCATCAGTGTAAGGCAAATTTCTTTCTTTGATCCAGGATAGCCTGAACAATGCAATAGATAAGTGAGCTTTGCAGATTGTGGTATCTTCGCTAAAGCTCATGATCATGGCTTATCAGACAGAGATAAAGGCATTACTCCATCAGGGCAGAACATTTGATATGTTATTTATGTTGATGGGCAGTTCATGATTGCCAAATAATGTGGTTTGGAAGGAAGTAAGTAATAAGTTCGCATGGATAGTTCATTATGCTTGCTCTAACTTGTCTGAAATACTAAGAGAAAGGCAACTTGACTGAAGCATGTCACTCAAAATTACAAACTACCTTACTCTATATGGTACCAAGCTATTTATAATACAGTGCATCCAAAATAATTCTCATTTATTACTATTTTCTATGTACAAAATATGGAGAGAACATGCAAAATACCTCTAAAGAAGTACTGACCTCCTAAACAACTTAATCCCAATGAAAGCAAATCTACAGAACAGTGAAGGACTACAAAGACTAATGTTTGTAATGATCTGGTCAGTTACAGTGATCATTCCTTCTTTTACTAACAAATTATATGACAAGTTTTAAATGTTTATTTAAGATCACTTGTTCTTGGGATTTGATTTGTAAATAAAGTAACTGATACAAATGTAAAATGGAAGGCAGAGATCTCTAACCTAAAGTCAGGAAGATAATCATGTAATTCCGACTTGCACACATGTTTGGGAACCAACAGCTAACATGATTTGTTAGTTAACTACTAACAACTCTGTCATGAAAGATATTTGGGATATGGGTAAAGAAATTGAAAATCTTCAAACAAATTACCATGGCTTTCCATATGAAGATTCAAACTTATTGAGCAGATCTGCATATTTTACATTGTAAATTATTTTGAGCAATGTCAAACTTTCTTGGGTGAAAATTAAGGGGGGGGGGGAATTAGAAAAAATCTCTAAGACTTTGCACTGAGCTGGATAATACCATACAAACAGAAACAAATTTATACCAATAATTTTCGTAGTCAGCTTTAAGAAGCTATCTATGCAAGTCAACCCTGCTTCTAGAAAGAAGAAATAAATACAACTTACAACCCTAAACCAAGTTGCAGCTGGCCTCAAACAATGTACACAATGAGTCATTTTAAAATTACCCTCTTTTTTGAGCTAACTACATACAAAAATAATGGTACTTTTTATTAGCCAGTGAGACTGTGCTTTATGATCAACTACTGTACGATAAAAATTGTTTTTGATTCACCCTAAATGGCCCTCCCAACATCTTTATACTAATACTACAGCATGAATATCAGAATATGGAAAAAGATATTCTGACCGGATCTGACATGACAGTGAGGGCCACAGTTTTGATCACATGCAGACCTCATTGTGAATTACTCTCTCTAAAACCTATCCTTATTTGGTGAATTTTTCAGAACTTCTATGGCCAGTCATAACCAGAGTAATGTGTGTGGATACTCTCAAATGCCTTCTCTAACAAACTGAATGAAGTACCTCCCTCATTTCTTTCTTTTACTCCTAAGCCTACTAAACATACTAATATTCTTATTAGCCAATTTAAATAACTATTTCACACACTGTACAATACATTAATTAATTTACAAACAAATTTGCCAATTCCTGAATTTGCTGCTACTTTTAACTTAACTACATTTACCATCTTCCTCTAAAACCCTGCTTGCAGTGTCTCCTATAAAGTTGTATATGTTATTCCACAGGGCAAAAAAACGGGTTAGTTAAACAAAATCTTGTCCTTCACTGCATCAATTTAATATCCACCTTGCATGTGAGGTTGGTACTTAGAGAAAAATTTTAGTAAACAATGAACTCAAGACAAGTTTGCAAGAGAAAGGAGCCTTTTTTGACGGGCAATCTTGATGCAGTGACACAGAGCTGCAAGAGGGCTTGATATCACTTCTTTTTAAGTCTGCTGTGTGTGAGATAAGCCTCCAGATACAACCCCACTCCATCTTAATTGTCACGTGTCAAATCTCTCTGTCTTTGGGACAACACCACCTGGGAGTGCTGTTGAGGGCCCTGGGACATATTTCCTGTCCTGGACCATTGGTACTGATTGCATCGGACCTGCCACACTTGGACCCGGAACATTCACTAATCCTGGACTGAATAGGTCAGGGCGGTTTGGAGGGAGAGGGTTAACTGGTGACTGAGGTGTTGGAACAGCAGGTGGAGGGGGTGATGCCATAGGAACAATACTTGCTGCATCCAATTGTTCAGCAATGTTGGTACCTGATAAAACAAATCATCAGAAATTACATCTTGTTCATTTTGACTGTAAATAGGAAGTCTATCAATCAGCATCATTAATTTCATGATTAAGGTAAAGTCTGTACTCTAGCAAGAGCTTATCTCAGTTTCCTGAGTATGAAGTGACCAGAAGTATCATAATTCCCTCCCTGGATGAGATGCAAGTCCATTGCAAGGTTGCCCCCCCCTTGCATTTCATCAGGCTTCCCTGACAAATTGCTGGTACCCATTCATACTCCTGGGTGAAGAGAGGCACTGTTTTACCCAAGCACACAACACGTTGACCTGGCAGGGTCTTTAACTCAGACATCTCGACCCTGAGTCCAGCCTATTAACCATTGAGCAGCCATGTCTCCTGACAATTTTATGTTGAGTAGTTACTCATTTCAATCTAAGATTTGGATTACAGTACACTATTTGAATGAAATAGTAAAATTCTCCATACAGTTATCTTCTGCAAGTAATAATATCTACTGAGAGCAGGAAATTTACTGATTCTTACACATTTTAAAAAATCTTTGTTAACAACAATTACCAAGAAACTAATTTTAACTTATTTAAGCCTGAGGTTAACTCTTCACAAGATTGTGGGCTGCTTATCTAGCAAATTCAGGTCATGGGATTGACAGCAATTCAGTCAAACTTGCCAAACTAACCTCCAAGTAACATTTCTGAAAGAAGGCTGTCAACCTTCACCATACCAAACAGCCTAGCAAACTGCACTTGGTCGATCATCTCTTTGGCTATACTCTGCATTGTTGGCAGCATAAGAAGCAATTCACCAAACTTTCCACGGCTGTCATACTGATCTTTAGCAATGTAATCTTCCAGCATTGTTTGAACTTCAAATCTTAAAGATTTGATTTTCTGAGAATCACTAAGTCCCTTGGCATCTACAAAGCACAAATTGTTATGATGTCAGTTCAGAGAATGTGGCATTGAATCACCTGACCATCCACTAATTGATACTTTACTCAATTCTCATCACTTGTCTGCTTAATATTGTATTGATATTGTAAGAAGAAAATCTGTATTGGTCACTCATGGGAGTTAAAGGTTACATGTTTTCTGCTCTCACCCTCTGGTTTTAATATTTACATCTGAGTTGTTGAAGTCTTTTTTAAGCTACAACTTTCAGTTATTAAAAAAAAGATATTTATAACCAGTCACAATTTAGTCACATATGCCACATAATCCAATAACATATTTCTTTCCTTAACTGATTATCATTAGAGATTACAAAGATCACTGCTCATCACACCACTACCAATAAGCTTAACTCTGCATCACACTTTTACATTCTAAGAGGATCTATTTCATTAAATCACAGTAAATTTTCACAAGTCTATCACATGATGGGCATGTTCTCATGTCCACTGAATTAACTGGAGTATGACATGTGAAGTTATGAAAACCACAAGACATACAGGTAAGTAATTCAACTCTCACACAATATGAAAGGGAAAGTAAAAAAAGATTTTTATAGCACAAAAGCCACATGAATATGATCTAATGGGAAGAAAATGTTGATGACCAATATCAATTTTCATTTCAACAGCCATGGAAATAAAATTTATACTGAAAACTGCATTGATGTCTACTTTGGTTTCTTTTTGCTCATAGTTTCCTGCTGGTGCTTTAACTCCTTTTAAGAGTAATTTGCTAGTAATGCCCAGGCTTGCAAACAAGTTGTCTGCAGCTCGGTGGTAAAACATCATACAGAGAAATAAGAAGGTCTGTAATGTTCACTTCCCTCTGAGAAAGTCCAAAATTTTCTTCATTGCATGCTTGTGATAAAACACACTATTTTCTTCATTTGCTCAAAATCTACCATGTCTCTTCTTTTCTTGTCTGTTGGTTAATGTAATTTTTCAGTGCTTTAGCATGCTTCAAATTTTAAGACATACCAGGATTGAAGAATACAATAGCCTTAAGGCAAGCATGTTCTGTATCGTCAACATTCCACTCTTTCATTGGCTCAACCACTTCATCCAGTACACGAGTTGATATTCTCCGCACCTCAGCATCAGCCGCTGTTCTTGGAATGACAAGGTCATTTCCAAGTAACAAAACATCCTTTAGACTCATAGACCGTCGTGAAACACCCAATATTAAGTGTTCAGAGGCATGCGCCCTTAATAGGGCAACCTGATCATCAAGCATCAGTTCACAAAAGGCAGGTATGTGTTTGGCCCATTCCACAAGGACCAGGAGTTGTTGACGCATTGATT